CCATAATTTGCAAATAAATTCATTAAAAATCCTACAATGTGATTTTCTGGATTTTTTCCCCACTGTACACCTTAGCCAAAAACATTTAAACTCAGTTTTTCACAATTCCTGACATTTAATCCTAATAAAAATTACCTGTCATAGGTCAGTTAGGATCACCACTTTATTTTAAGAAAGTGAAATGTCAGAATAATTGTAGAGGGAATGATTTATTTACAGCTTTTAATTCTTTCATCACATTCCCAGTGGGTCAGAAGTTTACATACTGTACACTTGGGTCAAACATTTCGGGTAGTCTTCCACAAGCTTCCCACAATAAGTTGGTTGAATTTTGGCCCATTCCTCCTGACAGAGCTGGTGCAACTGAGTCAGGTTTGTAGGCCTCCTTGCTCACACACGCCTTTTCAGTTCTGCCCACAAATGTTCTATAGGATTGAGGTCAGGGCTTTGTGATGGCCACTCCAATACCTTGACTTTGTTGTCCTTAAGCCATTTTGCCACAACTTTGAAAGTATGCTTGGGGTCATTGTCCATTTGGAAGACTAATTTGCGACCAAGCTTTAACTTCCTGACTGATGTCTTGAGATGTTGCTTCAATATATCCACATCATTTTCCTTCCTCATGATGCCATCTATTTTGTGAAGTGCACCAGTCCCTCCTGCAGCAAAGTACCCCCACAGCATGATGCTGCCACCCCTGTGCTTCACGGTTGGGATGGTGTTCTTCGGCTTGCAAGTCTTCCCCTTTTTCCTCCAAACATAACGATGGTCATTATGGCCAAACAGTTCTATTTTTGTTTCATCAGACCAGAGGACATTTCTCCAAAAAGTACGATCTTTGTCCCCATGTGCAGTTGCAAACTGTAGTCTGGCTTTTTTATGGTGGTTTTGGAGCAGTGGCTTCTTCCTTGCTGAGCGGTGTCAGTGTTGATGTGGATGTGGTTGAGGAGTCAGACGCAGGACGCATAGGCTGAGTCAAACAAGACTTTACTAACTGTAAAACAGTACCAAAATTAAAGGGCCTCAACAAAGGAGGCGAGCGACAACGCAACACAGTGCGTAACAATAAACAAAGTCCAGAGTACTGCACAGGTTACACCAACGGACAGGCGGACAATAACACACAAACTAACGAAAACAACACAGGAAACTTATAGGGCACATAATCAGACTCAAACGGACACAGGTGTAACAGACAGACCAAACCAAACGCACATCGAAACATTCAACCGTGGCAGCCAGTACTCCGGGGACGACGAACGCCGAAGCCTGCCCGAGCAAGGAGGAGGAGCAGTCTCGGCAGAATTCGTGACAAGCAGCCATTCAGGTTATGTTGATATAGGACTCGTTTTACTGTGGATATAGATACTTTTGTACCGGTTTCCACCAGCATCTTCACAAGGTCATTTGCTGTTGTTCTGGGATTTATTTGCACTTTTCGCACCAAAGTACGTTCATCTCTAGGAGACAGAATGCGTCTCCTTCCTGAGCGGTATGATGGCTGCGTGGTCCCATGGTGTTTATACTTGCGTACTATTGTTCATACAGATGAACATGGTACCTTCAGGCGTTTGGAAATTGCTCCCACGGATGAACCAGACTTGTGGAGGTCTAGAATTGTTTTTCTGAGGTCTTGGCTGATTTCTTTAGATTTTCCCTTGATGTCAAGCAAAGAGGCACTGAGTTTGAAGGTAGGCCTTGAAATACATCCACAGGTACACCTCCAATTGACTCAAATGATGTCAATTAGCCTATCAGAAGCTTCTAAAGTCATTACATCATTTATTAGAATTTTCCAAGCTGTTTAAAGGCACAGTCAACTTAGTGTATGTAAACTTCTGACCCACTGGAATTGTGATACAGTGAATTATAAGTGAAATAATCTGTGTGTAAACAATTGTTGGAAAAATTACTAGGGTCATGCACAAAGTAGATGTCCTAACCGACTTGCCAAACTATAGTTTGTTAACAAGAAATGTGTGGAGTGGTTGAAAAACAAGTTTTAATGACTCCAACCTAAGTGTATGTAAACTTCCGACTTCAACTGTATATACACAGTACCAGTCAAAAGTTTGGACACACCTACTCATTCAAGGGTTTTTCTTTATTTTTACTATTCTTTGCATTGTAGAATAATAGTGAATACATCTAAACTATGAAATAACATATATGGAATCATGTAGTAACCAAAAAAGTGTTAAACAAATCAAAATATACTTTAAATAGCCACCCTTTGCCTTGATGACAGCTTTGCACACGCTTGGCATTCTCTCAACCAGCTTCATGAAGTAGTCACCTGGAATGCATTTCAATTAACAGGTGTGCCTTTTTAAAAGTTAATTTGTGGAATTTCTTTCCTTCTTAATGCGTTTGAGCCAATCAGTTATGTTGTGACAAGGTAGGGGGGGTATACAGAAGATAGCCGTATTTGGTAAAATACCAAGTTCATATTATTGCAAAAACAGCTCAAATAAGCAAAGAGAAATGGCAGTCCATCATTACTTTAAGACATGAAGGTCAGTCAATATGGAACATTTCAAGAACTTTGAAAGTTTCTTCAAGTGTAGTCGCAAAAACCATCAAGCGCTATGATGAAACTGGCTCTCATGAGGACCGCCACAGGAAAGGAAGACCCAGTTACCTCTGCTGCAGAGGATAAGTTCATTAGAGTTATCAGCCTGAGAAATTGCAGCCCAAATAAATGCTTCACAGATTAAGTCACAGACACATCTCAACATCAACTGTTCAGAGGGGACTGTGTGAATCAGGCCTCCATGGTCGAATTGCTGCAAAGAAATCACTACTAAAGGACACCAATAAGAAGAAGAGACCTGCTTGGGCCAAGAAACATGAGCAATGGACATTAGACCGGTGAAAATATGTCCTTTGGTCTGGAGTCCAAATTTGAGATTTTTGGTTACAACCGCCGTGTCTTTGTGAGATGCGGTGTGGGTGATCGGATGATCTCCGCCGTTAAGCATGGAGGAGGAGGTGTTATGGTGTGGGGGTGCTTTGTTGGTGACACTGTCTGTGATTTATTTAGAATTCAAGGCATACTTAACCAGCATGGCTACCACAGCATTCTGCAGCGATACGACATCCCATCTGGTTTGGGCTTAGTGGGACTATCATTTGTTTTTCAACAGGACATTGACCCAACACACCTCCAGGCTGTGTAAGGGCTATTTGACCAAGAAGGAGAGTGATGGAGTGCTGCATCAGATGACCTGGCCTCCACAATCCACTGACCTCAACCCAATTGAGATGGTTTGGGATGAGTTGGACCGCAGAGTGAAGGAAAAGCAGCCAACAAGTGCTCAGCATATGTGTGAACTCCTTCAAGACTTTTGAAAGAGCATTCCAGGTGAAGCTGGTTGAGAGAATGCCAAGAGTGTGCAAAGCTGTCATAAAGGCAAAGGGTGGCTACTTTGAAGAATCTAAAATATAACATATATTTTGATTTGTTTAACACTTTTTTGGTTACTACATGATTCCATATGTGTTATTTCATAGTTTTGATGTCTTCACTATTATTCTACAATGTAGAAAATAGTAAAAAAATTAAGAAAGACCCTTGAATGAGTAGGTGTGTCCAAACTTTTGACTGGTACTGTATATATATATATATATATATATGACACATACACACACTGTGGTATAAAAACGCACCACTACTATTAGGATGGGAAAACACTGGAAGTGAGCTCAAACGAATAATTGATTTCCCCATCAAAATCACAAGCTACACCAGTGCATAGAGATCATATCTATCATCTGTGGCCGGGTAAGACAATTAAAATAAAAACATGCTGTTGTTAATTGATTGGGATGGATTTACCCCAAACCCAAATTGCTCTGTAGGCCTTCATTCTCTGACCAATGATGAAGCAAGATTGGTGAGAGGGAGCAGGTTACAAGATAAATTGAATGGAGCATACCTTTTCAGAGCCTACGTTTTATGTTTTGTATTTTTTTTTTTTCATGATCTCTTGAACCATGGAAGTATGTAACCATGCAGAACATTCTGATGAAATCATTGGATATCCAGCACCAACAAATTACCTACACGTGAAAGAAAGAATATAAACGGAAGGAATTCATGTACATTTGAACTGTGGAGCTTGTAGGAGAGACAACACCACAACCTAGTGGAAACTCTAGGACGCAAACAGAGATGTACACGAATCTGCCGATGTGATTTCAACATGTAAATTTTTTCTGTGCTAACTCTTTTGTAACAACACAATTGTCAGACACATTTACCAATTGTTGGATTGTTCATAATAGTAGTTTTTGTTTTGTTTATTTATTACATATCGGTGTTGTCGAATAAACATATCTGAAAAGATGGTGGTCATGTAACAGCAGCGTCAGCCAGGAAGTTGAGGTAGCTAGCCTAGCTATGTTATCCATTTTGCCATCATAATGGGATATTATAAGATAACCTGCATATTGTATGAAAGCATGACTACTTTAAAGAGCTCCGTCATTGCTCATAACAACTTCTGCATCTAAATCAGGTAGCTTGTTGGCTTAGCTAGATAGCACGCCACTCAAGCTGGACATGAGAAGGATGCAGTTTAGCTCGAGTAGCCTACTAGTAGTACTGTACTGTCTTTGTAGTAGTGCTGTGTTGCTGATGATTGTGGTATGGTTTGACAGTGTCAGGACAATTACAGAGCTAAATCCTGTGGTGTTATTAGATTGAATGGGCTAGTATGCCTTGGGAACACATATAGCTTGCTTACGTTCTCACTTTATTCTGGTTTCCCTTAGTTACCATAGCCACAAAGTCAAAATTGGCTATATCTTTAAAATGCAACAACAACAAAAAATTGGGGTTAGGCGTAAGGTTAGGTTTATCACTCACATTTTAAGAAGATAGATTGTATAAATAGGCAGGGTTTAGACTTTGTGCCTGTGGTAACTAGTGTCGACCCTTTATTCTCCACCCGTCCTCTAGGTTTGCTGTGGGAAGTATGCTGTGTCTGGAGAGAAGGATGCTGGGACTTGTAGCCTTCATAGGTGGTGACCTCCATGCTACGTCTGGGAGACTCCTGAGATGCACCTTGAAGTCTTCAGCAGTCCAACAGACTTCTGGCTCCACACACCACCTCCAGAGGGCGTGGCTCTCCTCACAGGCACCTGTCTGTGGACACCATACCCCTAAACATAGGACAGGGCTGTATGGGCCTTTTACACACCCACAGCAGACACTGGGGAGTTCCCGTGGCCCCCTCTCCCTCTTCACCCAGAGGGCCGCCCTCTCCCAGGGACCCAACACCTCCACAGCCAATATCAGGCTGCGAACACGGCTGGTGGTCACCCTGCTGTTCGGCGGGGGTCTGCTTGGCACCTGGTGGTACGTGCGTAATGAGAAGCAGCAAAATCACAGAATGCAGCGTATAGAGCAGTTGAAAAAGGTGACCCTGGGCCAGGGAGACTACAGCCTCCTTGACCACAGGGGGCACCGCAGGACCAAGAGAGACTTCCTGGGTAGCTGGGTGCTCCTCTACTTTGGCTTCACCCACTGCCCTGACATCTGCCCCGATGAGCTGGATAAGATATCTGCTGTGGTCAGCACTCTGGACAAGGACCCGTCTCTACCTCCGGTCCAACCGCTGTTTGTGACGGTTGACCCGGAACGAGACGATGTGGCGGCCCTGGAGAGGTACGTGAAGGACTTCCACCCCCGGCTGATCGGCCTGACGGGTACCCCAGAGGAGGTGAAGGTGGCGGGGAAGGACTACAGGGTGTACGCCAGCCCTGGACCTAAGGATGAGGACGGGGACTATATAGTGGACCACACCATCCTCATCTACCTGGTCAACCCAGATGGACTGTTCCTGGACTATTACAACAGGATGAAGGATGACGTGCAGATTGCTGAGAGCATCAGGAACCATATGAAGAGCTACGTCAAACTCCCTGAGTGAATGATGGTAACCACGCCAACAAGACTGTATCAAAGACCTATAGTATGTTACATTTAGGCTAAACCCAAAGTCCAGATAACAATAATCCTCCATCAGAAATGAGGCCCTGTGTTGAACTATTCCCAGACCAGACTGAACCACAACAATATGGACGCTTTATCGAGGCTCTGCTGATTCTGTGTGTGCAATAAATTGTTTTTGTCTGACACCGCGAATTACCTGGATATTAAATTATCTTTATACTAGTCTTTAGTCAAGGGCCCTAGTCATTAGTAGGTGTTGCAATATTGAAAGTGTGTTCATATAATCTTAGTAACATCCACACGCTCATGTTTTGTTTTATTTTATACACATTTTTGGCCAGAGTAAAACAATTATTTTTCCTTACAAACTAGTTAAACAATTTCCCAATTTAGGTTATATTCTCTTGAATGAAAGTAGAAAAATGATTAAGGTTTTCTTAAAAGCCCTCTCATCTGATATAGAAAATGTATGTCATGACAAACATTGGGAAAAGGGTGATATTCTTAGGGTTAGTCAATTAACACTACCGACACACCACAACATACCCAGAGTGCGACATCTGGTAAGTAAATATATTGTGTAGATGCAGGTGAAAGAGATAAAAATTGCTTATTTTTCTTGAGATAACCAGAGGAATACACAGACGTATGAGACAGACAGACCTACAGAGACACCAAAGATCAAACAATAGACAGGAGATTGAAATTAAATAAGAGCAAGTACGTGAGCGAGCGAGAGAACGGGTGCAGCCAGCTCATGTTGATAGAGCAGGTCAGTACTAGTGGTCCAGTAGGCACAAGGGGCATCACACATACGAGTGTATACCACGTTTCAGAGTAATGTGTCCCTAGTCCCCACTAAATCTATAGGAGGCAAGAGCTCACACACACATGATCAGGTTCAGGAGATGAATGGGTCTGGGTCATATAGGGTCTGAGGTTGCAAGGGCGTTCTTGAATCGTTGGTTGGCCCTGTGTTTGCTGAGCAGAGTGAGTCCCATGGTGTCGATGCTTTCCTCGAGACCCTCACTCCTGTCGATCTCCACTGTGTAGTCATTGGCCTGAAGAGGAGATAATAAATAATAAAATAATATGCCATTTAGCAGACGCTTTTATCCAAAGCGACTTACAGTCATGCGTGCATACATTTTTTGTGTATGGGTGGTCCCGGGGATCGAACCCACTACCTTGGCGTTACAAGCGCCGCGCTCTACCAGCTGAGCTACAGAGGATAGCATGATAATAACCTCTACCTGATAACACAGTGTCCTGATGGTAGAGTAATGGAGTTACTATAGACAAATACATCTTGTACTAGAAGCTATCAAACTAATTTGTCATACAATAAAATCAAGTATCTTTAAATTTCAAGTGTTCAGTTCAGTGTCAAGACTGTAAACTCCAGACAGTGGCTGAGTACACTTGATTAGATTGTGGTGTATTAAATTCCTTCAAATCACACACACATACTCACCAGCTGAAGGGAAGCCAGCATGTACTTGCAGGCCTCGAAGTTGTCCATGCCGTGGACTATAGAGGCGAAGGTCCTCCTCTGGCCCACACTGCTCAACGCTGCTACGATCCTGTCCCCATAGTCATGGATGTCAAAGGTAGGACGCTCCTCCTACAGAGACATGGGGTCAGGAGGTTTAGCCAACAGATCACACATCATGCCACACTAGAAATCACCAACAGAGTGAAAAATGATAATATATTTGATTAGAATAGAATAGATACTGTCAATTTTTTCAATTAAAATTGGTTGATCTACAGCAAAATGTCTGGAAAGTATATACCGGTAATTGAATCTTACCTGATAGATGAGCTCCGGTCGTATTTTGTCCTCCCATTCCTTCACTCTTTTCGACAGCGCCGTCTCCTGGGCATAACCCTGGGAGTTCACCAGGAACTGCTCCTGAAATATGAAGGAAGTGGGGGGAAAATCAGTGGCTAGCTACACAGAACCCTCTAGTATTCCTCTCTGGAACATGACCCAGAAAGACTGGGGCATTGAGACACGTACCACACTCTTCTTCACCAGGTCTTCGTAACTCAGTCCGTCCATGTCTGCCCCTGGCAGCAACAGAAACATTGTAAACATACCATCTTTGCCTATGATTGCCTACAGTGTCTTAAAACTTTCTGAATGGTCCACAAGTGGTTTTTTAAATCTGTGTTTTTTTTGGTCAAGTAACGTATCATTGTGGAGTGACACTAATACATTAGTCTAACTCTACAGTCAGTCAATGGACATAGACACACAGTCAAGACCTGATGGCTCGGTTTACACCTTGCCTTAAAATGTGTGCAGTTAATAGCAGGTGTGAATGTGGTCTGAGAGATAGAAAGACAGGACAGTGTCTACCTGGTATGAAGTCCTGTCCACTCAGGAAGTCAGCCGGGGCTTCATCAGTCAAAGGGTCATGTTCGTTGTCAGAGAGGTCATCGTGCAGGCCTAGCGGGTCGTGGTGTCTGAGGCCCTCTGACTCCTCCTCTTCTCTCTCGTCCAGTTGCAGGTACGTCCTTCTCAGCTCCTCATCAGACACAAACACACCCTGTAAGGGCAAAAGGCTGTATGTTCAGTACATACTCATACACACTCAACACTAAAAACAGCAACAAATGCTCCTTGCAGCATGACCCATAGCAGTACACACATACCGTTTTTCTAAGAATCCTTTTCCGGGTCTTCAGCTTGTCTTTCATTTTACTCATATAGATGTAGTTCAAGTCTGTAAAAGAAACACCACTTGCTGTAAGCGCCATATAATCGCGGGTCCAAAAGAGAACTCTATCTCCTGTCATTTAGTTATGAGATCCACCATTACCTGTATACGTGGGTCCATTCTTTAGCCTGGGTTCAGGGGGGTCATCTGCAACAAGAGGAGGCATTTGTCAGGTATATACCATCCTATTTAGTCTTCATAGACACACCAACGCACGCGTTTACACACAACTTACAGGTGCCAGTGTACCAGGTCCAGAAGTCCTGCAGCGCAGAGGGGCCTTTCCTTTTCCTCTTCCCAGAATCATCAAGACCCGGAGGAACCTTATAACATTTTCCTATGGCGAAAGAACACACACATTTAACACAGGCAGGCCCCTCATAGAAAATACACTCAGTGAGTAAGAATCGTATCGATAGGAAAAGGTTCTCACCTGTTTTCAGAGGCTTGTCCTCTCCGACTGTATCATAAAGGTCATGTAACCTCCATATGTTTGCCTGCATCACAACAATCATCACATCAAAGACAACAAAAAAACAACGAGCGTACTAGAATAGTTATTTTCCATCTCTAAATGTGTGGTGGTTTATCCATCGTGGTTGTGATGGGTAACCGTACCATCTGAGCCCTCTCCTCCTCCATCCTCTGTTTGTCCTGCTCCTCCTCAGAGAGCTGCTGGACTCCTTTCCTCTCCCTCAACATCCTCCCTTCAATGGGGGCCTGGGAGAGAACAAGTTAGAACACACTGATACAAGACATAAATAAACCCAACCCAACACATGGTGATACAAATCTTACACAATTCAACACAAGGTCCCATAAAAGGGCTACGATAAAGGGGTTACTAGCTGTAATGGAACTAGGCATGTGTGATACCTACAGTTCCTCTGCATGCATGCATGCATATATATATATATATATATATATATAAAAATGTGTGTGTGTGTGTGTGTGTGTGTGTGTGCGAGAGATTTCTACGTTCCTACCTGGTGTCTGTCAATATGTTCCTCGGGTCCCTGGTCCATCTCCATCCCATTGTCCTCCAGGGGCAGGAAGTTATCCGCACCGGCATCACCACCATCCTCGCCGACAACGCCCTCCCCGGCATCCCCTGCTGCAAGCTCTGCATCACCTGGACACAACAACAATAAGGATGTCAGCACCCGGCCTTAGCTTAGAAATATACATTAAAAGAACCGTATATTCCATTTGAGCTGGTCCTGGCAACATGGTATGGGATTTAGTGCTCTGTTGAGATTGTTGGAGGCTAAACACATCACAAACACTCCCAGCCCACTCACAGAGAAACCAAATCTATGATGTGTTTTCTATGATCAGTTGGCTGTTTTGGCTTGACTACAGTTGTGTACAGTGTATAGACCTCGACACAGTAATGTACATCTGTCGATATACTGTATCCATATGCCTCTCTACCTTGGTGCTTGAACAGGGTGACGGGGGCCAGGGGTGCGACAGACAGGGCGTCCCTGAGAAAGTGGGACTGAGAGGAGGCCAGGAAGAGGCGGATGATACCGAGGGCGTCCGGAGTGAACGTGTTCATCCTGAAGTCCTTACAGCTGCCCAGCACCTCTCCCTTCAGACTGCAGCACATACACACACAAACATTGATATGACAGCCCTCTACAGAAATTAGTTCCACCAAAAAGTAAGGCAGCTACAAATGGCAAGGCCTACAATGTTTCATAGTTGTTATGTAGTTATTCTACAGAAGAGTTCATCATGTTGAGGGCTGTTTAGGCCGTGGACTTGGCACCCACCTCATGAGAAGCAGCTTCTGTTTCTCAAACGCCTCAGGAGGAATCAGAGACTCAGGGGGAAGAGGGGCCACGTCCACATTCTAAGGAACACACAGGACAATAATTTACACAGATAGAATCATGGACACACACACAAATCAGTTAGTCTGATTGATACACCAATCAATATATTGTACATTCTGGAGGGGCATTTATAAAGGGTTAAATGTTTCCAGAGGGGGACACTCACCGTGTTGGTCTCATTCTTCATCTCTGACTGCAGTGAGACATCTGTTGTATCCTGGTCTAAGGAGTCAAACTGGGGGAACAACAAACATCAGTAAAATCCAGCGATAACAGTGTTGGGCCGGAACTAAAGCCTGCTAAACACACCCTATGGCAAGGGTTTCCTAGCCCAACTGTCACCGCCCCCAGCTCCACTCTCTTACCCCGCCGTCATCATTAGCATTGTTGGATGAGGCCCCATCCAGGTCACCCTCTCCAGATGTCACTGCTTGTTTATCTTTCCTGAAAATGACAGGTACAAATCCCTTTAACTCAATGAGAAATGAAGTGAGGAAGTAGAGCACCATAAAGACTGGTGGCTTGAGTGGTGCTGTGTGTTCACAGGGAGTGAGGCAGGGTACATACCCCTTGACTTATTCCACATTGTGTTGTGCTACAGACAGAATTCAAAATGGATTACATATGGGGAGGGTTTTCCTCACTCATCTACACACAATACCCCATAATGACAAAGTGAAAACATGTTTTTAGACATTTTTGAAGATGAAATACAGAAATATCTAATTTACATAAGTATTCACACCCCGGAGTCAATACTGGGTAAGTCTCTAAGAGCTTTGCACACCTGGATTGTACAATATTTTCACATTATTCTTTTTTAAATTCTTCAAGCATTATCAAGTTGGTTGTTGATCATTGCTAGACAGCCATTTTCAGGTCTTGCCATAGATTTTCAAGCCAATTTTAGTCAACTATAACTAGGCCAACGCTTTGTATTCAAGACATAAAGTTAATTTCTTTGACATATTTGTTTGCAGTTTTACTTTAGTGCCTTATTGCAAACAGGATGCATGTTTTGGAATATTTATATTTTGTACAGGCTTCCTTCTTTTCACTGTCTTCCTGTGTTTGAAATTCACTGCTTGACTGAGGGACCTTACAGATAATTGTATGTGTGTGGTACAGAGATGAGGTAGTAATTCAAAAATCATGTTAAGCACATTTTTACTGCTGAACTTATTTAGGCTTGCCATAACAAATGGGTTGAATACTTATTGACTCAAGACATTTCAGCTTTTAATTTCTTATTAATTTGTTAAAATGACTAAAAAGATTCCACTTTGACGTTATGGGGTATTGTGTGTAGGCCAGTGATACAAAATCTCAATTTAATCCAATTTAAATTCAGGATATAACACAACAAAATGTGGAAAAAGTCAAGGGGTGTGAATACTTTCTGAAGGCACTGTACTTACTTCCTGTTTCTGTCGTTGATGTAGTCCAGAGTTTGGTACACCAGATTGTACAGATGCTCCACCTGAATCAAACAATAATACATTATAATAAAGTGTTTCCCTTATATTCATTTAGCAGTAGCGGGCTGCTAAATCGTTGCAGCCCCACAACAAATACGATAAAAAAATTATATATGATTTTGTTTTGAAAATAATTTGAGGGATGGAAAAACTTTTCAGTGTATACTTAAACCACTAAAGCCAGATATAAAGTATGTAGAAAAGATCATGGCGCAATATATTTTTTAATAAGATCATCTTTGAGAACTAACAATCACCTAAATAAAAACTAGACATTGGGGGAGAATCTAACATTTTTAAAATGTCATGGCATGGAGCCCCCATTGATTTTGTTATAACGTTTGAGTCACTCAGATAGATAGCATAGGAACATGGCATAAGCCATGGCAAAATGTGTAGAATTGAAGGAAATTTGCTTTAAAACTGCAATTTCTCTCAGCCCCATGGCAAAATGTAGAAGAATTGAAGGATATTAGCTTTAAAACTGTTTTTTTTCTCTCTCAGCCAGTCAGCCCCTTGACAAAACATGTGTAGAATTGAAGGAAACAAGTTTTAAAACTGTAAAATTCTCTGCCCCATTTCGAGGGCCTCTAAAAAATGTTGGTCGGAGACGGCGCCGTTGGCCACTCCCGCTACCATGACACCCCCACTTTGCTGAAACAAATCCTAGGGGAAACACTAATAATAATACATTTGATCTGTAACATGCTTTTCAAAAACTCAAGGTGCGAACAATACCAATATCGTAGTTATACCACAGTAGAAATCAAATGAATTGTCGTGGATCACATAGTTACTTTTGGACAACAAGTCAGGAACATTATATGAAACCAGCATATGATGTTGTTCTTTTTTAACAAGGAACTTCTCACCTTCTTGCTGTAGATGCATGCTGAGCCTTGGATGAGCAGCGCTGCCTCTGCAAAGTTCAGAGTGGTTTTGCCCCCATCGAAGGAGATGCACATCTCATCCAACTGCCAGACCATAGAGACAATATGACAGTGGTAAATGCAGTGTATATCAATGTGTAAGAGGAAAAGCTTTCTGAACAGTCTACTCCAGCCTTGGTCTGTGTGATTTTCAAACCAGTTGGTGACTCCATTGATTAATTCAAGGCTGTGTGTTGACACACAACAATGTTGTTAATACAGTTCTTGAAGTCTATTTTGTTTCCATGATTTACCCCATAATGCATGCCACGGGCTCATTCCTACCTCCTCCAGATAATCTGCCAACTCCGAGGCCACATCAATGTCCCAGTTTTTCGTGAGCTCACGGATAGGCTGCAACAAATGGGCGAATCGAGTCTCCACTGTGTCCATGGTTCCACTTAAAATGAGAGATCATCAAATCATGTCAGATTTGAATCAGTGTGATTTTTTGAAAAGCTAACACTATATTCAATAGCTATCTACAAAAGAGATTGGTTGACATTTAGCTATCTAGCTAGAGAACGTTAAAGTTCACAGATGAAAAGTATATTTGGCTTATATAGTCGCTAACGTACTAACGTTACTAGTAGTACTGTATACACCATTACTGTAACGTTAGCTAGCTAGCCAGCTACCAAAATGTTTCAACACAGACATACATGAAATGCTATATGTGGCTATTACACTCACCAAATTATTTCCAATCACTGTAGGCGTTGATTCACAAAATACGACGGTGACCCAAATATTTAATATTTGTTGATCAACTTTGGAGCCCTTTCAAAAGAACCGCGCATCCACCATTTTCATTTATTTATTTTATTTTAGCGTGAGATTTTCATATTCGCCGACTGTTTCCGCTCTGACGTTAGCGTCAACAGAGCTAGGGCTTATCTGCTTTGCTGCCATCTACTGGCGGGAGTACCACTAAAAAACAGCATGAACCCTTCTCACCGAAAGATGGAGCACTTGGATTTTATATTTACAAGCCATCATTGAATAAGTGTGATGACGTTCGATGCTTGTGGCCAGTTAGGCTGCGTTTAAACAGACAGCTCAAATCTGATGTTTTGCCTTATCAGATCAGATATTTTGTCAATAATTTGACAAATATATATTTGGCTGCCTGTGTAAACGCAGCCTTAGTTATCGTTTGGAAATCAAACGAGCTCCTGTTTGTCATATCAACGCTTTTGATTTTTTATCAAAATACTAAAACATCAACCAATATCAGCAATGCAACATTTCGTTTTATGCAACATTTCTACAGTTGGTGTATACATGTTCAACTTTTATTGCATATAGGCCTAATTCACACAATGTTATTTGACTTTGCCTCTAGTTTATATGCTCTGTAAGCCATGCATCAAAAACATTTAATGTGGTTTAGTTTTTAACCAGTGGTAGGGAAACTATTCTGAAAATATAGTTTACCAAGCTACCAATTAGGCCTACTTCACACTGTAAGAAGTTTTAGGCAACTAAAGTTACTTTAAAGGGGTAGGCTACATCACTACTTTCAAACTACTTCGTGAAAAATTCTCATATTTAAACATGAAATGTCATAGACTACAAATTTCAAGAACAGATAACTCTGGAGTCAGCTGTTCACAGAATGTGTAATTTAGCCTATTGCAAAACATGTTTCAAGTGAGAATTAGGCAGGTCTGATGCCGAAAAAGTAAGACAAATCTTGCTTCTTCACCCATATTTTATTTTTTGCAAAAAAAAGTATTGTGTAGTTCCATTAGTTAGCTACACCGCTACATGGCAAAAAAAGTAGGCTAATTAACTACTGAAAAAAATACTAAGATTTGAATTTAGTTCAACTACCACCAAGTGACTGCAAAATGTAGTGAAATTACTAGTTGAAATAGGCTACTTGTAGTTCGCTAATCGCTACTCCCCAACACTGTTAACCCTTGCCTGGAAACCCGATGTTGAATTGCAATTAATTTTACGTCGGGTAGAAAAGAGTGTTTGTACCCATACTTATGTACATAGCACAGAGAGTGGATAATGCCACCCATAACCTTTTTCAACTGCTTGCTATAGGGACCGCCAACATATCCCCAGGTGATAGTGATAGGCTAGACTAGCCTATGATGCCCATACATTGTCCACAGAACCATAATATATTTTCTGACACACATATAGTGATGCCCTTCAGGGCCATTATAACAGTCTATGGGTGTGTTCGTCAATTCAATCTGGAGTGCCAGAGTGCGCTCTGGGCGTTTGTAAATTCAGAGCGTTGTCAGATTGTCCTTTCGTAAATTCAGAGCGTTTCGCTCTCAGAGCACACACTGGACGCTCTGGCCGAGGAGTAGGGATGATCCGAGCGTTCTGACCTCACAACCGCAGTCAAGTACCCAAGGTAACTGGCTAACGTTGGCTAACTTGCTAGCTACTTTCAGACACAAATGAGAGAACAGCCTCACTCTGACCATTTTACTCGCCCTAGCAGAGCTGGTTGGGCTGTTTTCATGTTATCCAGAGCGTTGACTGTGCTGCTGGCAACAATTTAATTAAGCTTTTTTTGCCAACGTTTACTGACACCAGCCATATTCAACGGGTGTTGAACGTTCATAAATTCATCAGTTATTCTGCGCTCTGGCACACTCAGACTAGAGTGCTCTGAAATCGAAGTAGATAGCCAGAACGAATTTACAAACGTACCCTATGTGGGTGATATTCTCCTTTCAGGCTTGACCTTGACACAATGACCTCTCTGTGGCTTCCCTATAGGCCTATTGTATGTTTGACCCTTGCAGATGAAGCCAGCAGTAGGCATATTTGCCTAAGTCTATCAATGATCCAGGCCTATTGCTAAGTAAGGTCATACATTTGTCAAATAGCATGCTGCTTGTTGTGTAAAGTGATTTGAGGCCCTGGACCTGCTTGTCTTTCCCGCTGCGTCCGCACCCCATCCAGCTCTCTCCTTTGGGGCGGCAGCGCGCGCGTTTTGAGTAAGACCCTACATCTTTAAAGACCATCATAAATCAATTTTAGGCCTACATAACAACATGTGTGTGTCCCCAACAAAGACTCGGTATATTCAAAGCCAAACAAATAAGGTGGTTAATTAAAAAGTTAGTTAGACTAATTCAACGGGCACAATCCCATTTAAAATGGGATTTGTGTGGTTATTGTAGCCTATAGCAGCAGGCGGGTTAGGGTTTAGCAGCGCTCAGGGAACTGGACACTTCATGGTTTCCATGAAAATACAGGTTTCTTTGAAAGGATTTTCTTGGAATTTTGTAAAAAAAATATATATATATATTTATCTCTCTCCCGCTCTACCACTAGCTCTCTTTCTTCTATTCTCTCTCACACACAGGCAGACACGCACACACATTATGAGCAAGCGAATATATTAATGAGGTGCAGCTGGCTTGGCACTACCTTTAAAATGGTTGCGCTCTACACCACGTGACGCGATTCCTGGAAAGTTCTTGGAAATCGGTCTTTTGTGTATAGCTGTGGGTTTAATGAGGATTTGGTTATTAAAAACACATACCGAAGGAAGGGGATTCAACGCCGCAGAAAAGACGGTCATTGGGATCTGTACCAAAAACAAGACAAGCGTGGTTTGGTGACTTTCTGCATGGTATTTTACATCTTTTAACATTACCAGCAGCGAGCGAGTCGTGCCAAGTCGATTTGCCTCGGTCGCGAGACGTTGTCATCGCCTGGAAAATATTCTGAGTTTGTTTGCCATCACGCCAAATTGCCAACCGATTGATTAGCCCGCCAGAAGATAAATAATACGACATGGAAAACTCTAGCTATGTGATCTGTCATCTTTCAGTGTGATCGACATGGCTAAACTAGCTAGCCGTTCCCTGGAAGTGTATAGCTAATGAGCGGGTTTGTGCTTTGTTTATTAATCTTAGTCCCCTTTCTTTAGGGAGAAGTGCGTATTTGAATGATCATCGGTAGAGTCGTTTGGTGCTGGATCCACTCGCAAATAGGTGAGAATTCATTAATATAACTATCAGTTAATAGTATATTTACTTTGTAAACTAGCTAGTCAGCATTAGATAGCTAAAATGTAATGTTAGCTATGTGTTGTGAACATTATGCAAATGTCACGTGCTTTATTGGCTTTGGAACGGGGTTATTTAAAAACGACGGTGCAAATTTACACAACCACAATGGAGGCTTTAATGTAGCCTACACAAAATAATCAATTAAACATAGCCACAATAGACAAGCTGCAAACACCGAACAAGGCTGATGATGGTGATTTATCTGTTTTCAGTATCCCCTCCCTGCATATAGTGAGTTTAAACTGCCATTGCAATTTCCGAGAAGTAGAGTCGATTTCGCAGAACGTTCCCTAATCTGTTTACTTATATTTGAATGCAGACATTAAAAAAAAAAACGTCCCTAATCTTTCATCTCCAATGATGAATTGTAATACCTCGCGCATATAAGTGAAAGTTTTATTTTATTTTATTGTTTTATTTAAGATTTATCAAGCGAATGAATTAGGCTTTTCAGTGTTCACCTTGTTTCGTGCTCCCTTCCTTGCCATACCTTGTTGTTTCATGCTCCCTTCCTTGCCATGTTTAAAAAAATAAATAAAAACTTGCGCAAACGTAACCCCCATTCATATACATCAACTACCTTTAGCGCCTATTGAAGTATCTTCTGGCATGGGGAGTTAGAGCCCGGACGCTCGTTCTGATAGTTAAAACGCGTCACTTGCGGTAAGATTTCGGAAACATAAGGAATGTATCTTTCATATCAGAGAGAAATTCAATTACTACACGCCTTTATAGGTTTAGGATTCCCACACAGTTATATTTCTATGTTACAGGGATACCAGTACCGAGTTGATGTGGCGGCAGGTAGTTTAGTGGTTAAGAGCGTTGTGACAGTAACCGAAAGGTCGCTGGTTCTAATCCCCGAGCCGACTAGGTGAAAAATCTGTCGATGTTCCCTTGAGCAAGGCACTTAACCCTAATTGCTCCTGTAAATCGCTGTGGATAAGAGCGTCTGCTAAATGACGTAAATGTAATGTACGAGGTAATTTCAGGTAGATTTGTAGGCTACTTAAGGGTAGGGGTAAAGTGACTAGGCAACAGGATATATATTAAGCATTAGCAGCAGTTTATGTGATGAGTCAGAAGAATTAGTGCAAAGGTGGGTCAATGCAGATAGTCCGGGTAGCTATTTGGTTAACTATTTAGCAGGCTTATGGCTTAGGGGTAGAAGCTGTTCAGGGTCCTGTTGGTGCATCCTTGCGGTAGCAGAGCAAACTGTCTATGACTTGGGTGGCTGGAGTCATGACTTGGGTGGCTGGAGTCATGACTTGGGTGGCTGGAGTCATGACTTGGGTGGCTGGAGTCATGACTTGGGTGGCTGGAGTCAAGCACATAACGGATATGTTACAATGTAACGTTAGCTGTTATCTAGCACGAATGTCCGTGGCTAAACTGCATTCATGTACGTGTGTGTTGTATTTATTAATTTACAGGACGATACATTCATTCATAAAATTAAAGAAGAAACTTGCTGAAGAAACTGGTCTTTCGACTGTGGGGCAACTGCCTGTCTTTTGGGGAATATTTTTGCATTTGTCGGATGTCTTTTGGCCTACGGCTGGGCAATTTCGGGTGGTTCCCTAATGACCTGCCACTCACCCGAATCCACGGAGACCGTCGAAAATGAGAGAAGAACGGATACGGAGTCACGAGTTGTAGATTCCGATGAGACTCGCATCGCTCAGGCCATGAAAGACCTTAAAAATACAGGTGAGTGCATGTCCTCATTTTATAGTTTTAGATTAACTCTACACACACATTTCGACATGATTACTAAATGTGCCTATTTTCAGTGTTCTAGTACAGTTTTACCAGTACCGTTACAAACATACGAGCATGACACAGAATGTCAATAGCTTTTCTGAATTACAAATAAACGATATAGCCTAACTTTCAAAATATTTATTTGTAATAAAAACGCAAAACAAGGTAATGTATCTCTATTATGGCCCTGAAAAAACGAGTAATTATAAAGCAAACTAGTTTGAAAGTAACCTTATCTAAATGCTCGTGCCCATATCTATCAAGATATGCATGCGGTCATGCAGTACGCACTGTCTGTATTCATTATGTATGGTTGAAAATGACAACTAAACAAAGCACACTTGGCATTCCATCGTTCAATGAATGCATTTCACCTCTATTTATCCTGAACAGTAACGGATTTAGTCTCTTGAAAATCGTAGTAATTCGTGCACGAGGTAGACACTTCACTTTGTTTTTAAGTCGCAGAATGTATAAGGACGTTTTGTTATAGGCTATTGTGAGTTTGTTGGAAGACTACTTTTTTTTTACAATTAGACGCATTCAAATGAAAAAATGTTCAGAACATGTCTATGAATTAATACAATGTGCCTTCATTCATAAGTTAGGCATTGATGTTAATTGTTCTTAGAAGTCACACGAATTGTGTTCATTTACTGTTCTAATGAAATGTATGTTCCACTTCAAATGCTGTTAGAGTGAATTATAGGATTGCCATTATGTGAATGCTGTGGAGAGGGGGATCATTCTTATTTTTAGAGATGCACAAAGGGCTGGTCCAATGCTGTGATCTTAAAACGGAGGTGTTCATTTATTAGGTAGGCATTTGTGGGCTATTCAAAGATCAAGCATCTTTAATGTATTTTAAGAGGCATGTATTATCATTAAAGGGGGGGAAAAGCATGTGAACTTCATATTCATCATCTCCAGCAACACCCCTACATCAACATATGTGAAAATTGCCCATTTCTATGTTTTGTAGTAAAAAATATGGAAGGTAAGTGTTTCCAATGACATCACCAATTATTAGTAGGCATTGCTTACTAATTGGTTGATGTCATTGGAAACACATATCTTCAATATTTTTTACTACAAAACATAGAAACGGGCAATTTTCACATGTTGATGTTGGGGTGGTGCTGGAGATGATTAATATGAAGTTGACTTATTTAATTTTTTTTCCTTAATTTTACAAGCAAAGCAAATTTTTTGACTAAAACATAATAATTTCAATACTTGCTTATGATCATGTTTCTCTATTATAACAACAATTCAATAAAACAATAATGTGTGTGTATGCATACATACATTACAGTACCAGTCAAAAGTTTGGACACACCTACTCATTCAAGGGTTTTTCTTTATTTTTACTATTTTTTACATTGTAGAATAATACTGAAGACATCAAAACTATTAATTAACACATGGAATCATGTAGTAACCAAAAATGTGTTAAACAAATCAAGATATATTTGACATTCTTCAAATAGCCATCCTTTGCCTTGATGACAGCTTTTTACACTCTTGGCATTCTCTCAACCAGCTTCACCTGGAATGCTTTTCCAACAGTCTTGAAGGAGTTCCCACATATGATGAGCACTTGTTGGCTGCTTTTATTTCACTCTGCCGTCCGAGTCATCTGATGCAGCACTCCATCACTTTCCTTCTTGGTAAAATAGCCCTTACACAGCCTGGAGGTGTGTTGGGTCATTGTCCTGTTGAAAAACAAATGATAGTCCCACTAAGACCAAACCAGATGGGATGGCGTATCGCTGCAGAATGCAGTGGTAGCCATGCTGGTTAAGTGTGCCTTGAATTCTAAATAAATCACAGACAATGTCACCAGCAAAGTACCCCCACCCCATCACACCTCCTCCTCAATGCTTTACAGTGGGAACTAAACATGCAGAGATCATCCGTTCACCCACACCGCGTCTCACAAAGACACGGCGGTTGGAACCAAAAATCTCAAATTTGGACTCCAGACCAAAAGACACATTTCCACCAGTCTAATGTCCATTGCTTGTTTCTTGGCCCAAGCAAGTCTCTTCTTATTATTGGTGTCCTTTGGTAATGGTTTCTTTGCAGCAATTAGACCATGAAGGCCTGATTCACACAGTCTCCTCTGAACAGTTGATGTTGAGATGTGTCTGTTACTTGAACTCTGTGAAGCATTTATTTGGACTGCAATTTCTGAGGCAGGTAACTCTAATGAACTTATCCTCTGCAGCTGAGGTAACTCTGGGTCTTCCATTCCTGTGGCGGTCCTCATGAGAGCCAGTTTCATCATAGCGCTTGATGGTTTTTGCGACTGCACTTGAAAAAACTTTCAAAGTTCTTGACATTTTCCGTATTGACTACCTTCATGTCTTAAAGTAATGATGGACTCTCATTTCTCTTTGCTTATTTGAGCTGTTCTTGACATAATATGGACTTGGTCTTTACCAAATAGGGCTATCTTCTGTATACCACCCCTACCTTGTCACAACACATCTGATTGGCTCCAACGCATTAAAAGGAAAGAAATTCCACAAATTAACTTTTAACAAGGCACACCTGTTAGTTGAAATGCATTCCAGGTGACTACCTCATGAAGCTGGTTGAGAGAATGCCAAGAGTGTGCAAAGCTGTCATCAAGGCAAAGGGTGGCTAATTTGTAAGTCGCTCTGGATAAGAGCGTCTGCTAAATGACGTAAATGTAATGTAAATGTAATTATATTTTGATTTGTTTAACACATTTTTGGTTACTACATGATTCCATATGTGTTATTTCATAGTTTTGATGTCTTCACTATTATTCTACAATGGTAAAAATAAAGAAAAACCCTTGAATGAGTAGGTGTCCAAACTCTTGACTGGTAGTGTGTGTGTGTGTGTGTGTGTATGTATGTATGTATGTATATATATATATATTTTTAAAGAAGCAATAAAACTGGGAAGAAGCAAACAATTGTGGGTTCGATTACAGGCTCAAAATGGCTATTCCATGCGAAAAATTACCAAGAAACTGAAGATCTCGTACAACGCTGTATACTACTCCCTTCACAGAACAGCGCAAACTGGCTCTAACCAGAATGGAAAGAGAAGTGGGAGGCCCCGGTGCACAACTGAGCAAGAGGATTTAAGAAAAATTTGCAGTGGTCTATTAATTTTTTCCAGAGCTAGCTATATATATATATATATATATATATATATATATATGTGTATGTATATATGTGTGTGTGATATAGATATATCATACAGCTCTGGAAAAAGTGAAGAGACCACTGCAAATGTTTCTTAAATCAGCATCTCTACATGTATGACAGCCATTCCATTCCAGTGTCTGTTGAATTCCAACACAGGCACACCTCATTCTACTGAATTAGGTGATCACCTGAACCAAATCTTATTTAACAAAGAAAATTATAAAAACCACTGCTGTGTCATCACTATCCTCTTGCAGTAGGACCAGCTGGATGGCAAAAACAGTGCTAATAGTACCTCAAAAGTAATATTAATCAAAAAATAACTATGGACCATCCCAAAAAGGAATGTTTTGAATGAGGAAAATAAGGGTTAAATTCTGGCTTTACTGGCAGAGGGATACAGTGAGCGTCAGGTTGCTTCCATCCTTAAGATTTCAAAGACGGCGGTTCATAAGAACAAGGTCAAGCAGCAGACATTGGAGACGACAAAGCTACAGACCGGCAGAGGGCGGAAACGACTCTCTACTGACCGGGATGACCGCCAACTCATTCGAATGTCACTCAACAACCGTAGGATGACATCAAGTGACCTACAAAAAGAATGGCAAACGGAAGCTGGGGTGAAGTGCACGGCGAGGACGGTTCGAAACAGGCTCCTAGGGGCAGGGCTGAAGTCATGCAAAGCTAGAAAAAAGGCCTTCATCAATGAGAAGTAAAGAAGAGCCAGGCTGAGGTTTGCAAAAGACCATAAGGATTGGACCGTAGAGGACTGGAGTAAGGTCATCTTCTCTGATGAGTCCAATTTTCAACTTTGCCCAACACCTGGTCGTCTAATGGTTAGAAGGAGACCTGGAGAGACCTACAAGCCACAGTGTCTCGCACCCACTGTGAAATTTGGTGGAGGATCGGTGATGATCTGGGGGTGCTTCAGCAAGGCTGGAATCGGGCAGATTTGACTTTGTGAAGGACGCATGAATCAAGCCACGTACAAGGTTGTTCTGTAAGAAGACTTGCTTCCTTTTGCTCTGACATTGTTCCCCAACTCTGAGGATTGGTTTTTCCAGCAGGACAATGCGCCATGCCACACAGCCAGGTCAATCAAGGTGTGGATGGAGGACCACCAGAACAAGACCCTGTCATGGCCAGCCCAATTTCCAGACCTGAACCCCATTGAAAACTTCTGGAATGTGATCAAGAGGAAGATGGATGGTCACAAGCCATCAAACAAAGCCGAGCTGCTTGAATTTCTGCTCCAGGAGTGGCATAAAGTCACCCACATCAATGTGAAAGACTGGTGGAGAGCATGCCAAGACTCATGAAAGCTGTGATTTGAAAATCAGGGTTATTCCACCAAATATTGATTTCTGAACTCTTCCTAAGTTAAAACATTAGTGTTGTTTAAAAATTAACATGAAGTTATTTTCTTTGCATTATTCGAGGTCTGACAACACTACATATTTTTTGTTATTTTGACCAGTTGTCGTATGTATGTATATTATAATTTTTCGCTCAGAAAAGATGGGGGACCAAATAAAACCACCTGTGGGTCACCAGTTGGGGAACCCTGCACTAAAGGGTACCAGTTTTGGCTTGTGAGTGCTACTTTCAGAACTACTGCCTAAAAAGTATACAAAAGTACTGGAGAATCTCTAACCTCCACAAATCCAGTCAAACTTAAGAGTTTTTGGGTTGAGGGTCTGAGGGGGTCAGTGAGAGGGGGGGATGGAGGTAGACAGTCACTGCTGATGTGTAGGCTAACTGCAGAGATTCCTCTCATACATTTCACTGCAAAAGTCACTACAAAAATTGTGAGAATTTAACATGTTAACCCACTCTCTCTAAGACCAAGTGGAATTTGTTTTAAAATTCATGTGGACAGTACAGAGGGCTTTTTTAGGGTAAAGGCTTAGATTCAGGTTTATGTTCATGTGCATAGTTTGACTGTATGTGTGCGTTCGTGCATGAGATTTGGATTTGGATTACCGTCTGTTCTCATAAAAAGGATCTTGTTTTCTTTGAATAGCCCAGTGTTTGTTTTGTCCTGTCTCCTTGTGCTAATGCATGTGTGTGTTTCTCTCTCTCTCTCCTAACAGGCTGGTACTGGGGCAGCCTGACCGCCAACGAAGCCAAAGAGATTCTCCAGAATGCATCGGAGGGAACCTTCCTGGTGCGAGACAGCTCCCAGAGGGACTACCTGTTCACCATCTCTGCCATGACCTCCGCCGGCCCCACCAACTTGCGCATCGAGTACAAGGAGGGCAAGTTTAAACTGGACTCGGTGGTGCTGATCAAGCCCAAGCTCAAACAGTTTGACAGTGTGGTGCACCTGGTGGAACACTACGTGCAGCTGTCCAGGACTACCAGTAAAGGGGCGTCGTCAGGGGAGTCGCAGTCCCTGGCCCCACCCAACGGGACAGTTCAGCTGCTCCTGACCAAGCCTGTGTACACTGCCGTGCCCTCTCTACAGCACCTGTGCCGGATCGCCATCAACAACGCCACCAGGCAGGTGCAGGAGCTGCCTTTACCCAACAGGCTAAAGAACTACCTGACGGACTACAGCTACAATGTATAGTAGGACTACAAATCCCAGGTGTGGTGTGGGATGGGACAGACTACACTCGATTTTATGAGTAGTGGGATAGAGATCAGTGCACCTGCCATGTAGTGGCAGTCAGACTATCACCCAGTCCGAAGTCAACCTTTAGCCCCAACCACTAGGCACGGCTTGACGGCCCTCGTACTTCTGGAAGGGTTGCTGTTGAGCAATATGGTTATAGAGCCAAGTCAACTAGTCCTCAGGAAGCTAGGTGAAATTTATCTCATACTACTACACCCTTCCAGTTCCATTAGCACTACAGTTGTTCATCAAAAAGGGCCTAGGAGTTGGAGCTAAGGGTTGATTTCAGAATGGGTATGTCCGCTACAGAACTTGGTGTGGGTACACCTAGGTCATGTTCATAATCTCTGAAACGGGAGCAAATGTTTTCAAGCCGCGGTGGTATACCCTACCTGCAGACCAGCTCAGGTAAACAGGGTTTCAGACCCTTCTGAACGAGACCCAGGAGGGATGGCAGTTGGCACGCACCTTTTTTTGTTCTCTTTTCAAAGCTCTTTGTTGCTTTATAGACTCTGCCTCTCATGTCTGAGACATGAGCATCTGACACGGTGTCCACTTTTGTTCAGAATTATGTTTTCGTTTGTTCATATTCTATATTTTCTTTTTTTTGTTCTGTAATCATAAGAAGGGGCAGTGTTGGGGAGTAGTGAACTACATGTAGTGCAACTAGTCATTGAACTACATTTGTCAGTATCTTGGTGGTAGTTGAACTCAATTCTAATCTTGGTAGTGTTTTGAGTTAATTACTTATTTTGCTAACTACTGGAACTACACTACTTTTTTTTTTTTTTTATGATTAATTTGGCAATAACTTCCTTTCTTTTTCGGCATCAGACCTGCCTAATTGTCACTTTTTAAAGTGTTTTTGTTTAATAGGCTAAATTATTATAATTTGACTCCAGAGTGATCTGTCTTGCAATTTGTAGTCTGACATTTCAGATATAATTTTTCACGTAGTAATTTGGATGTAGTGAACTACTTTTTCAAAGTAACTTTAGTTAAGTAAGCTATAAGTGTAGCGTAACTTCTTCCAGTGCAAAGTAATTGGTAACTTGGTAAACTATATTTTCAGAGTAGCTTCCCCAACACTGAGAAGGAAGATTATTTTATTTTTTAAACTAAATTCAGATTTTTTTCTGGTTAAAAAATCGCAAGCAATATACAGGCTTCAAATCTGCCGTTGGTTTCTCTCACTCTGTCTCGCTCTGCCTCCTCCTGCTAAGAGGTTAAAAATAATTGATTTCAGTAAGTTCTCAGTCCTGGATTTTGCTTCCACTACGCCTCAGTGTTCTGCGAAACATCAATACTTCATCACTGCATTGTCCTTCAATAGAAAATGCCCTTGAGCAAGTCAATACTCACACCTCAGAACTAGACCTTGGTTAGACAGACAGGCTGTATCTAACATCAAGCTGCTACAGCTGTGATAAAAGAAGGAATTACATTTCCAAGGGCATATTGGATCAACGTGAATCTTATTTTAATCAATATTTTTGGAAGTATTTATTTACTGTGCTACTGTGTTTTCTAGAAAAAGAACGTAACAAAGTTACAAAAATAAACTCTGAAAGCATGCTTTATCATTGCCTCTATTCTGCGATTTGGGAGGCAATAATGAATGTGATGTTGGGGTGTCATGGCGCTCCTGTGTATTGTTCGACTCATTCTCAATCTACAGTACATACAGTTGAAGTTGGAAGTTTACATACATTAACATTTGTTTTTCAACCACTCCACACATTTCTTGTTAACAAACTATAGTTTTGGCAAGTCGGTTAGGACATCTACTTTGTGCATGACACAAGTAATTTTTCCAACAATTGTTTAAAGACAGATTATTTCATCATGGGAAAATCAAAAGAAATCAGCCAAGACCTCAGATTTTTTTTTTGTAGACCTCCACAAGTCTGGTTCATCCTTGGGAGCAATTTCGAAATGCCTGAAGGTTCCACATTCATCTGTACAAACAATAGTACGCAAGTATAAACACCATGAGACCATGCGGCCGTCATACCGCTCAGGAAGGAGACGCGTTCTGTCTCCTAGAGATGAACGTACTTTGGTGCGAAAAGTGCAAATCAATCCCAGAACAACAGCAAAGGACCTTATGAAGATGCTGGAGGAAACGGGTACAAAAGTATCTATATCCACAGTAAAACTGAGTCCTATATCGACATAACCTGAAAGGCCGCTCAGCAAGGAAGAAGCCACTGCTCCAAAACCGCCATAAAAAAGCCAGACTACGGTTTGCAACTGCACATGGGGACAAAGATTGTACTTTTTGGAGAAATGTCCTCTGGTCTGATGAAACAAAAATAGAACTGTTTGGCCATAATGACCATCGTTATGTTTGGAGGAAAAAGGGGAAGGCTTGCAAGCCGAAGAACACCATCCCAAGCGTGAAGCACGGGGGTGGCAGCATCATGCTGTGGGGGTGCTTTGCTGCAGGAGGGACTGGTGCACTTTACAAAATAGATGGCATCATGAGGAAGGAAAATTATGTGGATATATTGAAGCAACATCTCAAGACCTCAGTCAGGAAGTTAAAGCTTGGTCGCAAATGGGTTTTCCAAATGGACAATGACCCCAAGCATACTTCCAAAGTTGTGGCAAAATGGCTTAAGGACAACAAAGTCAAGGTATTGGAGTGGCCATCACAAAGCCCTGACCTCAATCCTATAGAAAATGTGTGGGCAGAACTGAAAAAGCGTGTGCGAGCAAGGAGGCCTACAAACTGACTCAGTTACACCAGCTCTGTCAGGAGGAATGGGCCAAAATTCACCCAACTTATTGTGGGAAGCTTGTGGAAGGCTACCCGAAACGTTTGACCCAAGTTAAACAATTTAAAGGCAATGCTACCAAATACAAATTGAATATATGTAAACTTCTGACCCACTGGGAATGTGATGAAATAAATAAAAGCTGAAATAAATCATTCTCTCTACTATTATTCTTACATTTCACATTCTTAAAATAAAGTGGTGATCCTAACTGACATAAGACAGGGAATTTTTACTAGGAATAAATGTGAGGAATTGTGAAAAACTGAGTTTAAATGTATTTGGCTAAGGTGTGTGTAAACTTCTGACTTCAACTGTACAGTTCAGTGTGAACAATTCTCGCAGAATATTCCAGAATTGACTCTTGATACATGATCATGACATTTACCGTTTTTCATATGGTGCTTAAAAACAAGTGTCTAATGTTTTCTCTCTGAGAGGAAACCAGAAAAATAAAACAAAAAAGAAAGGAACGTGTCTTCGATTCCAATCTCTGTGTGAAGGTTCTTTTCAGTTTACATTTAGCTGTAGGCTCTGGGGCAAGAGGTTGGGTCGATGTGGAGGGGGAACAGGGATGAGGCACCAGTCAATATTGTTTTTGTTTGAAATTAAACATAATAGAACCCACCCACCGGCCACTAAAACAATCGATTCCTGCTACTGAGACCTGGCTTTGCACGCAACAACGCCGGCACACATAGCGCTGGTCTCTGTGGGTTAGTTGGCTGCATTCCTGCGGCTTCTACGGCAGGCTGGGACGTTTAGACTAGACCGGGGCAGATAGAAATGTAACGGATAGAATTTTATGCAAGACAGAGAATCATCAATCTCATGTCTGTTCTGCAGAATATATTTCTGTAAATGTAATGTTGAGTTGTCCTGAATAATATGCCCCTTGTTAGCAGTAGATGCAAAACACTATACAAAGGTGCAGATTGGAGTAGACTGAATTGAGGCAATTTCCTATGACTAAAAAAACCTGAGTGCTTCAGTAGGCTATATGTTCCAATTTCCACCTGCAGCATTGTTCAGCTTTATGTAGTGCATGTTGGATCCATCCTTGCTCACAGTGCAGTGGTTTACCCACTGAGAGAACACACTGTGTGTGGGACACAGCGGCTGCAGCCTGCTTAGCTCTGGGCCCTCGTGGCCTAGCTAGCGCTGGTTTGATGAGATCAGGTTGGGGATTAGATCGTATTCTGCATGTGGAGTAGAACGTGAATATAAGCCCCGTGCCCATGCTTACACTTTCTATAGGGACTGTTCGTTCTGTAGCGGTCGCATGATGGAAAGGCCGGTAGTGTAGGGATGTTGGCTGCTGTACCTGCAGGTTCTCACCTTCCCCAGTCCCAACTGCCATTAATCCCAGTTAGCAAGGAGAAAGGTTTAAATTTAGCAGACTGGAAAATCTGCCTGTTTGGTAACACCACCTGAACACTCAATATGGACAGATTTTGTGTGCAGACAATGTAGCAGAAAGCATTTGTCTGAGAAATCCGCTGGGACCAAGAACAAACCTTGATATGGGCCAAGTAGTGCTATTGGAGAGACAGCCTTAGAATATGTCCATAGGTGTTGCATTCATAACTGATTGCTAACCAATTACATCTTGATCATGTGTGTCTTCCTGCCTTGTCTCTTCATGTTATATACCTCAAGTCACCTGCAAAGCACCTCTACTGTCAACTAATTTTATAATACATCACTTAGAGGCATAACACTTGCTTCATTTCATGACAGAAAGTTTGATACGTTTGCCCCTAGGGCAACAGGTTATAAAACAGGTCTGTTTTACATAAATTGTCAATTTCACTCCACATTGCTTCCTCCTTTCATAATCCGTGATAACTGCAGACTTCAACAAAGCCTTGTTGTAATGGCTGAAGACTAAGAGGTACTGTATCAACCAGGACTCAAAGGTAAGACAGTTGATGACCGGTTGAATAGGAAGAAGACATGGAAGAAGGCTCAAGGATCAAGGCTGTCAATTGTCATATCGACCATGGTTTAGGGTCAGGGTTTCCCCTGCTATGCTGTATGGAAGCTATCTGACACTCCCTGAAGGGAGAGTAAGTAGACCTTCTAGAGCTGACGGCTTAGTGTCGTTTGCTGCAAAGCTCTCACCGGGTCACTAGGGCGTTCTCTTTCACTGTAAACCTGTTAGTGTCTTACACAGGCTTTCTGTTATCAATCACTGGTCCAACCTGTTCTGGTATCTGTTATTATTACTGAGATATTTGAAAGGCAAATACAGCATCCTTGTTCTTATCATTAATATCCAAGTCTTGCATGCAAATATGAAGCCTGGTAACAGCCTCAAAAGAGCAGTTGGGACATGAGTTTGAGCACTGATCTCATATCTGGACATGGTTCAGTAATGCAGAACTGGGTGCAGCTAGTCACATTTTAAAGTTGAATATTAATTGTGCAGTTCATCTCTATTATTGTAGTATTATTAACACCTTTAAGCACCAGAGATGCAGAGATGTTCCTTCGTCTCTGTTTGCCTTCTCATGTAATTATGGTGTCTTGGCTCTGCAGCCGTATAGGTTTTAGACTGGACACTGTTCTGAGAGTTCAAATGCTTTGCACTGACACTGCACATTGCCACACGGATGGGACATGAGGTTCAGATGCAACTGTAACTGGAAATGGCATGACAATGATGACATGTAGGCATGCCTGTCAACAACATGGGTTTAACTCATTAACTGGTGTCACATGGGATCCCATCAGGGATTTATACTCAAGGCTTCGGCTCCCTCACCTTATACCTCTAAAGCACAACTTACAGTGTTTTGTTTTTCAGAAGTAGAAGAAACATTTTGACATTTAATTCAAATGAATGTAAAAAATAAACAATGCTTCTCTAGGGTGCATTGTTTACAAGACAAACATGAGACAGGTTAATTATGCCACAGACAGAATATTTTTTCAAAGAGCCATCAGAGAGGAAAGACTACTTAGCTCAAGTTTTTAGTCAGACATTACATAGCTGTGCCCCTGATGAGGAAGTAAACGGGCTGGCAATTGCATTGGGGAACATTCCTCAGTGGCTGTTTTCCGAAACCAAGTGTAGATGTGAATATGATTGAGGGCAGCAGAGAAGGGGGTGAATATGTGAGACGGTGTGTGGAGAGCTATATAGATAATCAGTATTATGTGTTTTTAGGGATATATACAGATGGTTCAAAGGATCCATTCAGTGGTAGGGTGGGGGCTGGGGTGTATATCCCAGATTTTAATGTTAGTCAGTGTATGCGGCCGAGTTGATGGCCATGATTATAGGTTTGAGATGGGTGGAGGAGATGAAACCACTCAGAGAGGTGATCTGCTCTGATTCGGCTGAGGTGTTGAGTAGTGTGAAGACGGGCAGGTCAGATAGGGGAGACTTGTTTGTGGAGATGATGGTGCTGTTAATGGGATTGGAGAGGATTGGAGTGGTGGTAAGCTTTTGCTGGGTTCCCGCCCATGTGGGTGTGGAGGGTAATGAGAAGGCTGATGTGGTGGCTAAGGAGAGCGGGGGTAGATATTCAGGTCCCACTGGGCCGCAGGGAAGTCAAGTCCTTGATCCGGGCAAAAGGGCTTGATTTTTGGCAAAGGGAGTGGGATGATAGTAGTAATGGGAGGCAATTGTATCGGTCAGTAAAGGAAGAGGTGGGGAGTATGGGATGTAGGAGAGAGGAAGTTGTGTGGAGTAGACTACAGTCTGGGCACACAGGTGGATGATAGGGAGACATGAAACAGGCCTGTGTGATGAGTGTTTAGTGGAGGAAACGGTGGAGCATGTGTTGATATTTTGTGAATTGTATGATAGGGAGAGATTATGTGAAATGGTTAGAGAGGCTGGACATTTTGTGAACTGTATGATAGGATAAGATTATGTGAAATGGTTAGAGAGGCTGGACGGGGCTGGGGTTTGGGTGGTGTAGTGGGGGGAGGAAAGTGGTGTCTAGGGCTCTATTTCACTTTCTTAGAGGAACAGGACTAATGAAGATAATTTTATGTAGTTAGGCCGTGACTGGCGTCACACTCCAGTACAGTAGGTGGCAGTGTATTGCGCCTTAAAGGTTGGGTGCGATCCGCAAACCCAATCACAAAGAAGAGGAAGTAAGCAGCTGAGCATGCAGGAAAGTTATTGTCTAAATGTGTTAAAACAAGAGGAATGACAGTTGACATTGATATGAATAATGTAATAAGGTTAGTTTTGTTCACGTTGAGACAACCAAAACAAGAAATTGTTTGCGTATATGCTGCAGTTAACGTTAGCAGCAAACCAACGTCACATGAAGGCGAGCTAGCTGGCTAGCAAACGTAAGCTAGGTAATGTTAGTCAATAAATATTGCCTATGGCGGGTTAGTTTGACGAAATAAATGTTTGTAGACCTTAGGTACGACTAACTAGTTATTTCATGACAACTATGGACCCGAGGCACAAAGAAATACTCAGGAAACACCGGCTGGACCTGTCCAATCAAATTTTAATTGATGACACCATAGTTCCATTCCTGTACCAGGAGAACATTTTAACAGAGAGCCAGGTGGACGAGATTCAGTCTCAAATAAGCAACAAGAAGAAGACGTTGAGACTGCTGGATATCCTTCCCAGCCGTTTGGTACATTTCTGAATTCCCTGGAGGAAGAGTTTATTTGGGTGAGAGACAAGCTACTCCAGGATTTGGAGCAACCCAATGTACCTGTTCAAAGTCCAACAGGTGAGTCAGATGCCAAGTGTTTGACGTCATACTAACGTTATAGGCTAGATTTTCAATGGCCCTTCCTTTGTACAGTAAAAAGACCATAGAAATAGAATAGGTAGCTAGAACCAATCAAGATAGTTCAAACCAGTGCTGGGCTTGCACTGATAGGTGCTGGTACTTATTTTTGAGTGCAGGTACTGTTTATATTTAGGTGTAGGAACTCTGCAATACTTTTATGCTAATATTCTATAAGAGGTGCAGGAACTCAAGCAGTAGGACATTTGAGGTGCCAGAACTCAGTTCCAGTGAGCTCCTGCCCAAGTCAAGCACTGGTTCTAACCATATAAATATAATTACTCTAAAGAATAAACAATATTAGTAATTTATTACATTTGTAAAGCACTTTTTATTATACAAGAATAATCTAAAAGTGTATCAAATAAAAGGTAAATTAGAAAAAAATAGTAAAATAAATAAACTTGATAATATAAAGAACAGAAATGTTAAAATGATATAACCATATCATGAAAGCAACAATGAGATAGGAGGAAGGGTAGGCCAGCTGATAGAGATTAGTCTTAAAGGCCTGCTTTAAATGCCCCAACATGTTGACCAGCCCTGAGATTGTCAGGAAGGGAGTTTCAAAGGCATAGTGCGTGGGAGGAAAAGGCCCTTAATTCTATGGTTCTAACATTTGTTTGCAGTTGTTGTATGCCTATTGCCCTGCAATATATCTGCACAATAAATCAAATCAAATCAAATCAAATTTTATTGGTCACATGCGCCGAATACAACAGGTGCAGACATTACAGTGAAATGCTTACTTACAGCCCTTAACCAACAGTGCATTTATTTTAAACAAAAAAAGTAAGAATAAAACAACAACAAAAAAAGTGTTGAGAAAAAAAGAGCAGAAGTAAAATAAAGTGACAGTAGGGAGGCTATATATACAGGGGGGTACCGTTGCAGAGTCAATGTGCGGGGGCACCGGCTAGTTGAGGTAATATGTACATGTGGGTAGAGTTAAAGTGACTATGCATAAATACTTAACAGAGTAGCAGCAGCGTAAAAAGGATGGGGTGGGGGGGCAGTGCAAATAGTCCGGGTAGCCATGATTAGCTGTTCAGGAGTCTTATGGCTTGGGGGTAGAAGCTGTTGAGAAGTCTTTTGGACCTAGACTTGGCACTCCGGTACCGCTTGCCGTGCGGTAGCAGAGAGAACAGTCTATGACTAGGGTGGCTGGAGTCTTTGACAATTTTGAGGGCCTTCCTCTGACACCACCTGGTATAGAGGTCCTGGATGGCAGGAAGCTTTGCCCCAGTGATGTACTGGGCCGTACAATAACAATAACTGCAATATGTCTGCATAGTACACAGAAAAAAATGAGGCTTTCCTTTGCACAAACATTCCATAACAATACCATTCTGGTTTGGTGTCAATATGGCATCCATCCAAAATTCGAACTCTTAAAAACGTAGAAATCGATTTTATTCTCAGAAACTATAGAAAATTGCTTTGAAATTGAAGGTCGCTCCAAATCACATTTTATTTGTCACATGCTTCGTAAACAACAGGTGTAGACTAACTAGGGCTGTGACAGATGATGCAATCTCTATTGCACTCCACACTGCCCTTTCCCACCTGGACAAAAGGAACACCTACGTGAGAAGGCTATTCATTGACTACAGCTCAGCGTTCAACACCATAGTGCCCTCAAAGCTCATCACTAAGCTAAGGATCCTGGGACTAAACACCTCCCTCTGCAACTTGATCCTGGACTTCCTGACGGGCCGCCCCCAGGTGGTAAGGGTAGGTAACAACACATCTGCCACGCTGATCCTCAACATGGGGGCCCCTCAGGGGTGCGTGCTCAGTCCCCTCCTGTACTCCCTGTTCCCCCATGACTGCATGGCCAGGCACGACTCCAACACCATCATTAAGTTTGCAGATGACACAACAGTGGTAGGCCTGATCACCGACAACGATGAGACAGCCTATAGGGAGGTGGTCAGAGACCTGGCCGTGTGGTGCCAGGATAACAACCTCTCCCTCAACGTGATCAAGACAAAGGAGATGATTGTGGACTGCAGGAAAAAGAAGAGGACCGAGCACGCCCCCATTCTCATCGACAGGGCTGTAGTGGAGCAGGTTGAGAGCTTCAAGTTCCTTGGTGTCCACATCACCAACAAACTATCATGGTCCAAACACACCAAGACAGTCGTGAAGAGGGCACGACAAAGCCTATTCCCCCTCAGGAGACTGAATAGATTTGGCATGGGTCCTCAGATCCTCAAAAAGTTCTACAGCTGCACCATCGAGAGCATCCTGACTGGTTGCATCACTGCCTGATATGGCAACTGCTCGGCCTCCGACCGCAAGGCACTACAAAGGGTAGTGCGTAAAGCCCAGTACATCACTGGGGCCAAGCTTCCTGCCATCCAGGACCTCTATACCAGGCAGTGTCAGAGGAAGGCCCTAAAAATTGTCAAAGACTCCAGCCACCCTAGTCATAAACTGTTCTCTCTGCTACCGCACGGCAAGCGGTACCGGGGCGCCAAGTCTAGGTCCAAAAGGCTTCTTAACAGCTTCTACCCTCAAGCCATAAGACTCCTGAACAGGTAATCAAATGGCTACCCTGACTATTTGCATTGTGTCCCCCCCCCCCCCCCCCCTATCTTTTACGCTGCTGCTACTCTCCGTTTACTATCTCTGCATAGTCACTTTAACTATACCTACATGTGCATATTACCGCAATTACCTTGACTACCCGGTGCCCACGCAAATTGACTCTGTACCGGTACCCCCTGTATATAGCCTCGCTACTATTATTTTTACTGTTATTTTACTGCTTTAATTTTTTTACTTATCTATCACTTATTTCTCTTAACTGCATTATTGGTTAGGTCTTGTAAGTAAGCATTTCACTGTAAGGTCTACACCTGTTGTATTCGGGCATGTGACAAATACAATTTGATTTTGTTTTCTTAATTTGTTGATTAATATTTATACGTAATAACCTGAATGATAATAACGAAGTGTAATGGTTTGTTTCAAATTGGTTTTATTAGGACGCATATCCATGTAAACAAGTGTACAAACAGAATTGTGACCTCCCTTTTTTGAACCCCCTCCCCCCTCATGAACGGTTATGTCGGTGACAATGTACATTGGCCTGGACAATTACCTTAACCTCAAATTCCAAGACCGTCACAGCCCTAAGACTAACAATGAAATGCTTAGGCCTACTTACGGGCCCTTCCCAACAATACAGAGATGTGTACATATAACTATACTGAACAAAAATATAAATGTAAAGTGTTGGTCCCATGTTTCATGAGCTGAAATAAAAGATCCCAGAAATGCACAAAAAGCTTATTTCTCTAAAATGTTGTGCACAAATTTGTTTACATCCTTATTAGTGAGCCTTTCTCTTTTGCCAAGATAATCCATCCACCTGACATGTGTGGCATATCAAGAAGCTGAATAAACAGCACGATCATTACACAGGTGCACCTTGTGCTGGAGACAGTAAAAGGCCACTCTAAAATGTGCAGTTTTGTCACACAACACAATGCCACAGATGTCTCAAGTTTTGAGGGAGCATGTAATTGGCATGATGACTGCAGGAATCTCCACCAGAGCTGTTGCCAGATAATTGAAAGTCAATTTTTCTACCATAAGCTGCCTCCAATGTCGTTTTAGAGTATTTGGCAGTACGTCCAACCGGCCTCAACCGCAGACCACGTGTAACCACGCCAGCCCAGGACCTCCACATCCGGCTTCTTCACCTGCGGGATCGTCTGAGACCAGCCATCCAGACAGCTGATGAAACGGAGGACTATTTCCATCTGTAATAAAGCCCTTTTGTGGGGATAAACTCATTCTGATTGGCTGGGCCTGACTCCCAAGTGGGTGGGCCTAATGCCCTCCCAAGCCCACCCATGGCTGTGCCCCTGCCCAGTCATGTGAAATCCATAGATTAGGGTCTAATGAATTTATTTCAATTGACTGATTTCCTTTATATGAACTGTAACTCAGTAAAATCGTTGAAATTGTTGCATGAGATAGCTGTGTCTTTGTACAATAATGGCGCCGACAGAGAGGGCTGCCTCGCTTCTAGTCCTTAGGAAACTTTGCAGTATTGTTTTTTTATGTATTATTTCTTACATTGTTAGCTCAGAAACTCTTAAGTGTTATTACAGACAGCTGGGAAGAACTATTGGATATCAGAGCGGCGTCAACTTACCAACACTACGACCAGGGATACGACTTTCCCAAAGCGGATCCTTTGTCCACACCACCCAGGGCATTGGAACTGATTCCAGACGCCGACCCAAAACAACGCCGCCGGAGGAGAGGCAGCCGGAGCGGTCTTCTAGTCAGACTTAGGAGGCACGCACACCGCCCATCGCTTCCGAGTATATTACTCGCTAATGTCCAGTCCCTAGATAACAAAGTGGACAAGATCAGGGCAAGGGTTGCTTTCCAGAGAGACATCAGGGATTGTAACATACTCTGTTTGACGAAAACATGGCTCTCTCGGGATATACTGTCCCCGTCCACACAGCCATCTGGGTTCTCATTACATCGCGCCGACAGGAATAAACATCTCTCCGGGAAGAAGAAGGGTGGGGGGTTTGCATGGTGTAATTGTAACAACATACAGGAACTCAAGTCATTTTGTACACCTGACCTAGAATTCCTCAGTCAAATGCCGACCGTATTATCTCCCAAGAGAATTCTCTTCGGTTATTGTTACAGCCGTGTATATCCCCCCTCAAGCCGATACCACGACGGCCCTCAAGGAACTTCACTGGACTTTATGCAAACAGGAAACCATATATCCTGAGGCTGCATTTATTGTAGCTGGGGATTTTAACAAAGCAAATTTGAGAAAAAGGCTACCTAAATTCTATCAGCATATTGACTGTAGCACTCCCGCTGGAAAAACACTGGATCACTGCTACGCTAATTTCCACTATGCATACAAGGCCCTCCCCCGACCTCCTTTTGGCAAATCTGACCACGACTCCATTTTGCTCCTCCCTTCCTATAGGCAGAAACTCAAACAGGAAGCACCCTTGCTAAGGACTATTCAACGCTGGTCTGACCAATCGGAATCCACGCTTCAAGATTGTTTTGATCGCACGGACTGGGATATGTTCCGAGTAGCCTCTGAGAATAATAAAGACGTATACACTGATTCAGTGAGTGGGTTTATAAGGAAGTGTATAGGAGATGTCGTACCCACTGTGACTATTAAAACCTACCTTAACCAGAAACCGTGAATAGATGGCAGCATTCGCGAAAAACTGAAAGCACGAACCACCGCATTTAACCATGGCAAGGTGACGGGGAATATGGCAGAATACAAACAGTGGTCGTTCCCTCCAAGGCACTCAAACAGGCAAAACGTCAATATCGAGACAAAGTGGAGTCGCAATTCAATGGTTCAGACATGAGACGTATGTGGCAGGGTTTTACAGACAATCACGGACTACAATAGGAAAACCAGCCACGTCGCAGTCACCGATGTCTTGCTGCGTGACAAGCTAAACAAGTTCTTTGCCCGCTTTGAGGATAACACAGTGCCACCGACGCGGCAAGCTACCCAAGAACTGTGGGCTCTCCTTCTCCGTGGCCGACGTGAGTAAGACATTTAAACGTGTTAACCCTCGCAAGGTTGCCGGCCCAGACGGCATTCCTAGCCGCGTCCTCAGACCATGCGCTGACCAGCTGGCTGGTGTGTTTACGGACATATTCAAACTCTCCCTATCCTAGTCTGCTGTCCCCACATGCTTCAAGATGGCCACCATTGTTCCTGTACTTGGGCCATACGCACTACCCTGTAGTAACTTGCGGGAGGATGCCAAGCAGTTGCCGTACCAAGCGGTGATGCAGCCAGTCAAGATGCTCTCAATGGTGCAGCTGTAGACCTTTTTGAGGATCTGAGGGTCCATGGCAAATCTTTTCAGCCTCCTTTTAGATTTGATGACTTTATTAGTCACATGCACATGGTCGCAGATGTTATTGCAGGGTACAAAAAGGGTGAAATTCTTAAACTCCAAGCTCCAACAGTGCAGGTCAAAAAGAGAAGTGAATGAAACAATAATAATGCTTGGTAGTCCACTATCAGCTCCTTTGTCTTGCTGATGTTGAGGGACCTCCTCCCTATAGGCTGTCTCATCATCATCGGTGATCAGGCCTACCACCTTTTGTGTCGTCGACAAACTTAATGATGGTGTTGGAGTCGTGCACGGCCACGTAGTTGTGGGTGAACAGGGAGTACAGGAGGGGACTAAGCACGCACCCCTGTGGGGCCACCCGTGTTGAGGGTCAGCGTGGCAGATGTATTGTTGCCTAACCTCACCACCTGGGGGCGGCCTGTCAGGAAGTCCAGGATCTAGTTGCAGAGGAAGGTTTCCAGTCCCAGGGTCCTTAGCTTAGTGATGAGCTTGGAGGGTACTATGGTGTTGAACGCTGAGCTGTAGTCAATTAACAAATCAAATCAAATCAGCATTCTCACATAGGTGTTCCACTTGTCCAAGTGGGAAAGTGCAGTCTGGAGTGCAATAGAGATTGCGTCATTTGTGGATCTGTTGGGGCGGTATGCAAATTGGAGTGGGTCCAGTTTGTCTGGGATGATGGTGTTGATGTGAGCCATGACCACTCTTTCAAAGCATTTCATGGCTCCAGATGTGAGTGCTATGGTGCGATATTCATTTAGACAGGTTACCTTGGCATTCTTGGGCACAGGAACTATGGTGGTCTGCTTGAAACGTAGGTATTAGACTGGGTCAGGGATAGGTTGAAAATGTAAGTGAAGACATTTGCTTGCTGGTCAGTGCATGCTATGAGTATGCGTCCTAGTAATTTGTCTGGCCCTGCCGCCTTGTGAATGTTAACCCGTTTTAAAGGTCTTACTCACATCGGCTACGGAGAGTGTGATCACACAGTCATCCGGAACGGCTGGTGCTCTCATGCATGGTTCAGTGTTGCTTGCCTCGAAGTGAGCATAGAAGGCATTTAGCTCGTCTGGTAGGCTCGCGTCACTGGGCAGCTCGCGGCTGGGTTTCCTTTTGTGATCCATGATAGTTTGCAAGCCCTGCCACATCCGACGAGCGTCAGAGCCCCTGTAGTAGGATTCAATCTTAGTCCGGTATTGATGCTTTGCCTGTTTGATGGTTCGTCGGAGGGCGTAACGGAATTTCTTATAAACGTCTGGATTTGTGTCCTCCTCCTTGAAAGCGGCAGCTCTAGCCTTTAGCTCAGTGCGGATGTTGCCTGTAATCCATGGCTTCTGGTTCGATATGTACATACCGTCATGTGTGGACGCCGTTGTCGATGCACTTATTAATAAAGCCGGTGTCTGTTGTGGTAAACTCCTCAATGCCATCTGATGAATCCCGGAACATATTCCAGTCTATGCTAGCGAAACAGTCCTGTAGCTTAGCATCTGCTTCTTTGGACCACTTCCGTATTGAGCACATCACTGGTACTTCCTGTTTTTGCTTGTAAGCAGGAATCAGGAGGATCGAACTATTGTCAAATTTGCCAAATGGAGGGCGAGGGAGAGCTTTGTATGCGTTTCTGTGTGTGGAGTAAAGGTGATCTAGAGTTTTTTTCGCCTCTAGTTGCACAGGTGGTCCTCTGTAGCTCAGCTGGTAGAGCACGGCGCTTGTAACGCCAAGGTAGTGGGTTCGATCCCCGGGACCACCCATACACAAAAATGTATGCACGCATGACTGTAAGTCGCTTTGGATAAAAGCGTCTGCGAAATGGCATATTATGCTGGTAGAAATTAAGGTTAAATGGATTTCAGTTTTCCAGCATTCAAATCACCGGCCACTAGGTGTGCCGCCTCTGGATGAGCATTTTCTTGTTTTCTTATGGCCCTATACAGCTCGTTGAGTGCAGTCTTAGTGTCAGTATCGGTTTGTGGTGGTAAATGAACAGCTATGAAAAACATAAACTCTCTTGGTAAATAGTATGGTCGACAGCTTATTATGAGGTATTCTAACTCAGGCGAGCAGAACCTCGAGACTTCCACTAATTGAAATTCTGCGTGACACCACATTTCTTCTATTATAAACGCGATAGACAGCACAGGCACAATCAATGGCAACACATTAAAATGAAGGTTATAGAGTGGACTACTCTGTTCTAAAGCCATCCTAGATTTTCCACATGGCAACAGCATCACAACCTTAAATGGTTGGCTCCAGAAATACGGCACAAACATTATCTTTGGCACTTGATCAAGACGTGAAAACATCTCATTCTGGTGGACGTTTACTCTAGCTCTGTTTTGTCAAATCGACCCTCATGTTTTTCTCTCGCATGCTACTTTTTTGTGAATAAAAGGTCAGTAAACTCACTATAAACCATCCTGGAGGTCACTGGCGTGCGTGTCCTTATCTGAAGGCCACTAATACGACCAAAACGCCATGCTTTCATTCAGTGTGTGTGTGTGTGTGTGTGTGTGTGTGTGTGTGTGTGTGTGTGTGTGTATGTGTGTATATATATATATATATATTTATTTTTTTAGGCCTAGTTGGCATCACCAACTATTCATGAATTTATTTTTTAAAATGTATAATTCCCAAATTCTATTTCATGGAATTAAACTACGTGATCTCCAGTAACAGTTAGCTCTTGCCAAGAATAACGTTAGTATTACGTATAGTATAACGTAAGTCAAATGTGTTGTAATGCCTGCAGACTAGTGACCCCCTCAGTAATGATGATCAGAGGACTGAGAGCCACTACTACTTTTGTATAGGGCTGGGCGACATATCGAATTAATGTTTTAGCGCGATGTTCCAAATGTATCACAAGAATCTAGGTTTTTATTTTTTTGTTTGTTTTTGAGTGTTCTATGTCTTTTTGGGCTCGTCTCCTTGGCTCCTTCTGTGCTGTGTACACTGTGCACCTTCCCACTCTCACACAAACACCAAGCCCCTGCCACACACAACAAATACGAAAGATAACTTCTTCCTCTCTCACAACATGCAGTTTAAACTCGCTATTTGATTGAGATCTGGTCCAACAGAATCTGTCATTGACACCGAAACGCTTAGAGACATTATTTTACTGTAATAGATGAGAACTTAACCTTTCTAACGATACCCTTTTTATGTCTCAACTACCAAAATGTAGAACAGAGCAGACCCTAGTAAAACAAGAATATCAATAAACATGTTGTGGAAAATGTATGCATGCTCAGTTTCTGCCACGCGTGGCATTGCGGTACCATGTACAGCTAGGAACTTTTTAGCCACAGACTTTTATGTGCCAGCTGTCTAGTGTAATGTGTTTTTATAAATGTGCAATGAGCATAAAAATACACATTTTATATAAGGAATTGGCAATTTGTTCTCATTCTGAGAAATAAGCATATTATTTTCCAGGTAAGCCACTAGATTTCAATATCTAAACAATGTGAACAGGTGATGTTGTACAGACAGGAGGGTCTATTCATAACAGTTCAACTGTTCTTCTACTTTGTTAGCAAGCAAATAGATCCAAGTTGGCTAGACTTGAAATATAAAGCACGTGTGCTTGAGAGAGTGTGTTAATTTTCTATAGTGCCTGCTACAAGAAGTTGGTCATTATTAGTGGATGTTCTGGTTCAATTTGTTAGAAAAATTGCATTTTCATAAACAGACTTGAAAGCCAGAATAAAATAAAAAAAGCAGGTTGAACTATTTTTATAAAATAATTAAATTATAAGTGGTTCTTATGGTTGTGGAAGGCTTATATTTAGCCTAGGTATAATTTTACAATCCCTGAATTCATTAGACTATTCCTGACTGTTTCAAATACAGTGTATTGATCTTTAATTGTGCAACAAAGCATATTTAGAGATAACGTTAAAATAATAGAGATATACAGTATATCGTGAATCGCACATAATTAAAAAGAGAAATTATTTTTAGGTCATATCGCCAGCCCTACTTTTGTATACATTTTGACAAAACAAATTGTTATTTGTAGCTTTGTCTTTGGCAGATACTAAACATTTAGACATTTCAACATATGATAATGTAGAGCATATACAGTAAAACTGGTAGCCTTAATATTTATTTAGAATGTACAGTATCCGTGCAGAACAGGGGAGTTGGTGAGGAAAAACGTCTGTTTTTGGGGCTGTCTAGGGCGTGAGTGTGTTGAGTGTCTAACAGGCCTGGTTTCCCTGAAAGCTGTTTTCATTCTCAGCACTAGCACCGAGGTCAGGCACACATACACCACATCCTCCTTTCTAGGAAAAATATTTAATCAAAGCCATTTGTTGTCTGTTCTTCTCTCTCTTTCTCTCTCTCGCACTCCTGTGCTGACCTGCTCCCACTGTACGGATTGTAATAAATAGAGATGTGGTGGGGGGAAAAAAACAAGCTGCTCTCAGATTTCCTAGAAGCAGCAGCGCAGAGAACTGAGTGCAAGGAGAGCGTTTCAGGAGGACGAGAGCCTTCACCTTCTAAAGGCTTTTATTCTAGCTGATTGAAGACCGTGGGGAGAGTCTGGTGTTCTGAAAAGGATAATTTAGGCTGAAAAGGATTTCATGTATTCTTTTATACAGGCCTGTCTCGCTGAATCATTTGGCCTAATTCACATACATGTATGGATGTGCTCTGTGCTTTTATCACCCGCTTCCCCCACTCCTGTTATGATGGCAACAGATGACATTGGTGGGTTGCCTTGGAAACCATGATGGTATTATCCGTTTTTCAATAACCCTTACCTCGTCCATGCTTCACTCGCTGCCCAGTACACACACAAACACACACAGGGGTGTCTTAAATACGTTTTATTGCCACCAGTGAATTTGTTTGGAACATATGCTTCCCTCCTGCTCCTCCGCTGATGCATAGTGATATCAAAACATGCATCCCTCCTCAGTCAGCTCTCAGGTTACCATGGGTTCTGGTCTCCACCAGTAAGGGATCCCTGTCAGCACCTGATTGGATAGATGCTGGTACAATATGTCCTTTCACCATAACTTAACATATCGTTCGAGCTTTACCTCTTCCTGCACTGCCTGCTAAGAGCCAATGCTGTGTAGGCTATCTTTTACACAGAACAGAATGTAACAGGAGAATTAGACTAGCTGTCTGCCAGGGTTTCCTTTAGGAAAATTTGGCGCCGGACAACGTGACCAGCAAGATTTTAATTTACCGGACATTTGAGAAATTTACCAGACATCCATATCTATTGGGTGCGTAATGCATCAGGGCGTCCAGCCAAGGTGCTCAAAATAAACATTTAGTTTATTGTAATTCATCTTAACAGAATATAAATTAGCCTGTAAAGTAGAACAATGTTCTTATACCAACATGACAGGTTTTATTGAAAAGCAAAACATTGCCTTTTGCATCTTCATCCCTGCTATAAATCATAAATAAATATCATTAAAAAAAAGAAAAACGTTTAGCCTAGAAGAACAAGTCACCTACACAGTAATAAAACACAACTTCAAAATATTATATTTGCATAATATAACTTGCGAAAGACCTGTCCTGATGGCTATTTTCATTAACATTTTAATGAATAAATACCAAAACACTGCTGTTTTCAAATTCAATCTAGGCCTCATTTAATTTAGCCTAGGCATGAACATTTTAATTAGGCCTAATAAATAACAGAGCATGGCTGTCTATGAACACCAGGGCCGGCCGGTCAAGGGATCTTTTGTAAAATTAACGTCAGATTTGACTTTTTGTAGCAGGTTGGGAGAATTAGGTTGAGGTTAGGAAAAAGGTTAGGGTTAGCTAAAATGGCAAAAAATCTCTTCTAGCCATAACTGGGCCGGCCCGCCCCGCTCTCCATTTCCGCTGCGTTTCAGAACCACAGCAGTAGAAAGAGGACACTTTAGGTGGCCACAAAATGAAGAAATTATAAAACCGATGTTGGACTATCAAATTTGATCTGTAAATAAACTAAATTCGTTCAGGCTGGTTCATTGAGAGAAACCTTATTTTACAATGCTCCTGTGAAATTAGGCCCGCGCCATGTGTTTATGAAAGCACTTGTTTCCAAGGCTCAAATTATATCTCTTTTTACAGTGCTACTGGATGATGTAAATTTTTTTATGTTTATTGTAATTTGAACTGTTGTGACTCGTGTCATGTGTGATATACACTGAGTATACAAAACATGCTCTTTCCATGACATAGACTGACCAGGTGAATCCAGGTGAAAGCTATGATCCTTTATTGATGTCACTTGTTAAATCCACTTCAATCAGTGTTGAAGCGGAGACGGGTTAAAGAAGGGTTTTAAAGTCTTGAGACATGGATTGTGTGTGTGCCTTTCAGAGGGTGAATGGGCAAGACAAAATATTTGTGCTTTTGAACGAGGTATGGTACGCTGCTGTTTTTCACGCTCAACAGTTTCCCGTGTGTATCAAGAATGGTCCACCACCCAAAGGACATCCAGCCAACTTGACACAACTGTGGGAAGCATTGGAGTCAACATGGGCCAGCATCCCTGTGGAACACTTTTGACACCTTGTAGAGTCTGAATTGAGGCTGTTCTGAGGGGGGTGCGCGCAACTCAATATTAGGAAGGTGTTCCTAATGTTTGGTATACTCTGTGTACGTGGCTTATTGATAACAACTCTGTTTCCTAATATAGGAAGTTGGCTGCCTAGTGATTGTAACTCTCCAATGTGAATAGTTTGCAACGATGTTTCATTTCCAAGTGCTACTGAATAAGCTCAACTGAAATGCACCAATTGCGCATGATAGACGTCATTACTGTAGTCTTATCAATCCATTCCAAATCTTTATACTATAGATGACAGGGGAGGCATATGATGATCTTGCCTAGGGCGGCAGCAGAACTGCTAGGATTGGGCCTGACTAACACAATCTGCCTCGAATTTACTTGCATTTGTGCCGAACCTTGGCCTGCTCAAAGTGAGCCGCTGCTGTTGGGAAGTCAAAACTGTCCAACTCCTTGGAGCAGCTTGCGGTGTGCATCAGGCTCGTTACTTTGTCCTCAAGAAGGCGTCGTCTTTACTCTGTTTTGGAGAAAGAATCTCCTCTTGGCGGGCATACTGGAAACAGGGATAGTCAACACAATCTTCGCCAATTTTGTCCAGTCAGGGTACACTTAGCTGAAGTCCCTTATGAGGACCTTGCGTCTTTTGTGTGACTAAAAATAGAAGCACACACACTCGACACTCATTTCCAAGAAGCTTCGTGATTTATTAGCCTATGAAGTATATTTGCCTTTGAAGTTGGAGTACATGGACTGGTATTTCCATCAATTAATAAAAAGCATTATTTTTTGCAATGGATTTTTCTTCTTGTCCCGGACAATTTGGCCGCCTACCCTATCATGTACAGGAGGCTATGGCTGAATAGGAGCAGATTTGAAGATGTTTGACTGAAATGTACTCTTTCATAAACACCACGGCTGTGTCTGATGCTCCCTGTTGCCATGGTGATCAGATATTACCATCAGGAGCATTATCTAATCTAGATGGTCCCTTTTATCTCCTGTGCGGTAAAAACACGTTATTATCATACACTGATTATCAAGACGACAACCTACACTGTGGTACAACCCTGGCCAGCACACAGATTGTAGTGTGTTCGTAGAAGGACCTTATCTATTTGGCATGTTTAGGGCATTGTTAAGTGAGAGTAAAAAATTTGTTCTTGCTAAATCATTGTAGCTTGTTCTTAGAATGACCTTATCTAGGCTATTTGGCACGTTTAGCCAGGGCATGATAAAGTGAGAGTTTAACTGTACTCTTCGTTGTAGCTTGTTCTTAGAAGGACCTTATCTATTTGTCTCATGGAGGGTATAGTGTGAGTTAAAGCTGTAAACTTGGAAGGCATTGTATAGTGAGAGTTAACACTGAGGCCATAGTCTAAGGCTTCCTTGACTGGGAGTAGAGAGGTGCGGCTGTGGCCTGATAAAGAGCAGTAAATTCATGCTGGGACAGGCCGACAGGGAGAGTGCCGTGTGCTGCTGCCTTGTTTTTCCTTGGCCGTGCGTTGCCAAGGGTGGCCCCCCTCTCCTTTAGTGCCTGCCGTCTGCTTTCCAGGAATCTTGGCAGGAGGAGTGGCTTCCTGTTAGAACGGTGAACCATTGAAGTCAGAGGCCGGCTGCTCCGCTCAGAGCTAGCCAGACGACTAATCACACGGCCAGGACTAGGGCTTAGGCGGTCATGACATTTTTGTCAGCGGGTTATTGTCCTGCAAAAGCCTGCCGGTCTCAAGGTAATTGACCGTTAAATAACAAACAGGTTTACATCTCCAGGCCACACATACAAGCTGCTGATATGCACCTTTGGAACATCTACATAAAAAAAAGTATAATAAATCAATTTAATATACACCATCACAATAAATCCATTATTTTAGTCAGGTCTAAAGAAACATTATGATATGAAGAAAATGTATTTCAGTTGAAGAGAATGAGTTGGCCTATGTTATCTGTTATGCTCCATGCCGTAGGCTGTAGGCTTGTTAATTTAGCAGACAAGATATGCTTGAAAGTCCCAGCCGTTTTATTTCATCTGATTTTATAGTAAGAATATATAAGATATTTTTCCCATTACAGAGCGAGTGCACATATTAAGTGGCAATGTTGAGCGTAAAAGTGATGATTTGAAACAGATCCTAAATGCTAGATTCACAGTTATTTGGCAACTTTAGTTGTGAATGATACAAACATTAGAATGCTTAGAAATTAACATACAGGGCCATCGGAAAGTATTCAGACCCCTTGATTTTGTTACCTTATAGACTTTTTTTAAATTTGATTAAATAAATACTAATCCTCAGCAATCTACACACATACCCCATAATGAAAAAGCGAAAACAGGTTTTTAGACATTTTTGCAAATTTTATTGAAAATAAAAAAAACTGAAATACCTTATTTACATAAGTATTCAGACCCTTTGCTTTGAGACTCGAAATTGAGCTCTGGTGCATCCTGTTTCCATTGATCATCCTTGAGATGTTTCTACAACTTGATTGAAGTCCACCTGTGGTAAATTCAATTGATTGGGCATTATTTGGAAAGGCACACAACTGTCTATAAAAGGTCCCACAGTTGACAGTGCATGTCACAGCAAAAACCAAGCTATGAGGTCGAAGGAATTGTCCGTAGAGCTCTGAGACAGGATTGTGTCAAGGCACAGATCTGGGGAAGTGTACCAAAACATGTATGCAGCATTGAAGGTCCCCAAGAACACAGTGGCCTCCATCATTCTTAAATGGAAGAAGTTTGGAACCACCAAGACTCTTCCTAGATCTGGCCACCCGGCCAAACTGAGCAATCGGGGGAGAAGGGCTTTGGTCAGGGAGGTGACCGAGAACCCGATGGTCACTAATAGAGCTCCAGAGTTCCTCTGTGGAGATGGGAGAACCTTCCAGAAGGACAACCATCTCTGCAGCACTCCACCAATCAGGCCTTTATAGTAGAGTGGCCAAATGGAAGCCATTCGTCAGTAAAAGGCACATGACAGCCCGCTTGGAGTTTGCCAAAAGGCACCTAAAGTCTCTCAGACCATGAGAAACAAGATTCTCTGCTCTGATGAAACCAAGATTGAACTCTTTGGCTTGAATGCCAAGAGTCACGTCTGGAGGAAACCTGGCACCATCCCTACGGTGAAGCATGGATGTTTTTCAGCAGCAGGATCGAGGCAAATATGAACGTAGCAATGTACAGAGATCCTTGATGACAACCTGCTCCAGAGCGCTCAGGACCTCAGACAGGAGCGAAGGTTCACCTTACAACAGGACAACGATCCTAAGCATACAGCCAAGACAACGCAGGAGTGGCTTTGGGCCAAGTCTCAATGTCCATCTCTAGAGACCTGAAAATAGCTGTGCGGCAACGCTCCCCATCCAACCCGACAGAGCTTAAGAGGATCTGCAGAGAAGAATGGGAGAAACTCCCCAAATACAGGTGTGCCAAGCTTGTAGCCTCGTACCCAAGAAGACCCGAAGCTGTAATCGCTGCCAAAGGTGCTTCAACAAAGTACTGAGTAAATGGTCTGAATACTTATGTAAATGTGATATTTCAGTTTTTTATTTGTAATACATTTGCAATCATTTCTAAAACCTTTTTTTGGTTTGTCATTGTGGGTAGATTTGGGGGGGGGGGGGGGGGGGGGGGGGGGGGGTGGGGGGGGATTTATCAATTTTAGAATAAGGCTGTAACGTAACAAAAGTGGAAAACGTTTAAGGGGCTGACTACTTTCCGAATTTGCTGCATGGTGCGAATAAGGCTAAATTAGCAAAAAAAAGTGCGCTCTGTTCCTTGCCTCAGGCTGAACAAGGGGGGAAAAAAAAAAAAACCCCGGGGGGATCCCTAAAAATAAAAAAAATTTTAAAAAATTTAAAAACCCAAAAAATGTTTTTAATCCAAATTTTTGGGGGTTTTAAACCCTTTTTTACCCAAACTTTGGGGGGTTTTTAACCCCGGGCAAACCCCAAAAAAAAAATTCCCAAAAAAAAAAAAAAACCCCCCTTTTTTTTTGGGGAAAAAAAAGGGGGGGGGAAAAAGGGGGAAAGCCCCGGGGGAGGGGGGGAAACTCGGGGAACCCCCAAAAAAAGGAAAAAATATACCCCCCACCTTTTAAAAAAACAAACAAATCCCCCAAAACCCCAAAAAAACTTTTACAAACCCCACCGCACTTTCCCCGGGGGGTTTTAAGGGGGAAGAAAACCCCCCCCCCGGGGGGAAAAAGGGAGGGAAAGGGGGGCCAACCCAAAAACCCGCGCCCCGTTCCCCCAAAATTTCAAAGGGAAAGGGGTGGGCCCGGGGGTTTTTTTGGATAAAGGAGAGAGAGAGAGAGAGGAGGAGATGGAAATGCATGGTGATGAGATATTCTGTATAGATTAAGGTAATGTCACTCAATTAATTATGAAAATTTTAAAAAGTCCATATTACTAGGCTATTCAAAATCAAACAGCCCTAGCCAGGACCAGCTTAAATGTTTTACTTAAAAAATCATTAATTATTGTGGAGATTGGCTACATTTAAATGCAGTTGTTACAATCAATACAGTACATTGTGCTGAATTGTTTAATAAGCTGCCTGTACAGCCAGAACTGGTTTAAAAAGCCAACTGTGCACAACTGGCAACACACAGCTGCACTAGCTTCCATAAAGTCATTTTAGCTACTCAAGTTAAAATGATTTTAAAAGGCAGCACCAAACATTTGTGTCCTGAAAAGGCAGCAGAGTCTGAGGACAGGGGAAACTTTCCTGGTAACAGCCCTCGGAGCTAGAGGAGGGGATAATCATGGTTATTTTAGGCATCCACACAGGGTTTATACACACACACACACACACAACGTGACAAACACACACAACATTACTCACACACACACACAACATTACTCACACACAATGTTACTCACACACACACTCACTTTGTCTCTGTCAGTCTGTCTACATTTTTACATTTTAGTCATTTAGCAGACGCTCTTATCCAGAGCGACTTACAGGAGCAATTAGGGTTAAGTGCCTTGCTCAAGGGCACATCGACAGATTTTTCACCTAGTCTGCTCGGGGATTAGAACCAGCGACCTTTCGATTACTGGCACAACGCTCTTAACCACTAAGCTACCTGCCGCCCCGTAACCATGAACAAGGTAGTTTGGCGAGAGTCGTGTACCTTTTTGGATTGTTTTCTTTGCCTACTCAGGGTTTGGTTTCAGGCTTTTGGTCATCATTCATCCCTTTGTTATTACATTGCTGTGTAAGCGCTAATAACTATGAGATAAAAATGTAATTCAACAAAAACAAATTGAACTATTTGAACTTAGATTAATGGATCTGAATTAGTTGGTTATTAAAATATGGAAACAGCAAGGTGATGTTGGTTTCTTCTTTAAGTTTTGACTATTTGGAATAAACTAGGCATCTCCACACACCCCTTACCTACCGGTACTACTGTCCAATGGCCTCACACACTTTGAAATACTCTGTTTTATTTCAGCTACATGTCAGCATACCCTGTCCTCCTCCTCATCAGTGTGTGTGTGAGAAGGTAAGGTGGGACCGCCTGCTTTTCTCATAAAGAGGCAATTCCTAGAAAAGTATTCAGTTTCATCAGTTCTTTTTTCTCCACAGCTCCTTATTTGGTTACAATCTCGCTATCACTCTCTCTTTCTCTTGACCTACTCTCTCTTTCTCTGGACCTACTCTCTCTTTCTCTCGACCTACTCTCTCTCTCCAGTGAAGGCCTATTTCTCAAAAGCTCTCAGCATCTTAAGTTAGCCTTTCAGCAAATTGGTTTTCGGGGAAAAACGATTTGTTTAGCTGTAACGGCCTTCTCTCTCACACAGCCCTGTCAGTCTCTCTCCCCATATTCCCTCCCTCTGAGTTTCTGTGTGTGTGTCCCCTTTGTTAGCGAACCGTTGAAGGCCTGGCTTGGTTGGGCCGAACCTTTCTTGGCATGCGTTTTGGAACATGATGTACTTCAGAGGCCTCCTGTCTCCGCTGTACGGGAGAAAAAAAACAAGTCAGTGGTGTGTCACATTTTTGAAGCCTAGTTTATTTATGACACCGTGTTAAGGGTGTTTCTGGGCGTCGTTACCCAGGTTTGAGTTGCGTAGCCTAGTGCCTCAGCGTGTCAGCCGCTAGCTATCCCATGATGCCTCTTGTTCAATAGTAAGAAATGTTGACCAGTGAGAGATCTTTGAAAAAGAAAGTAGCCGCACACACTATCAGGTGCAATACATTCATTAATTAATTACTGATGTTTCGACAGCAATCTCCCAACGGGAGCGTTAGAACGCCTACTCTCATTAACTTTGAATCAGTGACCGGCAGTGTAATGTTTGGCAGTTCTCGGTCAGCCACTCTTTTGGGAACTCGACACATGACCTCCCGTGAACTTTTGGACCCGGAACCCCCTCCCCTAGCTTATAGGAGTTAGCAGACACTCGCAATTATTTCCCCCCTCACGTCTCCCAGTATTAGCTCAAACTCTGTCGTTTTTCTCAGTGTGTTGGATTCCCAATGCGGATGATGGCATGGATGATAGCGTGGATGGATGATCATGGATGAAATCCTAATTGTCCCTCTGAGCTGCTTGCCCATATAATTTCAGTAGGGGGATGGGGTCAGTTTGTTGTGTGTTGCCCTCATCGCGCCTCAGTGAGTGCTCAACTGTCCATTAATCGGATGACAGCCATTAGCTCACCAGGCGTGTCATGGGCCAGGTCCTGTGTGTGTGTGTTGGGGAAATTTTTAGATTTAATAAAATACAATTAACACTGCTTATCATTTATGTTTTCCTTTTGTGTAATACGCGTGATTTCCAGTGTTTTATTTAGGACACTCATTTGTGGACTGGTTGATGGTCACTAGACTTGATTCTGATCAGACCCTACACCTCTGTTATGTTCAGATAAAAAAAACACTGCTCTCCATTTCAATATCTCTCACTATATCGCTCAGTTTTTTTCTAGGCCTATCTCACGCTCTTGTTCTCTCTCTCCTAAATGGAGGTCATTATCAGACAAGCAGATTTCAAAGACATACAGGCCTACACACTAACACACTCCTAAAAACACGCCTTTTCTCAGTCACTCAGACCCTGAAAGTAAACAAACATAATGGCATTGCGACATTGGAAAACAAAGTAACTGGTAGTATTTTTTTCTTCTTTCTTATCCAATAAATGGACATGGAATTACATAACATCTAGTCTTATTTTCACAACATATTGTTGTAACATTACATCACAATGAATCAGGGACATGTTTTTCTTAAATGGAAATTGATAAACTGTCTCTCTCTCCCTCTACCCATCTCTCCCTCCACCTCGCTCTTCCTCCCATCTCTTTTCTCTGTGTTTCCCTCTTTCCATGCATATCCACCACCTATCCCTCCTTCCCTTCCAAAGATGAGTGGAACATACCAGAGGTGATGGTCCGGGCAGTCCCGTCCGACAGACAGTTGTCCCGGCTGGCATCCCGTCTCGGTTCGGAGTGGGAGTCGGTTCTCCTCGACCTGTGCCTCTCGACAGGGGCGCTGTACTGTTGCCATGCCGACCACCCTCTGAGCTTGCATGGGAAAGTGCTAGCGGGGCTGATCCAGTGGCGGCAGAGCCAGGGGAGGAGCGCTACAGTCCACAGGCTGCTCCAAAGCCTACAGGCCGCTGATGTCCACCCCTCTACCCTGGATGAGGTGTTCCAGTGAGAGGAGACTATGGCTCATGGATGAAATCCTAATTGGATGACCGCCATTAGCTCAGCCAGACTAGGATTTCCGTTAGGAAAATGTGGCGCCGGGCATTTGACCGGCAACATTTTTAATTTACTAGACATTTGATAAATCTGCCGGACCCATATGCATTGGGTGCGTAACCTGATTAGGGTGTCCACCCACGGTGCTCAGAATGACAGAAGTCGCGTTTAGATTATGGTAATTCATATTAACAGAACATGCAAGTCGAGGATGCAACAATGAAGATAGAATAATCGTCCACATTTACTTTTCCTCAGCCAACAAGACGAGTAACTAACAGCAAAATCACTAGCCTGTCCATCTACTATCCCCCATAGTAGAAAAGTTTACCTATTCTATTGGTCAGCTTGTCGAGAAATTGTCTACTCCAAACAGACTATGGGATAGTTGTGAGAAGATAGAGCCCAAATTCATACAACCAGTAGGCCTAGGCTACATTAAAGAAAAACTTTAAAAAGCAATGTCTGATGCAACAGAACAGAACGTTTAGCTTAAAATGTTGATAAACTATTATTTCTTCACATTATAAGCACAGCAATGTGCACAAGCCAGTAGGCTACTCACGAATGTGCGTTCCATAATGCAATTAGCGGGAAAACACAGTTGTCAAAAGGGCACCACACTTGAGCGGTTTCATGCGACAGAGATGAAAATGTCCATTCGAAATGTAAAAAGAGAGATCTAATAGGCTACTTTGAAGAAAGGTAAGACATGCCTCATAATGTATGTTAAAACAAAATGCATAGCCTATTGCCTCCACAGTGTGTGACGCGCAGCAGCAGCTCTCGCACTGTGACAGATTTTCCGCTCAAAGGTTCTGTATCTGTATGCTGTACGGGTGTGATATATAAGAGGCATAACAAATATACTGTAGCCTACACATTTGCCAATTTCATTCCACTAAATTATGCAAAATAACCTATAGAACGATAAATATAACCAGTCAAATGTATTTCCATCCACTGGTATTTCCATCAATGAATAGGCTAAAAAGAATTATTTCGCAATGGGATTTTTTCTTCTCCCGTACAATTGGCCAGGGCCAATTTTATTTATCAGCTTTTCTATTTTTTTATAGGCCAAAAGCCGGCTATTACCGGCTAACGGAAACCCTGAGCCAGATGTGTCATTGGCCTGGCGCTGTTTGTGTGTGTTGTAATAGGGACATTTTAAGATGAATTAAGTTAAAATTCAGTTAGGCGTAATTAACAGAATGATTAGCATGTTTATATGTTTTCCCTTTTCTGTAATACACATGATTTCCAGTGTTTTATTTGGGAAACTCTTTTGTGTACTGGTTGATGATCACTAGACTTGATACTGAATGTTATGGATTGTTCTCATATCTGTTGATCGTGATTGACGCCAGACTGGAGGTACAAGGACAGAGGACACTGATTTGTTATTGTAAGATTAGAAAAAGCAGGCCTAGACACAAACACACACTCCTAAAAACACGCCTTTTCTCAGTGACTCAGACCCTGAAAAGTAAACAAACACGATGGCATTGCGACATTCACTCTGTGGAAAACAATAAATGGACATGGAATTACATAACATCTAGTCTTATTTTCACAACATATTGTTGTAACATTACATCACAATGAATCGGGGACATTTATGACCAGCAACAATAGTTCAGCAGCGCTGCACTCAGTTTTTATCAAACTGAAATGCCTCAACAAGGTCAAGGCTGCATGCCCAACAAGCACTCTCCAGGATTTTTCTACCTTTTTTAAAGTGGCGCTGGAATTAGGAGTTTTTTTCTTTATTTTCACTATTTTCTACATTGTAGAATAGTAGTGAATACATCAAAACTATGAAATAACACATATGTAATCATGTAGTTACCAAAAAAGTGTTAAACAAATCAAAATATATTTTATATTTGAGATTCTTCAAAGTAGCCACCCTTTGCCTTGATGACAGCTTTGCACACTCTTGGCATTCACTCAACCAGCTTCATAAGGTAGTCACCTGGAATGCATTTCAATTAACAGGTGTGCCTTGTTAAGTTTATTTGTGGAATTTCTTTCCTTAATGCGTTTGAGATAATCAGTTGTGTTGTGACAAGGTAGGGGTGCTAAACAGAAGATAGCCCTATTTGGTAAAAGACCAAGTCCATATTATGGCAAGAACAGCTCAAATAAGCAAAGAGAAATGACAGTCCATCATTACTTTAAGACATGTAGGTCAGTCAATCCGGAAAATTTCAAAAACTTTGAAAGTTTCTTCAAGTGCAGTCACAAAAACCATCAAGTGCTATGATGAAACTGGCTCTCATGAGGACCGCCACAGGAAAGGAAGAACCAGAGTTACCTCTGCTGCAGGGGATAAGTTCATTAGAGTTACCAGCCTCTGAAATTGCAGCCCAAATAAATGCTTCAGAGTTCAAGTAACAGACACATCTCAACATTCACTGTTCAGAGGAGACTTTGTGAATCAGGCCTTCATGGTCTAATTGCTGCAAAGAAACCACTACTAAAGGACACCAATAATAAGAAGAGACTTGCTTGGGCCAAGAAACATGAGCAATGGACATTAGACCAGTGGACATCTGTACTTTGGGTCCAAATTTGAGATTTTTGGTTCCAACCGCCGTGTCTTTGTGAGGTGCAGAGTAGGTGAACGGATGATCTCCGCATGTGTGGTTCCCACCGTGAAGCATGGAGGAGGAGGTGTGGGGGTGCTTTGCCGGTGACACTGTCTGTGATTTATTTAGAATTCAAGGCACACTTAACCAGCATGGCTACCACAGCATTCTGCAGCGATACGCCATCCCATCTGGTTTGTAAGGGCTATTTGACCAAGTAAGGGCTATTTGACCAAGAAGGAGAGTGATGGAGTGCTGTATCAGATGACCTGGCCTCCACAATCACCTGACCTCAACCCAACTGAGATGGTTTGGGATGAGTTGGACCGCAGAGTGAAGGAAAAGCAGCCAACAAGTGCTTAGCATATGTGGGAGCTCCTTCAAGACTGTTGGAAAAGCATTCCTCATGAAGCTGGTTGAGAGCATGCCAAGAGTGTGCAAAGCTGTCATCAACGCAAAAGGTGGCTACTTTGAAGAATCTAAAATATATTTTTATTTGTTTAACACCTTTTTGGTTACTACATGATTGCCTTGTTTTTATTTAGTGCTTTATTGGTCTTGATGTCATGTTGACATGTAGGGACATTTCTTAAAATGTAGGGCCATTTCTCAAGATGTTTCATTTGCAAATGTTTACAGTTGAAAAACAAAAACCATACTCTGTTCATGATAGCAAGGTTAGTGCCAAACATAAATTCTGTAACTACTGTAAGTAAAGAATGTAAGAACATTGTGAGTTCTGTCTGCGCCTCGGCCAATGCTAGTAGAATTCATATTAGACTAATTTATAATAGGCTAAGGGTCATTCTTAGCACAGCCATATGCACAAAATGAGTTTCTTCGTTACATTTTATGTATTTTTTGTGAATGAAAAGCCTGTGTTTCTGGGAAAGTGTTGAAGTACAACTCAAGTGCCGTCTTGGACTAGTGGACTCTCATACGTACACTAACACACCTCGCTGCAGGGTTTTTTACACATCTGTTTTAGTGGAATGACTGGGCTGGCCCAGAAACAGAGCCAGGGAAACTAGGCTAGCACAGGTAGGGTGCAGTGACTGCAGCTAGACAGCAGTCAAATCAATCAAACTTTATGTACTCTGAGGAAAGACTACCTACCGCTGCCTTCATATTTATTAGGCACCAGACGGAAGACAACAGACTGAAAGTGGGAGGGACTACCTCCCTGAACATGTCAAATAATAAACACTTGTTTTTTGGTGTGCCCTAATGACTACGACCCAGTTGTGGCAGTCCTTGTCTTGAGATATCTACATCCAACACCCATCTTTTTCCACCCTCCCTTTCTCTTTCACACTCCCCTATCTGCTGGTCTGGTTGGTGAGTGGTGGCTGTGGAGGCGAAGGTCAGAGACCCCTCTCAGCCTCTGTCCCCTGAGAGGATCACAGGCCATGAACCACGTGCCCAGAGCGTAAATTCCTCTCCTGGTTGGTTGGTTGAGTCAAAGCCACAGTGACCTCTGACCTATGCAAGGGCATTCCAGGCCAGGGACATGCCCGGATGCTCTTAGGAACGCTGCACTCTGTGACATCATCACTCCAGCCGAGCATTTTGCCTCTTACTTTTTTGTCAGTGCAGAGGGAACAGGAGGAGGGATGTTGGGTAACTCTCTGTGGGGGAGTTGTTAGATGCGAGTGTTGAATAATTAATGGAAGTCGTTTTGGTTGCTATTGTCACAATGCCGCACGAGCAGGTTACTACAATTTAGTCTTTAGTGTCTGTCTTTCTGAAGGGTGTTGTGGCCCATATGTGAAAGGTACTGTAAATAAATGTGATTTAAAGGTTCAAGTCTTGTATTGAATGCCTTTTGTATCCCTGAGGGTAGGGTGGGAGGGCTGAAGAAATCTTACTGTCCTCAATCCACCTTTTACGAGAGAGGAGGGGAGGAGATCTGATTGAAAGAGTAACTGAATTACACAACTTTAGATTTGCGTGTCTGAAAATTAACTGTGACATGTGAATTATGCGTGCTAAGGGAGAGTTTGAAATTTACTGGGGGGGGGGGGGGGGGGGTTGGTGAGACAGTCGATGCCACGCAGGGCTAACGGGACAGAAGATTGAGGGTTCGCCGATCACCACGGACGAGCTCACTCTCCCTGCCTGTATCATTACATTACGATCAGAGCCGACTGCAGACAACGATCAGCTAGGGGGAAATCAGATTTTCAACATTTGTATGCTATATTTAAGCAATAAGGCAGGAGGGGTGTGGTATATGACCAATATACCACGGCTAAGGGCTGTTCTTAAGTACGGTGCAACGCAGAGTGCCTGAATACAGCCCTTAGCCGTGGTATATTGGCCATATACGACAAACCCCTGAGGTGCCTTATTGCTGTTATAAACTGCTTACCAACGTAATTACAACAGTAAAAAGTAATGTTTTGTCATACCTGTGGTATACAGTCTCATATACCACATATTTCAGCCAATCAGCATTCAGGGATCGAACCACCCAGTTTATAATTATATAATGAATACAACACATTTTCCACCAACAGGTTTCTGTGCCAATACACCACACATGACCAATAAGCAACGCATAACTGCATACTGTTTACCGACTGAGTGCTCATCATGGTTTGTGTTTTCAACACCACAATCAAGTAGAGTATGTCAATCTCGACAAACAGAAAATGCATTCCTCCCTACTCAGAATTGAAGGCTTGGTTTGACAGTCTCTGAATGTCATTAAACTTTCTGGTGTTTTGTAACAGAATAATCGAATTGTAATTTCGCAGTTCGGATGCTGGAATTATATTTGAGTGGAGAGGATGAACGTGAGCAGGTAGTCTACAGGGGACTTTTGAAGTAGCCTAATCAGATTAAAACATTTTGACTAGTTGTGTTTATGCCACACGAAAGGTAATACATTTTCAAAGTTAAATGACAAATATTTAGGCTATATTGAACGTTAGGTTCTAGATCGAGGAATAGCCGCTCTGATTGGAAAGGAAGCAGAACGCGTGTTAAGCTTTCCTGAATAGCTGGGCCTGCTGGGAGCAGAGGGCCACCCACATAGGCCTATTCTAGGACAACTTGGGAGAATGATGATCGGCAACAGACAGCGCATCAGTATCAGAAGCAAAAATACTACTGTGCCTTTCTATAGTCTTTTGAGAGTAGACCCACAACTGATCCAAATGGAATGAAACATTCAAATAACAGCACTTTTGCACCATAATTCAAATCAATGAAATCACATTTTATTTGTCACATGCTTTGTAAACAACAGGTGTTGACTAAAACGGAAATGCTTACTTACTGGCCCTTCCCAACAATGCAGAGAAAGAAAATAGAGAAATAATAGAAAAGTAATACCCGTAATAAATGGAGCATTTCAATTTTGGACAATTTCTTATAAATTGGGTTGAAATAATGTATACTAACCCTAGGTGTAAAATAGTAAATAATGGCTATTTCTCAAAAAGTTTTAAAATGTCAAGAGGAGTGAAACAAGGTTGTCCACTATCGGCATATCTATTTATTATTGCCATCAAGATGTTAGCTATTAAAATCAGATCCAACAATAATATCAAGGGATTAGAAATCCAGGGCTTAAAAACAAAGGTGTCATTGTACGCTGATGATTCATGTTTTCTTTTAAATCCACTACTAGAATCCCTCCACAGCCTCATAGAGGATCTAGATACATTTTCTAAACTCTCTGGATTACAACCAAATTATGATAAATGTTCTATATTACGTATTGGATCACTAAAAAATACAATTTTTACATTACCATGTAGTTTACCAATAAAATGCTCTGATGGTGATGTGGATATACTCTGAATACATATTCCAAATGAAATAAATGATCTCACTCAAAAAATAAATAATAGAAAGTTAGCAAAAATAGATAAGATCTTGCTACCATGGAAAGGTAATACCTGTCCATTTGTGGAAAAATCACCCTGATTTAACTCTTTAGTATTATCCCAGTTTACCTATTCGCTTATGGTCTTGCCTACGCCTAGCAAACAGTTTTTTTAATTATAAGAAAAAAAATATTCCATTTTATTTGGAACGGCAAGCCAGACAAAATTAAACGGGCCAATTTATATAATGAATATGAATTAGAAGGACAGAAATTATTAAATATTAAAGCATTAGACCTATCACTAAAAGCTTCAGTCATACAAAAATTGTACTTAAATCCGAACTGGTTCTCTAGCAAACTAGTAAGATTGTCTCACCCAATGTTCAAGAAGGGACTTTTTCCCTTTATTCAGATTAAAACCCCTCACTTTCAGGTATTTGAAAAGGAAATCATCTCCCAAATATCACTATTTCTAAAACAAGCCATAGAAAGTTGGTTGCAATTTCAATTTAATCCTCCAGAAATGACAGAACAAATATTGCAACAAATATTGTGGTTAAACTCAAATATACTAATTGATAAAAAACCGTTCTTTTTTGAGAAAATGTTTAAAAAAGGTATAATCTTCGTAAATGATATTATCGATAGGAATCGTGGAGTTATGTCGCACATGCAGCTAACAAAAACATATGGAAATGTCTGCTCTACCCAAAATTACAACCAAATAATTGCAGCATTACCGCAAAAATGGAAGAGGAAAGTGGAAGGAGGAAAAAGTAAGGAACTTGTCTGTCAGCCTTGCATTAAAGAACATAATTTGTTAAAGAAAATTGTGATAAATAAAAAAGTTTACCAGTTTCATTTAAGGTCCAAAAGATTGACAGCCGTCCCATATAGATTGCAAAATATTTGGAAAGAGATTTCAGAAGTACCGATTCCATGGCATAGTGTTTATGAACTGATACGCAAAACGACGCAAAACGACGCCGGATTCAAAACTTAGAATTTTTCAATTTAAATTATTATATAAAATTCTTGCTACCAATAGAATGTTATTTGAATGGGGGATGCAATCTTCCCAACTCTGCAGATTTGGCTGTGAAGAGACAGAATCATTAGGTCATTTGTTTTGGTACTGTCCATTTGTAGCTTGTTTCTGGACACAGGTCCAGGAATGGCTAAAGGATTGCAATATTTGCATGGAGCTGACCCTGCAGATAGCACTACTGGGTGATCTGAAAAGTCATAGTCAATCGATCAATAATATAATAATACTTTTAGCAAAGATGTTTATTTTCAATTCACAAACTATAGAAACTATGAGAATAGAAAGGTTCAGAATGTTTGTAAAACATCACAGTACAATTGAAAAATATATGGCAAATAGAAATCCAATATGGATGGTGTTAAGAGATAGATGGGAGGTGTTGAATGGAGCTGAAGGATGGGACTAATAACAACAACTAATAACAACAAGATAACTAGTGTAAGACATGCGAAAATGATCGGAGGAAGTTCAGGAGTAAAAACAAACAACATATAATTATTGACTGTGTCCATAAGATGTATATAGTATGTATAAGCATGAAGTAGAGGCCTAAGCATTGTTGTTCACTCGTTTACTCCAATTAGGGAGGGGATGGTGGGGTTGGAAAGTAATAAAGGGAAATATATATATATATATTTTTAAAGGATATGTATGTATACTTTTTCACACAGGGCCATGTGGGTTTGGATTTTGTTTTCCCTTAATAATAACAACCTTCATTTCAAAACTGCATTTTGTGTTTACTTGTGTTATCTTTGACTAATTTACATTTGTTTGATGATCTGAAACATTTAAGTGTGACAAACATTCAAACAAATAACAAATCAGGAAGGGGGCAAACACTTTTTCACACCACTGTATGTATGTATGTGTATGTGTGTGTATGTGTATGTACAGTGGGGGAAAAAAAGTATTTAGTCAGCCACCAATTGTGCAAGTTCTCCCACTTAAAAAGTTGAGAGAGGCCTGTAATTTTCATCATATGTACATGTCAACTATGACAGACAAATTGAGGGGAAAAAATCCAGAAAATCACATTGTAGGATTTTTAATGAATTTATTTGCAAATTATGGTGGAAAATAAGTATTTGGTCACCTACAAACAAGCAAGATTTCTGGCTCTCACAGACCTGTAACTTCTTCTTTAAGAGGCTCCTCTGTCCTCCACTCGTTACCTGTATTAATGGCACCTGTTTGAACTTGTTATCAGTATAAAAGACACCTGTCCACAACCTCAAACAGTCACACTCCAAACTCCACTATGGCCAAGACCAAAGAGCTGTCAAAGGACACCAGAAACAAAATTGTAGACCTGCACCAGGCTGGGAAGACTGAATCTGCAATAGGTAAGCAGCTTGGTTTGAAGAAATCATCTGTGGGAGCAATTATTAGGAAATGGAAGACATACAAGACCACTGATAATCTCCCTCGATCTGGGGCTCCACGTAAGATCTCACCCCGTGGGGTCAAAATGATCACAAGAACGGTGAGCAAAAATCCCAGAACCACACGGGGGGACCTAGTGAATGACCTGCAGAGAGCTGGGACCAAAGTAACAAAGCCTACCATCAGTAACACACTACGCCGCCAGGGACTCAAATCCTGCAGTGCCAGACGTGTCCCCCTGCTTAAGCCAGTACATGTCCAGGCCCGTCTGAAGTTTGCTAGAGTGCATTTGGATGATCCAGAAGAGGATTGGGAGAATGTCAGATGAAACCAAAATATAACTTTTTGGTATAAACTCAACTCGTTGTGTTTGGAGGACAAAGAATGCTGAGTTGCATCCAAAGAACACCATACCTACTGTGAAGCATGGGGGTGGAAACATCATGCTTTGGGGCTGTTTTTCTGCAAAGGGACCAGGACGACTGATCCGTGTAAAGTAAAGAATGAATGGGGCCATGTATTGTGAGATTTTGAGTGAAAACCTCCTTCCATCAGCAAGGGCATTGAAGATGAAACGTGGCTGGGTCTTTCAGCATGACAATGATCCCAAACACACCGCCCGGGCAACGAAGGAGTGGCTTCGTAAGAAGCATTTCAAGGTCCTGGAGTGGCCTAGCCAGTCTCCAGATCTCAACCCCATAGAAAATCTTTGGAGGGAGTTGAAAGTCCGTGTTGCCCAGCGACAGCCCCAAAACATCACTGCTCTAGAGGAGATCTGCATGGAGGAATGGGCCAAAATACCAGCAACAGTGTGTGAGAACCTTGTGAAGACTTACAGAAAACGTTTGACCTGTGTCATTGCCAACAAAGGGTATATAACAAAGTATTGAGAAACTTTTGTTATTGACCAAATACTTATTTTCCACCATAATTTGCAAATAAATTCATAAAAAATCCTACAATGTGATTTTCTTTTTTTTTTTTTCTCATTTTGTCTGTCATAGTTGACGTGTACCTATGATGAAAATTACAGGCCTCTCATCTTTTTAAGTGGGAGAACTTGCACAATTGATGGCTGACTAAATACTTTTTTTCCCCACTGTATGAGTCAAAGTTTGTGCAAAAGGGGTCAATGCACATAGTCCAGGTAGCTATTTGATTAACTATTTAACTGACTATACTGAACAAAAATAAACGCGACAATTTCAAAGATTTTGCTGAGTTACAGTTCATATAAGGAAATCAGTCAATTTAAATGAATAAATTCCTAATCTAGGGATTTCCCATGACTGGGCAGGGGCGCAGCCATGGGTGGGCCTGGGAGGGCATAGGCCCACCCTCTTGGGAGCCAGGCCAACCCACTGGGGAGCCAGGCCCAGCCAATCAGAATGAGTTTTTCCCCTCAAAAGGGCTTTATTACAGACAGAAATACTCCTCAGCTCCCCCTCCTGACGATCCCGCAGGTGAAGAAGCCAGATGTGGAGGTCCTGGGCTGGTGTGAATACACGTGGTCGGCGGTTGTGAGGCCAGTTGGACGTACTGCCAAATTCTCTAAAACGACGTTGGAGGCAGCTTATGGTAGAGAAATGAACATTCAATTCTCTGGTAACAGCTTTGGTGGACATTCCTGCAGTCAGCAGGCCAATTGCACGCTCCCTCAAAACTTGAGACATCTGTGGCATTGTGTTGTGTGACAAAACTGCACATTTTAGAGTGGCCTTTTATTGTCCCCAGCACAAGGTGCACCTGTGCAATGATCGTGCTGTTTAATCAGCTTCTTGATATGCCACACCTGTCAGGTGGATGGATTATCTTGACGAAGGATAAAATGCTCACTAACAGTGATGTAAACAAATCTATTCACAAAATTTGAGAGATATAAGCTTTTTGTGCGTATGGAAAATTCCTTGGATCGTTTATTTCAGCTCATGAAACATGGGACCAGCACTTTACATGTTGCGTTTATATTTTTGTTCAGTATATTTAGCAATCTTGGGGGTAAAAGCTGTTCAGGCCAGGGTCCTGTTGGTTCCAGACTTGGTGCATCGCTACCGCTTGCCATACGGTAGCAGAGAGAACCATATGACAAATATAATTTTCACTGCACTTTATAGCCTAGAGTATAATTTTACTCAACTGTACTCACTAATGCAATTTATTCATTGGATTGTGGTGTTGTAGGGTAGTCTAGGTAGGATCATTTTATGGTCCCTAAACAAGATCAATAGGGGAGCTTTTTGAGCTGCGTGTCTTCACTGTTCTTTTATGCGCAATGAAGCACCTGGCCTATGCTGCCTATCCGCAATTCCTCTACCTTGTGTATTTATATAGAAAATTGGTTCAGATTTGAATGATTTTACAGAGCCTTCGGAAAGTATTTAGACCCCTTGACTTTGTCCACATTTTGTTACGTTACAGCCTTATTCAAAAATGGATTAAATAAAATAAAATCCTCAGCACTCTACACACAATACCCAATAATGACAAAGCGAAAACAGGTTTTCTATATTTTTTGCAAATGTATTAAAAAAATTAAAAACAGAAATACCTTATTTACTTAAGTATTCAGACCCTTTGCTATGAGACTCAAAATTGAGTTCAGGTGCATGCTGTTTCCATTGATCATCCTTGAGATGTTTCTACAACTTGATTGGAGTCCACCTGTGGTAAATTCAATTGATTGGACATGATTTGGAAAGGCACACAAAATCAAATCAAATGTTATTTGTCACATACACATGTTTAGCAGATGTTATTGCGGGTGTAGCAAAATGCTTGTGTTTCTAGCTCCAACAGTGCAGTATATCTAACAATTCACAACAATACACACAACACACAAAACCTAAAAGTAAAAAAAATTGAATTAAGGAATATATAAATATTAGAAATATTAGGATAAGCAATGTCGGAGTGGCATAGACTAAAATACAGTACAATAGAATACAGTATATACATATGAGATGAGTAAAGCAAAAATATTTAAACATTATCAGAGTGACTAGTGTTCCATTATTAAAGTGGCCACACCTGTCTATATAAGGTCCCACAGTTGACAGCGCATGTTAGAGCAAAAACCAAGCCATGAAGTCGAAGGAATTGTCCGTAGAGCTCCGAGACAGGATTGTGTCGAGGCACAGATCTGGGGAAGGGTACCAAAACATTTCTGCAGCATTGACGGTCCCCAAGAACACAGTGGCCTCCATCATTCTTAAATGGAAGAAGTTTGGAACCACCAAGACTCTTCCTAGAGCTGGCCAACCCGGCCAAACTGAGCAATCGGGGGAGAAGGGTCTTGGTCAGGTAGGTGACCAAGAACCTGATGGTCACTCTGACAGAGCTCTAGAGTTCCTCTGTGGAGATGGGAGAACCTTCCAGAAGGACAACCATCTCTGCGGCACTCCACCAATCAGGCCTTTATGGTAGTGACCAGACGGAAGCCACTCATCAGTAAAAGGCACATGACAGCCCACTTGGAGTTTCCCAAAATGCACCTAAAGACTCTCAAACCATGACAAACAAGATTCTCTAGACTGATGAAACCAAGATTGAACTCTTTGGCCTGAATGCCAAGCGTCACGTCTGGAGGAAACCTGGCACCATCCCTACGGTGAAGCATGGTGGTGGCAGCATCATGCTGTGGGGATGTTTTTCAGCGGCTGGGACTGGGAGACTAGTCAAGATCGAGGCAAAGATGAACGGAGCAAAGTACAGGGAGATCCTTGATGAAAACCTGCTCCAGAGCGCTCAGAACCTCAGACTGGGGCGAATGTTCACCTTCCAACAGGACAACAACCCTAAGCACACAGCCAAGACAACGCAGGAGTGGCTTCGGGACAAGTCTCTGAATGTCCTTGAGTGTCCCAGCCAGAGCCCGGACTTGAACCCGAAAATAGCTGTGCAGCAATGCTCCCAATCCAACCTGACAGAACAGAATGGGAGAAACTCCCCAAATACAGGTGTGCCAAGCTTGTAGCGTCATACCCAAGAAGACCCGAGGCTGTAATCGCTGCCAAAGGTGCTTCAACAAAGTACTGAGTAAAGGGTCTGAATACTTATGAAAATATGATATTTCCATTTTTTTATTTTTAATAAATTAGCAATCATTTCTTGATGAGGAAAAATAGCAATTTAATCAATTTCAGAATAAGGCTGTAACGTAACAAAATGTGGAAAAAGTCTAGGGGTCTGAATACTTTCCGAAGGCACTGTATGTGTGGTATGATTGCTAGTTAATAATAATAATAATAAGCCATTTAGCAGACGCTTTTATCCAAAGCGACTTACAGTCGTGCGTGCATAAATTTTTTTTTTGTGTGTATTGCAGATCTGGACCAACGATCCACCTACCACTATTGTCACTATGGTTAGAGGGCAGGATAGACAGTTGACTGGTCGACCATATTGACCTGTCATATAGTAAGCGCGTGGAAAAGCGTAGTGCATAAGGGAAGTATCAAAACACCTTGATGCAGATGAGGAAATGTTTCTATATGGAAGACATTAAATAATATAACCTGAAAAAATGGTTAATGTGTATCAGGGAAAAAGTGCACTACCCTCCCAAATGCAAAAAAAAAGTTAGACAACCGTCCCCTATTTTGGACCAGCCCCCCGACCCCAGTACATTTCAAACTGTCCCTAATCTCAAGTTAGAACTTGGCCTTGATGTGTTTATTGACGGGGATTTCGTGTGAGTTCATGTGAGGACACAAGCTTCAACGGGTATCAAAGGTCCTTTCACAGAGAGGAAAATGATGTGGGCACACACACACACACACGCACCCACACACACTGAAACACATCCACGTACTCTGGATCAGTTGTGTCAGCTATCCACACACAGAGGCCACACTTACGAAGCTGAGGAGAGAAACCTTAGTTCTCCCACCCTGTAATCAGAGAGAAAACAACAGGGAGCTCTAGAATAACAGGAAATAAGACCCGAACCAAGAGGGAGAGGAAAAGTGAGAGTATCTGTGTGTGTGTAACCAGAACCGGCTCAAAAACAAACAAGATAACTTAACCGGCTCAAATTGTAGAGCATGGCAAATGTCCAGAGTGAAGTTTCGACACAACTTTTTGCTACTCACATGGACGCCAACGTTGCTCTTCTCTAAGCACTTGTTCACACTTCTGTTTGCTTTACACTGCAAGGTGCAGTTCAGCAACTGGACAAATATCAAATACAGTACCTCATGAAGAGACGCTTTGTAAGCTCCATTCATACACAATACACACACTCAGCTATGTGCGTGTGTCTCTCCGTTCTGGGTAAAGCGTGTATGTGTGTCAGTTCTGGATGAGACTGGCTGATCGGAGTGTCGGTTTGGTGTGTGGTTTTAAGGGTGTGCCTCACCCCACAACCCATTCCTTTACTACTGAATACCTAGCTCTAGTCACCCCACCATGGGGACGTGTGTTTGTGTGAGCCCAGCATTCTTTCCTGGACCATATCTTCCATCTCTGAAGAACTCATCCACTCCCTCCATTACGCGTCCCTCCCTCAGTAGCACGGCTGTATATCAGTCTACGACTGCGGCTCCCGCTGGTATGCACTCTGTACTAAATCACCGTCTAAATCATAGTCGTCCACTGACACCGTATTATTTTCTATACGTTAGACGTGTTGGAGATTATCGTCATGATTTATGCACCTCCCCACCCCTACTCCACACACAAGGCCTGAATGAAGTCTAGAGTTCAATTATCTTTTCATCGTATATGGTGGATACAATTCACAATGGTTTATCAGCAGTCATACAATAACCAAACACACATAGAGGGGACTGGGTTTGTTTGAGCGGATATTCATTCTAATCTGTTCAAAGCTGTAGGCTATATTTAAAACCTCCCAACCCAGGAAGTACAAGGAAAAAGAGGGAGAGGACAAAGAAGAGGGGGAGGGGTGAAGGATTTAGTAGAAATATTATGCAACACCTCTTCAGATCTCATGTGTTTAACAAGCAGTAAGCACACTCAGTCTGTACAATACCTCGGGCCATATGACCGAGCGTATGCCCAAAAAACGGAGATGAATATTTGCTTTGTTGTGTCTGTTTACATAAACAAATAATGCAGTAATTTCAGTCATGTTGCCTCGTGGATTTACAAAGGCACACAAAATGGACGGGGAGAAAACTCGTTTTTAGCGCAGGACTAGATCTCGAAGAGAAGCAGCAGAATAGATGTAAATGAATTCTTGTTTTGTCTTCAAAGCTTGTTTTCTGGTACCACGCCACCGCAACCCCAGTTTCCCAGAAGAGCATCTGCCTTCCCAGTAAAACTCTGTGTGCATCAATGCTACAGTGTCTCTTAAATACTCACTCCCTCACATATACATACATACTGTACATACACACACACACACACACTTTCTCTTTCACACAGATACACACACGCATTTGGACCCACTTGACCTCCAACACACCCACTCGCATTCACATAAAACGCTCATAAAAAGAGAACAGTACAGAGCGAAACACACCTGCACTACCTCTCATACATGCAGACATACACACATCGCTGTCTTGTTGATTAACCCAGGCCAGGAGAGGGTGTCTCCTTACGGTGCTGAAGGAGGCCAGCGATCACGGGAGGAATTTCAGTGGGATTACCTAGCGACCGCTTCCCAGAATGCCTCAGTCAGCGCCTGGAAACGGCTTTCCCAGAAGCCTGATTAGAGGAAAGTGGCAAAGTGCCAGCCAGCCAGAATCCATCCACAGGCCGCGCTTCAGCTAGGACATACACACACAGTAATTAAATCACACACTCTGAGAGACACATATTAAATCATACATGATTCCACGTATTTTCAACCACCCACACACACACAAATACACTCATACATTTGCATCATTTACGTATACACACATCACAATCACACACATACCCTAACCTCACAGAGACAGACAGACAATCGGTGACAATCCTCAGTCCAATCCTGTCTCTCTCTGTGCCTTGTGGGGTTCAATGATAGGGTACACCATGACACTAAACACTAATAAGAGTATTTATTATGAAGAATCCCTATCCCCTGGGTAAGAGTATTGGTAGTCTAGTGTGTACACAGAAACACAGTCAAGCGCATTAGCCAGGTATGTTTACATGTGATGTGCGTTAGTTGCGATGGTGATGCCAAATGCATACTGTAACTGAACCTATAGCGTAATCACATGTACTGTTGCCATATAATGATTCCCGGTAGGCACACTGCACCTACTTTTTTCACAGGCATGGATGACCAAATGTGATATCTTGTGCATGACGCCTCTGATGATGCCAGACCCATATCAAGTAGTGTATTTAAATGTACCTAGGCTAATTCCCTGTAGATGAGTGGCTAGCCTGAACTAGGTTAGATGGACCCGGGCCATGTTGAGGTACCTGATACCATAAGGCTTTCCCTATGCAGTATGTGGCAGTGGATTTCACTGAGATGGGACACAGAGATTACCCTCCCTCCTTTTTCCCCCTGCCCTCTCTTTCTCCTCCCTTTTAGAGATAAACAATATATTAATGCTGGATGTGAGTTTGGCCAGTCATGAATCGGTTCATACTGTGTTCTCTTTCCTGTCGCCCTGTCTCTCCCTTCCCTCATGTTCTCTCTCTCTTCCTAATCACTTTCATATCCTCTGTCTCCTTCCCACTTTCCCTCCACTTCATGTGTCTTGGTTTTGGCATTCACCAACCCCATTGTTCTTCCAAACCTTTCCCTTCTTTCTCTCTCTTTCCTTCTGTTCTTTGTGTACAAGGCAGACTCAAGCATGCCTTCTTCCCACTCCTTCCTTTCTCTCCCTGTTCAGAGGATCGCGGGCTCTGAAGGATCTAAGCCTATGAGGTGAGATTTATTGAGATTTAAATTGGACGTCAGTAAAAACCTGTTTGTTGGCTTCCAGACAAGCTCTCGCTTTAATTGGTGCGTCTGTCGGCTCCTGGCCTGATTCCCTGACCCCGAGGGAAAAGGGAAAAGAGAGAGGGGGATGAATAGAGGGAGGAAGAGAACAGTGGCTGTGTGTTAGACACGGTTGGCTCAGCGTGCAATTACGTCCTCCTCTGTTTAAATCCCAACGGTATGTTTTCTCCGAATTAGTCAGCTTTCCAACTCACGTTTTATTATCCTGATAGGTTTCAGGGAAGAGTTCCTTCTGTATCTGGAAAAGACTCAGATTAACTACTATCAGATTAGTGATCCAGCTGAATGAGTTCGGTTGATTGTGCAGTACAGACGACTCCTGATAAGTGTGCTTGCCTTCGGATAAATACAAAACTCAGTTTTACAGTCCCAATTCAATTACATTCTTTTTTTTATTTTCTCTTAAAATGTTCTCCTGGAATCTGCATGGCCCAGTTAAGTCTGTGCGACCACAACAGTCCCAAGAATGTGTATTAGTATCTATGAATTGTTGTTTAGGCTACACCCAAACACACCCTATCTTCACAGAGCGTGACAGATGGTGACAATCCTCAGTCCAATCCTCTGGTTCTCCCATGTGGGTGGGGGTCGATGATAGGGTACGCCATGATACTAAACACTAATAAGAGTATTATAAAGAGGGCCTCCCGAGTGGCGCAGCGGTCTAAGGCACTAGAGGCATCACTACAGACCCGGGTTTGATCCCGGGCGGTATCACAACTGGCCGTGATTGGGAGTCCCATAGGGCAGCGCACAATTGGCCCAGCGTCGTCCGGGTTAGGGGAGGGTTTGGCCAGGGGGGCTTTACTTGGCTCATTGCGCTCTAGCGACTCCTTGTGGCGGGCTGGGCGCCTGCAGGCAGACCTCGGTCATGAGGTGAACAGTTTTTCCTCAGATATATTGGTGCGGCTGGCTTCCAGGTTAAGCAGACGGGTGTTAAGAAGTGCAGTTTGGCAGGTCATGTTTCGGAGGACGCGTGACTCGACCTTCGCCTCCCGAGCACGTTGGGGAGTTGCAGTGATGAGACAAGATCAAAAAAGGGGGCAAAAATATATATAATTATAAAGAATCCCTATCCCCTGGGTAAGAGTATTAGTAGTCTAGTGTGTACGCTATACATTGCACTTAGCATAGGCTACAAAAACACAGACAAGCACATTAGCCAGGTATTAGTAGTATCTATTTCTTCTCAATTGTATGTTGTGTCATGCCTGTGTTTTCTGATTGAAATAGGAAAGGGGTGAATTATACAAGAAGAGAATATTCCATATAGTGCCATAGCGTGAGGAAGAAGGGAATCTCTTAGTGAGCTCTTAAACTTGACAACACACACCACAGGGAGAACCACGTCTCAGAGAGCACTGTTTTACACTCCCACATTTCCACCTCGCATGAACTAACACACACACACACACACATTGACTGACGGGCTCATATGCATAATTGATCCTGCATTCTCTCACACAGACATACAGTACTGTACATAAATAACGTCCTCACACACACTCAGACAAGAACGATCACACACACAAATCCAAACTTATGCAAAGGTGACAAATGCATGAGACCACACACCAACATCCACAAACACACAACACACACACACACTCATTTACAGATTTTGTAACTGGAGGAGATCTATTGTTGATGCTGTGTGTCAGTGGGTCACACAGCTCAGAATTTATAGAAACCCTAACCTCAGAGCATCTGAAGAAGGTCAATTTTGAGGCAGTGCACTTACAGCAGGGGAGAAGGTGTGTGTGTGTGTGTGTGTGTGTGTGTGTGTGTGTGTGTGTGTGTGTGAAATACGGCAGCAGAGAAGCAAGAAAAGGAAGAGAAAGAATTGACCAGTAGCCCTTATTCTCAGAAGCAGCATAGGCCTACCCCAGCCTGCCTCAGCCCCATGGGCAAATTACAGGTATTATGTGGGGCGGCAGGTAGCTTAGTGGTTAAGAGCGTTGTGCCAGTAACCGAAAGGTCGCTGGTTCTAATCCCCGAGCCGACTAGGTGAAAAATCTGTCGATGTGCCCTTGAGCAAGGCACTTAACCCTAATTGCTCCTGTAAGTCGCTCTGGATAAGAGCGTCTGCTAAATGACTAATTATTTATTTATTATTTATGTGGAGTTATTGGAAGCAGCTGTCTCTAAGCAGAGGGATTTCTCCACTGGGTCGGGGTGAGAGTTGTCTTCTCGCTCTCTCTCTTAGGAGGAGGCTGGACCCATGCTGCCCTGGCTGCCGACGGACCTCCTTCCCCCGGCTGAGTTCCCTGAACTGGGAACGCCATATGGAAATCTGGAGCTACTGGGGGATTGTAAGTGGCCCACTGATGAATCCATACCTCACTGGCCTTTCTGTGAGGTGACCCGCAGGATTAGTCCTGTGGAATATGTAATTATGACATAACCACCGCCACATAACGTCTCAGTCAGGAGCGCTGATTGGATGCCTAATGAGCTGTCTTAGGCCCAGACATTGGTTGGAATCCATTGATTGAGTTTCACAATAGCTTACAATTCCCATTACAGTGCAATGCTGTTCCTGTATTACGTTCGTTTCGTCACAGAAAGTAACACTTTATAAGGTGGGCTATAACTACTGTTAAGTGCCTTGAAATGTGTAGTCTGCCCTGGCTATGAAATAGGCCATTAGGACTGGAAGGAACCTGCATCATCTGAGATCAATTTCAAAGTGTCCTTTGTGATTCACTCATTCAGGCCCTGGTTTGTGCTGGAAATACATGTAGCCTACAAAGGGAATAGTGGATAAGAGTTTCATTTGAAAAAAAATTGGCTAATGTTGCAGACCTAATGTTATCTCTCTCACATATAAGGCCTATCATCACAGTTAAACAGGTGATTAATTAGGATCTCAATGTAAGCCTATGTATATTATAATAACGTTTTTTATGGTAAACTGGGAGAGTAGGCTACATCTGTCACATGGGTGAACAGATCTTTAGGCCAAGGCCTGTGTGTGTGTGCGTGTGTGTGTGTGTGTGTGTGTGTGTGTGTGTGTGTGTGTGTGTGTGTGTGTGTGTCTAGCCTAACCTGGACAGCTACTCTAATCGATGTTCCATTTCAGACACTGTGATGGTCGACAACTTCCTAGAACAGCACTAGAATGAAAAAAACATTTGAAAACTCCTTGGAATCTCAGAACGAGGCAATCGTTCCCGTATTGATCTTTCCACAAAGGGAGAGTCCCAGGATGTGGTCATTACTGTTGCCGTGGTGACTGCATCGCTCCATGGCTGGGTGGATAGGTATTGGAAATTACAAAAGTGTGGGGGGGTGGTTGTGAGGGCTGGTGGATAGCCAGACTGGCTTTGGGTTGCAGCTGTATGGGTACCGAGCTGTACTGTGCTGGCCTAGTTAAACATCCACCATAGTTGCTGGAACAGTGCAGGAAAGGTCATTGTGAAAAGAAACTCTCTGAGCCAGCATGGTACGGTTCAGGTCTTTATGATAGTGTGAAAAGGGTCCTAGTAGAGTACAGATTCAAGGCCGTATGAAATCACACAGCCGAAGACAAGTGTGATGTATCATGAAGGCTGCCCATTAAGGATTCCTTTCTCACAAAGGCACATTTATCATCTAATGTTATGGAGCCTCCCTAAGAAGCCTACTGGTCATGTGTGTGTCGTTTCATTCCTATGATTGGCTGAGCTGTTGTCTAAACAGTACACAGGATGTGATATCACTTGATTGGTATCAGGTGAAGGTTAACTTGGCCGTTAATGACATCTGAGCTGCGGCTTAGAATATACAAATGTCCAAGTGCTTTGATCACTTGGACATGCCCCTAGGGACTTCACATACTGTAGGGGTGAGGGGCAAAGATATGCTTTATTGTCCATTAACTTGCAGAGAACAGAAATGTGCCTTTATACTCAACCAAACCCCCCGACACACACACACACCCTGAGGGGCTTGAGCAATGGGTCAGCTGCAGTGCAGTGCCCCTAGAGCAATTGTAGGTGGTTAAGTCCCTTGCTCAAGGGCACAATGGCATGGATGATGTCAGCAACCCTGCTGTTGCCGGCTCACTCTAAGCCCGATTTTCCCGTCGGAGCTGGGATTCGCACCGGCAACCCTCCTGTTGCTGGCCCGCTTCTCTAACCACTAAGCTACCTGCCACCCCTAGGGTCCATTTGGAATGGGGCATCAGTTGGCTATTTGTGGAGTCCCTATAGGACCTTGTGAGTGTTAGATTACAGTGAGCTATAATGACCCAAAATCTAGAGCTGAGAAAGATGCCTTTTTTATTATTAGGATCCCATTAGATATAGCCAAAGCAGCAGCTACTCTACCTGGTGTCCACACAAAACATAAAACACCACATAATACAGAACATTAATAGACAATTACAACTAAAGGACAGAACTACATAAAAGGGCATAATACATAACATTATTAATAGACAGATACAAAACTACATAAATGAACATTTTAAAATGCAATGGGCCCATTCTCAACTTTAAAGGCATCCTCCAGTGATTTTGTTTGACTTTTCCTGTTGAAAAGCGATAAATACAGTGAAGTACACACACTAAAGGCTAAAAAATGTTTTTTTAGACACAACTGCAAACTTCAAGGAGTAGGGCATTCAAGGAGTTGGTGTGATGGTGACTTTGTGATGTCATCGGCCTCCACACTTGCTTGATGAAGAATAGAGGAACAAAAGAGCTCCTTCTGAGCTTTGGTGCAGAATGTTTACTGCTATGGTCATTCATTGTATCGAATAGATGGAAAGGAAATCCCAGAAGATTGAATTGGTAGTAGCAACAGCAGAGAAGTGTTTGTGTGTCAGAGATTTTAGGGCAGAATAACTACAGGGGGTTTTGAGAGAAGGGGTTCCAGCCTCCAATGCTGATGGCCTGGTGTATGATCTGTTGGGGCCGAAGTAGTGGGAAGGGGTGTTGAGGATGGTGTTGTGTGTGTGTGTGTGTGTGTGTGTGTGTATATATATATATATATATATATATATATATATATATATATATATATATATATGGTTAGATTATGGTGACATTTTCTTTTTCCCCATTTCCCTTTTCCCTTTTTTTGTGAACAAATGTGCAACGCACTTTCCGAACTGTGAAAAGCAGCAATACAGCAACAAAGCATCTAGTCTGCCAGAAAACCACAGGAAGACGAAGAAGAAGCTGGAGACTGGAGAAGCACTTTAAGTCCTGATTTAACATGAGGAAGATAGAAGTACCAGAGCCTTACAGAGGCTACTTGCGTTTGGGATCTATTATTACTGGTATTAGATCGCCATCTTCTGGTCCAAAGTTAAAAACCTTTACAGAGGTTTCTGCTGCAGTATACACAGCAGGGACAGTTGAATGTGTGTGAGTGTACACCAGGGGTGTCAAACTCATTTTAGCTCAGGGGCCACATGGAGGAAAATCTATTCCCAAGTGGGCCGGACCGGAAAAATCATGGTATATATAACTTAAAAACAACAACTTCAGATTGTTTTCTTTGTTTTAATACGATCAACATACAACATAAAGCTGGAGCCTGAGGACAGTGTGTCCAAAATAGTACAAGCACAACATCACTATTAATCATAAAACACGTCAAGTTATTTGAAAATTCTAAAGAAAAAGAACACACAAACACACAATGCCTCAGTGATTAACAGAACTGTTTCACAGATCACAGAACTATATCAGGGTGTCATTTCTCAGGCAGAAATGTAGATAAAAATAATGAAATCCTGTTCCCCAAACAAGTGCAAGAACCACAGAGTCAAGAATAGGTTAAATATACAAATAAAATAAAAACAATTAAAAACAATAGCACATCAACATAAAAACATATAAACATAAATCTGAAAGCGTTGCTCAAACTCCCGTAACAGTCCCGTTATTTTATCTTTGAACCGCTTCATGTCTGCCACATGTTGGGTCGCGCACACATTTTTCAGACAGGGGAAGTGAGCTGCATCACCACCGGCAAGTTGTGTCTCCCACAATGACAGCTTCAACTTGAAAGAACGTATGCTGTCATAAGAACGTGGTCCTCTGTAGCTCAGCTGGTAGAGCACGGCGCTTGTAACGCCAAGGTAGTGGGTTCGATCCCCGGGACCACCCATACACAAAAAAATGTATGCACGCATGACTGTAAGTCGCTTTGGATAAAAGCGTCTCCTAAATGGCATATTATATTATTATTATTATTATTATAATACTGCGTGACAACTTTGTTGCGCCCTTGCAGCTGTTTGTTCAAGTTATTCAGGTGCTCTGTAACATCCACCATAAATTCAAGGTCCTGCATCCATTCTGCGGAATGAAATTCTAACACTGGTTTGCCCTTTTCTTCCATGAACTGTTCAATTTCTTCTCGTAAATCAAAGAAACGCCTCAGCACAGCACCTCGGCTTAACCATCTTACCTCAGTGTGGTATCTGTGCATTCCGTATCTGAGTTCCACGAAATGCTCCATTCTGTTCACACGTTGTGCCGTAAGCATGCAAACACACACACACACACACACACACACACAAGTGTATGGGTTGTGGTGAAATCAGATACTGTCTGTTTTCTGCACGCACGTGTGAGTAATGGATCACATGATTGTGCCCAGGGGGCAGTAGTAGTAGTAGATTTCAAACCATCCATCATAATTACATACAGTATATCTACTGTTTTTCCTTTATTAACACTGGTTCATTAAATCAATTAACAGAGCAGATTTAAAAGAGCTTCAACGCCATACAACACTCCTTCCGTAGCCTCCAACTGCTCTTAAACACTAGTAAAACTAAATGCATGCTCTTCAACCGAACGCTGCTTGCACCGCCCACCCGACTAGAATCACTACTCTCGGCTGGTCTGACCTAGAGTATGTGGACAACTACAAATACCTAGGTGTCTGGTTAGACTGTAAACTCTCCTTCCAGACTCACATTAAGCATCTCCAATCAAAAGTTAGATCTAGAATCGGCTTCCTATTTCGCAACAAAGCCTCCTTCACTCATGCAGCCAAACATGCCCTCGTAAAACTGACTATCCTACCGATCCTTGACTTCGGCGATGTCATTTACAAAATAGCCTCCAACACTCACGCAAATTGGATGTAGTATATCACAGTGCCATCCGTTTTGTCACCAAAGCCCCATATACTACCCACCATTGTGACCTGTACGCTCTTGTTGGCTGGCCCTCACTACATATTCCTCGCCAAACCCACTGGCTCCAGGTCATCTATAAATCACTGCTAGGCAAATCCCCGTCTTATCTTAGCTCACTGGTCACCATAGCATCACCCACCCGTAGTCTGCGCTCCAGCAGGTATATCTCACTGGTCATCCCCAAAGCCAACACCTCCTTTGGCCGCCATTCCTTCCAGTTCTCTGCTGCCAATGACTGGAACGAACTGCAAAAATCTCTGAAGCTGGAGACTCTTATCTCCCTCACTAACTTTAAGCGTCAGTTGTCAGAGCAGTTTACCGATCACTGCACCTGTACACAGCCATTCTGAAATTAGCCCACCCAACTACCTCATCCCCATATTGTTATTTACTTTGCTAATTTGCACCCCAGTATCTCTATTTGCACATCATCTTTTGCACATCTATCATTCCAGTGTTAATACGAAATTGTAACTATTTTGCGCTATGGCCTATTTATTGCCTTACCTCCATAACTTACTACATTCGCACACACTGTATATATATTTTCTGTTGTATTTTTGACTTTATGTTTTGTTTTACCTCATATGTAACTCTGTGTTGTTGTTTTTTATCGCACTGCTTTGCTTTATCTTGGCCAGGTCGCAGTTGTAAATGAGAACTTGTTTTCAACTGGCTTACCTGGTTAAATAAAGGTGAAAAAAAATACAAAAAATAAATAAATAAACCACCAAAACTCAAAAGCAAGCCTAGGGCCACAGAAATATTGAAATTGATTTAGTTTTACTTCTGTCTTTATTCAAAATCTTGTCTGTGCATTCTGTTTGTCAGGAGCCAGTGATCTTCTCCATAGTGCCCAGTGTTCTGTCCTTCCATGGGAGAAACCACGCCCTGATGACTGGGAAGAACCTCGATCACGTGACTAGGGTTCGCATCCAAGGGCACATGAACTGCAGTCCCAAGGAGTGAGTCAAATTATATTTATAATTGACTTTAAATTTTCCTGTAGCTCCTCATGTATGTACCCCACCGAAACCCAACTCCAAGGCTATATCACTTTGGTTTGTTGGAATAGGAGTTTAGGTGTTAATATTAGCATATTATGGCTTTGGTCTGACCTGTAATGACCTGTGTGTTGTGTGTGTTTCGCATGGTCAGGTCTCCTGTGTGGAACCACACTGGGTCCAGTCTGACGTTCCACATCCCCAGTGGAGACAAAGGTTCTGTCAGTGTGTGTGCCGTGCTGCCAGATGGTCGCTGTCTGGGCAAGGCCACTGTCACCTATATGTCCTCACCATCCTGCACTGGGCTAACGCCAAGCACTACCTGGTATAGGTAAAAACACACACACACACACGTAAGTAAGCACATATGCATGCACACCCACACATATACACACATACATATGTCTACCTGTTCAAGCCCACACATCAAATTGCATTTCTATAGCAATTCACACAAGTATAAGATCCAACAACATGGGTTCACCTTTGTGAACAAGCTATACAGAGGTTAAGAAGCATGCCTGTAACTATTTTCAATAAATGGCTACTGACTATGGTGTTGTCTGATGGGGAAAGAAAGTGGCAAGCAATTTTTTTATGGACAGTGTCATTTTTTGGGTGTTACAACTTTTTCCATGATGCATCTTTGTTTTCCACTGGCTTATTCAAATAATGTGGTTTAGACATGACTACACTTCCCATCAATACTCTAAGTATGACCAACAAACCTCCTCTGATTGGTTGATTTCCTGTGGGTCCTGCAGTGGGAAAAGGAGGATCATGGTCCTGGGGTCCCATCTGGAGTTTGTGGAGGGGGTTGTTCATGACCACGCCCCTCAGACTATCAGGACCAACTACAGCTCAGGGGTAGGCATCTTAACACACTGATTTAATTGATATCTTGACTAAGCATCAGGTCTTCACCCACTCTCACTTAACCAGTCAGTAACCTAATATGAACATGCACACTGCCACACCTCACCAAACTTTCACCTTCACACAACACAGAAATCAGTCATGGTGGCCTCAATATCTAAGGTATTCTAATTCATGTTGGTGTTTTTAGTCTCTGTGGTACCACACACCTCCTTTTGAACACATTCACCAGCCAGTCACCTCCACTGTGTCTCTGAGAGTGGCCAATCAGACACTGGCCTGCTCATCACAGCTCACCTACCATCCCGATCCAGAATTCACCAGGTACACTGCAATCAAGACAGGAAAAGACCTGCGTGTCACCATTAGAGGTATACACACATACACATGCATGGAGGCACGGATAAACACGCATACGTACTTAGTACGCGCACACACTCTCTCTCTCTCTCTCTCTCTCTCATTCATACATACACATATTCTATTTCTTTTTTTTATTTCAGAAAAAGGCTGACAAGTTGGACATCACCACAGCAGAGATCTCAGTGTTGGGTGTTCAGGAGGAGAACCAGTACTTTTTTTTTTTTTTTTTTGTCATTTAGCAGACGCTCTTATCCAGAGCGACTTACAGTTAAGTGAGTGCATACATAATTTTTTATACCCCTGTGGGAATCGAACCCACAACCCTGGCGTTGCAAACGCCATGCTCTACCAACTGAGCTACATCCCTGCCGGCCATTCCCTCCCCTACCCTGGACGACGCTGGGCCAATTGTGCGCCGCCCCATGTGTCTCCCGGTCGCAGCCGGCTATGACAGAGCCTGGATTCGAACCAGGATCTCTAGTGAGGACCCTGGGTATGTAGAGTGTGTCATGGACCCCAACGAGACGAGCAACAGGACTGACTCTGTCATCTGTGAGATAAAGAACACTCCCAGCGCTAACATCAAGTCACTGAGGGTAAAAAATATTATTCAGATGAATCCATAAAGTACCTCAACCCACCATTTTATTAGTTTCTCTGGAACACTGTCCTTGGAACAATAATCATTCATTATGTTGTCTTTGTTCATCAGATAAGAGTTGGCAATGTCACAATAAACCTTGATTCAACACACACTGTACTGCTAAACCTCTTTCTGCTAATAGCCATCATCATTATAGTCATCGTTGGTAAGTATTCCTTAATTCAGCTTCATTCTTATGGTTTTCTGTAGCTTTGATATTTGGTTACTTATGTAAGATATACTATTGAATAAGGCTCCTAGTTTTAGGTATGGTGTGGTGGTGTGTGTGTCTGTGGTTGTGTGCCTGTGTGGGTGTGCGTGTGGGTGTGTGTTGCCACTCACCACACCTGTCCCCACTCTGCTGATTAGCACCACTACACTATTTAAGCAACAGTTTTTCCCTCCAGTATTCCTTATCCTGCTGGGGATTGCAATGGCCAACCTAATTTATCATTTCCTTGAGCTGCGTGACTTACAACGTGAGTACCTTTTATTTTGGGGGGAATATGTAATGATCTTTTGAGTTTGACAAAGTTTGTATGCTGCTGTCATTTTCCTTAGTACATTTTCACTTTGTTTTGGTTGATTCAGATTCTTTTGTGAAATTAATGGTAAATTATGTACCGTGTCATGTTGGAGTCCCTTTTTTTTGTAAATAAGAATAGAATGTTTCTAAACCCTTCTACATTAATGTGGATGCTATCATGATTACGGATAATCCTGAATGAATCGTGAATAATGATGAGGGAGAAAGTTATAGACGCACAAATACACATGACCAACAGTATGTGGACACCTGCTCATCGAAAATGTATATTTTGGAATGAGATGAATATGGAGTTGGTCCCCCCCTTTACTGCTATAACAGCCTCCACTCTTCTGGGAAGGCTTTTCACTAGATTTTGGAACATTGCTGCAGGGACTTGCTTCCATTCAGCCACGAGCATTAGTGAGGTTGGGCACTGATGTTGGGTGATAAGGCCTGGCTCGCAGTCTGCGTTCCAATTCATCCCAAAGGTGTTCGATGGGGTTGTGGTCAGGGCTCTGGGCAGGCCAGTCAAGTTCTTCCTCACTGATCTCGACAAACCATTTCTGTATGGACCTCGCTTTGTGCATGGGGGCATTGTCATGCTGAAACAGGAAAGGTCCTTCCCCAAACTGATGTCACAAAGTTGGAAGCACAGAATCGTCTAGAATGTCATTGTATGCTGTAGCATTAAGATTTTCCTTCACTGGAACTAAGGGGCCTAGCCCGAACCATGAAAAACAGCCCCAGACAATTATTCCTCCTCCACCAAGCTTTACAGTTGGCGCTATGCATTCGGGCAGGTAGCGTTCTCCTGGCATCCGCCAAACCCAGATTAGTCTGTCAGACTGCCAGATGGTGAAGCGTGATTCCTCACTCCAGAGAATGCGTTTCCAGAATCCAATGGCGGCGAGCTTTACAACACTTCAGCGTTCTGTGAGCTTGTGTGGCCTACGACTTCGTGTCTGAGACGTTGTTGCTTCTAGACGTTTTCACTTCACAATAACAGCACTTACAATTGACCGGGGCAGCTCTAGCAGGGCAGAAATTTGACAAACTGACTTGTTGGAAAGGTGGCATCCTATGACGGTGCCACTTGAAAGTCACTGAGCTCTTCAGTAAGGCCATTCTACTGCCAATGTTTGTCTATGGAGATTGCATGGCTGGGTGCTTGATTTTTATACACCTGTCAGCAACGGGTGTGGCTGAAATAGCCGAATCCACTAACTTGAAGGGGTGTCCACATACTTATGTATGTGTATATATATACTGCTAAAAAATTAAGGGAACACTTAAACAACACAATGTAACTCCAAGTCAATCACATTTCTGTGAAATCAAACTGTCCACTTAGGAAGCAACACTGATTGACAATAAATGTCACATGCTGTTGTGCAAATGGAATAGACAACAGGTGGAAATTATAGGCAATTAGCAAGACACCCCCCAATAAAGGACTGGTTTTGCAGGTGGTGACCACAGACCACTTCTCAGTTCCTATGCTTCCTGGCTGATGTTTTGGTCACTTTTGAATGCTGGCGGTGCTTTCACTCTAGTGGTAGCATGAGACGGAGTCTACAACACACACAAGTGGCTCAGGTAGTGCAGCTCATCCAGGATGGCACATCAATGCGAGCTGTGGCAAGAAGGTTTGCTGTGTCTGTCAGCGTAGTGTCCAGAGCATGGAGGCGCTACCAGGAGACAGGCCAGTACATCAGGAGACGTGGAGGAGGCCGTAGGAGGGCAACAACCCAGCAGCAGGACTGCTACCTCCACCTTTGTGCAAGGGGGAGCAGGAGGAGCACTGCCAGAGCCCTGCAAAATGACCTCCAGCAGTGTCTGCTCAAACGGTCAGAAACAGACTCCATGAGGGTGGTATGAGGGCCCGATGTCCACAGGTAGGGGTTGTGCTTACAGCCCAACACCGTGCAGGACGTTTGGCATTTACCGAGATGAGATCCTCAGACCCCTTGTGAGACCATATGCTGGTGCGGTTGGCCCTGGGTTCCTCCTAATGCAAGACAATGCTAGACCTCATGTGGCTGGAGTGTGTCAGCAGTTCCTGCAAGAGGAAGGCATTGATGCTATGGACTGGCCCGCCCGTTCCCCAGACCTGAATCCAATTGAGCAAATCTGGGACATCATGTCTCGCTCCATCCACCAACGCCACGTTGCACCACAGACTGTCCAGGAGTTGGCGGATGCTTTAGTCCAAGTCTGGGAGGAGATCCCTCAGGAGACCATCCGCCACCTCATCAGGAGCATGCCCAGGCGTTGTAGGGAGGTCATACAGGCACGTGGAAGCCACACACACTACTGAGCCTCATTTTGACTTGTTTTAAGGACATTACATCAAAGTTGGATCAGCCTGTAGTGTAGTTTTCCACTTTAATTTTGAGGGTCACTCCAAATCCAGACCTCCATGGGTTGATAAATTTGATTTCCATTGATAATTTTTGTGTGATTTTTGTTGTCAGCACATTCAACTATGTAAAGAAAAAAGTATTTAATAAGATTATTTCATTCATTCAGATCTAGGATGTGTTATTTTAGTGTTCCCTTTATTTTTTTGAGCAGTGTATATTAGTGTATCATACCCCCAAGACATGCTAACCTCTCATATTACCATAACGGGAGGCTAGCATTTGTTTGGGGCTAAGATATTTGTGCGTCTAACTTTCTCACTCATAATTATTCACTATTCATTCAGGATTATGGTAGCATTCACATTCATGTAGAAGTGTGCTTGATGCGGTCATTGAGTGCTATGAATATGGGAACAAACACTAAACTTTTTACTACTTTAATACACATTTTCCCAATACCTTTGGTCCCCTAAAATGGGGGGGGGGGGGACTATGTACAGAAAGTGCTGTAATTTCTAAACGGTTCACCCGATATGGATGGAAATACCCTCAAATTAAAACTGACAGTCTGCACTTTAAACTCAGTCATTGTTTGATTTTAAATCCAAACATTTGAAGTATAGAGCAAAAATAAGAAAATGCTTCACTGTCCCAATTACTGAGGGCACTGTATATCCTTAGTTTGTTAGTTTTGTTAATTATTTTCAGTTTATTCCCCCTTTTGCTTGATTTAATGTGCTATTAGGTCTGGAAGGAACCTGCATTATCTGAGGTCAACAGAAGACTGTCCTTTGAGTCTTTGCGAATTTGTTGGCAAGGTGGTTGATCTTACTCCAGCGTAAATCACCTTCTCCATCATTATTTTTGGATCAAAGATGTCTTAAATGTTTTGAAATTGGAGAAAATAAAATGTACTCTACGGTGAACCTCTTGTAAATTCAACAGTTAACTGCCTGCACTTGTTTTGCCTGTAATTTATATTATTGTTTGTATTATCCTGACTTAATATAAGACTGTGTGCCACTCATATATGTACCTTTTTGTTTTACCATGTCACCATATTATGTTTTTATGTATAAAATAACATGCCAATTCTAAATCAATTGCTGTTTGTATTAAAACTGAAGAAAGTTTCCTTTGTGATTCCCTCATTCAGTTTGTGCTATTTGTATATTCATGTAGCCTACATAATAGTGCATAAGGCTAATTTGAGAAAATAATGTTGCCATCCTTCAATGTGTGAATCAATCAGACCATCTGAACTGTTGTCTAAACATGGTACAAGATGTGAAACTTGTCGACCAGAGTCTGAGTCAGTTGGCATAAGCCTTAAAGCCCAAACTGTACAAATGCCCAATCAAGCACTTTCCCTTACATCCAGGTATTTGTGAATCCCTATAGGACATACCAACTCAGTGGCCTTGTGGTTAGTGTCTGCCCTGAGATTGGAAGGTTGGGAGTTTGATCCCCGGCTGAGTCATACCAAAGACACTCATAATTAATGAGATCGCTTGGGAAGGCCCTGCGATAGACTAGAGTCCTGTCCAGGGGGTGTATGTGTACATCAAGCTGCCTCACGCTACAGAAACAGGAGATCCTGCTTCTATGAGTTGTTCCGGCTCGCAGAAGCCAAGCTCTATGACCCCCAATCTAGAGAAAGCTGAGAGGGATGCCATGGGCCATTCTCAACATTGATTCCTGTATCAAGCGTCGCAGAGTACGAGTGCGTCCATGTAGTCTAATTCATTGTGATCCTAAAGACAAAACTGACCCTTAATCGGCACTCCTACGCTGAGTAGCTTGATCCATATGGTCCCAGGTGGTTTAACATGAAGACGAGAGAAGTATGAGGCCAGTACAGAAGAGATAAATACATGTTGCGCTCCTGAAACCCTGAGCAGTCGACGGATAGTTGACTTCAAATTGAACCTGACAGAAGTGAAGAGGAAGAACCTGCGCCGACCGGTGAGGTGAAGGCTTCCGAGCATCACCCCAATGATCAGGAAAATGCCAGAGATGACTCTGGCCCAGTGGGAGTACTCTGCACTGACTATGTTGCACCGGCTCTATGCACACTTACTGGGCTCTAACCACACACTCGCACTGACGCTCCAACACACACATACACACACACACACAAAACACACACGCATATTGACGCCACACATACACACTTTCACACTCAGACCCAGTGGCGAGAGCGAGACTAGTAGCAACAGCAGAGAAGTGTTTGTGTGTCAGAGATTTTAGTGCAGAAGGACTACAGGGGGTTTTGAGAGAAGGGGTTCCAGCTTCCCATGCCGATGGCCTGGTGTATGATCTGTTGGGGCCGAAGTAGTGGGAAGGGGTAGTGGTGTGTGTGTATATGTGTGTATATATATATATATATATATATATATATACAGGGTTAGATTATGGTGACATTTCCTTTCCACCTTTTTTTGTGAAAAAATGTGCAATGCACTTTCCGAACTGTGAAAGGCAGCAATACAGCAACAAAGGATCTAGTCAGACGGAAAACCACAGGAAGAAGAAGCTGGAGACTGGAGTAGCACTTTAAATCCTGGTTTAACATGAGGTAGATAGAAGTACCATAGCCTCACAGAGGCCACTTGCGTTTGGGATCTATTATTACTGGTATTAGATCGCCATCTTCTGGTCCAAAGTTAAAAACCTTTACAGAGGTTTCTTCTGCAGTATACACAGAGGGGACAGTTGAATATGTGAGTGTACACGTTTCAAAAAGTATCGTCATAGTGCAAGATTTCACTTTTTGTTGCATGTATTGTGTGTTGATTGATTAATCGGTAGGCCTGTTTAAAACTAGAACCACAAAAAATATAATACTTTTCTTAGGTGATTGTCACCTATCAAATTTGAACTAAATCTTAATTCAACACCTGGTATGTGAGTAGATTGTGGTGTACCTCATTTGTCTAGTACATTCTAGTGATAGCGTAGTAGGCCTAACGCAATATTTTCACCACCAGGAGGAAGCAAATGACTTATCTCAGTAGAGATTTAAACAGGGAAGTCTGAGCTTCAGAGCATAACTGCCAGAGGAACTCAAGTTAACCCTAGTTGCAGCATCCATCCAGCTTTTACGCAAACCTCCTGTTGAACTTCGGCACAGTACGACAGTGGCAAAGGTTAAAAAGATCATGCATCCAGTACTAGTTCATAGAGATTGATAAAATTCATAAATGTGTTAAAATCCGTCAAGTGTAAAAGGGTAAATATTGTAAGAGGAATGTGTAAACGTTATATTGACTACTTTATTTTGTGGTGCCTAATTTAAGGGTAAAAGTGTTAATCTGTGATCTACTAAATGCTCTTAATCTATGAGCATGAGATCGATTGCTCTGGTCTCCACCCAACTTTCTGGGGAAATCGCGGTCTTTTTTCCTCATTATACTAAAGTTTTCAGTGAGGAAACAACTGCGTCACTCTCGTGATTATTTCTCCCCTTTTTCAGGTACGTTATTGATATAAAACGAGTTAATTTGAATGTAATAACTTGCTAACATGTCAAGAGAGTTTAAGGTATGTGTTAGTAACATCTTGAGTAAGTTAGAGTTAAGTTGAAGAGAGTTATTAGGTGCGTGTGTGAGTGAAATCTGCTTGGTTGCAGCGAAGATTAGCTTCGTACTGAGAGTAGCTGCCATTTTATGCTAATTGTGAATGAACATGTGCGCTGTTAATAATATATTTGGGGTTATTTGTATAATGTGTTTCGAATACTTTGTTGACATGGTTGATAAATGTAGTTATGGGTTACTGAGCTAAAGCTACTTTGTGTTTGACAGTTATATTGAAACATTTGTATATGTTTTAGTGAATTACAGTTTATGCTGTTGTGACTTGAATAAGCTTTGTACCCTACAAAACTCTGGTTCCTGTAGATCTGTTGTTCTGTAAAATGTGGTATTTTTGTAAAAGGATTATACTAAAGTTTTCAGTGAGGAAATATAACTGCGTCACTTTCGTGATTATTTCTCCCCTTTTTCAGGGGCGTAACATTTTGGAGGCTCCGCTGAGATTGCTGCTCAGATGTCCGGCTTCCACTTCCACATCCTGGTCGCTGAATTCCGAGCCAGCTAAATCCCTACATAACAACCCAGGCAGGCTGCAGTGAGGAAAGTGTTGCGCAGAAGGGTTTACACCATGTACCCCTCTCAGGCTTGACTGACTACATGACATACGAGATGAGGGCTGTTTTCTGGGGGGTTCTCCTCGCCTGTGTGGAATGGGGTCGGGGCCAGGAGACTCAGACATTTGATGGAGACGTCCGCGACTTTGCCATTGGTGACAGCTCGGTATACGTCGTTACCGATGACCGACTCTACCAGTTGAACCATGATTTTACCAAAGTTACAAACAGGGATAATCCTAACCAAGAAGTACCTCCTGATGAAACGTATCCATTTAAGGTAAACATTTTACTGCCATTCATCAAAAACAAGACCTTGATCACCTGTGGGACCGCAAAATGCGGCTACTGTGAAATACTCGATCTCAACGAAATCTCAAAATCTGTGCATTCCGAGGATATTGAAGTGGGTTCATTGGACCCTGGAGATTCAACCATTGCTTTTATTGTTGATGTCGGGGAGAACTCCTACATTATGGCTGGAAGGTTGCAGAGTCGTGTGCATAAAGTGTGTCCCAATTCTGATCGGTCGCTTGTCCTACGGAATACACTGGATAGTCAGAAAGGGGGAATCTTTTCTGATTCAGATGATAATGAGAATCCATATATTTACACCAGACACAAAGAGAACATTCAGTTTGTGGACGGCTTTCAGAGTAATTCACACATCTACGTGTTCTCGAACGTTCCCAAAGAGCCTCAAGTTCGACTTATTTGGTTCAAGAGCGAGAACAATAAAGCAACCACTTTGAAGTCCCTCGAAGGTACGACACTCAAATGCTGTGGAAACATGGAACGCCGGCGGCTCCTGTCTTCCTCTGTGATTCCAGGTTCTGGTGGGCCCAATGGGCAGGTGCTCTGGGCAGGTGTGTTCACGGCAGGTAACACAAGCGACCCCATCAACACCATGCTGGCCATCTATGACATCAGCCCCTCAGCAGGGCGTCAACTCGAATACAAAGACCCAGACTTCTGCTATCAAGTCTGTGGAGAGGTTGGTGAGATGATGATGATTTTATATATGGTTTATAACCAACACCATAGCAAAGACACTATCAATATTGTTACCCTAATTTCTTAGCGGAACACCAAGGGCCTGCAGCCAGTGGCGGAGCTGTTTAAATACAGCTCCATGACATCAGTGTTGGCAGTGAGACACAACTCCTGGCTGGTATTCTTCATCGGTACAGGAGACGGACAACTCATCAAGGTCTGTGGAACACATTTATTAGAACTCTTAACACATACACACACACACACACACACACACACACACTGGCCTCGTAACACCCCTCTCATGTCATTATTTCTCCCTTGAACACACAGATACCCATACAACAGAATTACAGCATTTTCTACCAAACGTGGCTCACATGAGGGAATTTGAGGTCTAAATTAGCCTGGAGAAACCCCACAGTAACTTTACTAGGCACAATAGTCTCCTTCATGCAGTGTTGTCCCTGGAAAGCTCTAATAATCCTAGCAGCAAATCCCCTGTATATTTCTTACGGTAATATCACATCCATGCAGTACATACTCACAACCAGACAGGGGATTGGTCACCACAGCACATCAATGATTATTAGTGTATCATGTATCATCATCATCATCATCATCAAATTAATACTCTTGTTGACAGAGAAATGTGTGTATTGTGGTTTGTTAGTGGGGTATGTCACCTCTACAGAGAGATGTGCATTATTAAAGTGTTACTTTTTGTCCCGTGTCAGCTTGCTGTAGACAAGGCCTACAAACCTGCCTGTCCCAGAGTGCTCTACAAGTCAGATGACGACCGCAGTGTGTTTCCCAAGATGCACCTGGATCCCGTGGACCGCAAACATGTGTACATGGCACTGAGGAACCAGGTAAGTTCTACTGTACACAGAGACAAGTATTATACTGTACAACCATTCTGAAATAGGACCCAGGACATAATATTGTGTGTTTTGTTCTAGATGATGCGTGTGCCTGTGGCTCAGTGCAGTAAACACAAGAGTCTGAAGGACTGTTGGTCTGCTCAGGACCCCTTCTGTGGCTGGTGTGAGTCTGAGAACAGTACGTCAAGGTCAGTCACAAGAACCACAACTACACACTTCTACAACTTACACTATATAGAGATGTATTTATTATATCACATTTTCCTTTCTAAAATGTACATTTTAATTATTGTTATGAAGATAAGCAGTGCCAGTCATTTCAATGTCATTCAATGAGGAGAGTTGTCTGGTTTGTCTGTGTTAATGACATCACCCACAGCTTCTTAGAATAAACTTGCCAATATAGATGAAACTTTCTGTGGATATACTTCTATGTCCTGTTTATCAGTATCACCCTAAACCTGCTCATCTTGACCCCTCCATGTGATGTGTTCTAGATGTTCGTTTCAGGATGACTGCCTTCAGCCTTCAGCCTGGATCTCCATCTCTGAGGACTCCCAACAACAGAACATGGTCTCTTACCAGGTGGAGAAGAACAGCAGTGGAGAGAAGTTCACACTCACTGTCAAGGTCCACCTGAATGTGAATTGGACAGGAAGTCTCGCCTTCGCCTGTAACTTCCTTATAGGACGTGGTAATCTGTGTAACAGCACAAGCCCCGCTCCAGCGTTGCCACGATGCTCCTGTCTGTTCTCCATCGACCAGCTTCCTGCTGAAGGTCAGTAACCTTTCACCTTCTAACTCTCCTGTAGATTTCTCAATGACAAAATGGAGCATCTTGCTTAGAGATTGTTTCCCTGTGTTCTTCCACGTAGGTCTGAATGTCACAGTGAAGATAAGAGTGGGGAAGCAGAACCTTGCTGAGAAACTAATGCTAACTGACTGTTCAGACATCACTGGACCACCTACCTCTGCCCTGTTAGTCAGAAATCCCAAATCTGTCATGCTACGCCTCAGCACCTTGATATGGCTATGTTTGAACCTACTTGTTTGGGACCTACTTGTTTAGACCTACTTCAATATTTACCATAATGAAATCTTTTAAAAGATATGTTGGGCAGATTGTGTTATACACTTGCCTTTCTGTATGTTATATATTTGTTAGTACATATTTTGCATGAGTAACAGATGGTACACATGTTTATGATTAAATTCACTGTAGTTTTCTTGTTCCTTTCTCTATGTCTCTCAGGTGTTCTCAGTGCATGACAGCTGGATGTAGCTGGAGTAATGATGCTTGCTCCTGGACACCTAGGTCTGCCAACTCAGACCCCATACAGGTATGACACACACACACCTTCTTCTTTAAGGGTGTTCATCTCGCAACTTCTTCACCCATGTTTGTTCCTGTATCTTGTTCATTAACCCTCTCTCACTTCCTTCCCCAGGATGTGTGCAGACTCAGCCAGTCAGGGATGAACTACTCTGTAAGTCCATCATACTGATCAACACTTTTTCCTCTTTATCAGCATCTCTCAGTGGATTTTCTGTCCATTATGAGGAAGTTTGATCTCAGAACAGGGAACTAGGTGTGTGTGTGTGTGTGTGTGTGTGTGTTTGTGTGTTTGTGTGTGTGTGTGTGTGTGTGTGTGTGCACATCGGTGTCTGCATGTGACACAGAGTGGACTTGAAGTGGTCTGGGATTTTCACAGTGACATAGTCTCAGAAAATTGCAGGCACAGTTATTTCATGCTAAGTACCTATCAAATAGCTAATGACGTGTTTTATGAAATGTGACAAGGACAAGGCTTTCTTGTATATGGTCAGCTCTGAAATAGTTCACGACAACCCATACACTACCACAAAATGTTCAATTTTGTTCACACGGTGTGTCGTAAGATACATACATACATACATACATACATACATACATACAGTGCCTTCAGAAAGTATTCAGACCCCTTGACTTTTTCCACATTTTGTTACGTTACAGCCTTATTCTAAAATTGATTAAATATATTGTTTTCCTCATCAATCTACACACAATATCCCATAATGACAAAGCAAAAACAGGTTTTAATACATTTTTGCTAATTTATAAAAAAAATAAAAAACTGAAATATCACATTTACAATAGTATTCAGACCCTTTACTATTTTCAGTTATACGGAGCAATATTCATAGATCTGGGCATCTTTTGTAGTTACGCATCCTACATTTAGATCACTTATAAAATAAAGATTTTATCGTAACCAGAATAACATGGATGAAAAAGGTTAAATATAGTAAGAAGATGTTTGTGAATAGAGTATTTGTCTCTGAGTCAAGTCATCATACCTCTTACAGTGGGGATTGTGATTGTGCCCCAGGGTAGTAGTAATTTTGGAGTCACTTTTATTGTAAATAAGAATAGAATGTTTCTAAACACTTCTACATTAATGTGGATGCTACTATAATTACAGATAGTCCTGAATGAATCGTGAATAATGATGAGGGAGAAAGTTACAGATGCACAAATATCATACCCCCAAGACATGCTAACCTCTCAACATTACAATATCAGGAGAGGTTAGCATTTTTTTAGGGGGTATGATATTTATGCCTCTAACTTTGTCACTCATCATTATTCAATAAAACTAAAGAGAAAGCCTAGGGCCACAAACACATATTTAGTATCACTTGTCTATCAGAAATATTGTCTGTGTCTGTCTCTGTGTGGGTTTGTTAGGAGCCAGTGATCTTCTCCATAGTGCCCAGTGTTCTGTCCTTCCATGGGAGAAACCACGCCCTGATGACTGGGAAGAACCTGGATCACGTGATCAGGGTTCGCATCCAAGGGGACATGAACTGCAGTCACAAGGAGTGAGTCAAAGTGGACAATCGGTTGAATATGATTTATTTTCTATTTTATGCAGACATCATTTTTTGAGAGAAATAAAAAATGGATTATTTTAATCAATGCTTTTAAACAATGATTTTGATGTTTTTTCACTGGCGCTCACTTCGCTCATGAAAGCCCAAGGCTTTATCACTGTGTTTTGGTAAAGTGTGTGTCTAACCTGTGTAGTGTGTGTATCACATGGTCAGGTCTCCTGTGTGGAACCACACTGGGTCCAGTCTGACGTTCCACATCCCCAGTGGAGACAAAGGTTCTGTCAGTGTGTGTGCCGTGCTGCCAGACGGTCGCTGTCTGGGCAAGGCCACTGTCACCTATAGGTCCTCACCGTCCTGCACTGGGCTAACACCAAGCACTACCTGGTATAGGTAAAAAAACACACACACACATGTAGGTACGCGCACACACACACACACACTTTATGGACCATGTCATACTTTATTTATTCTGTGAAATGTTTTCTTTGTGTTACAACCTTTTTCATAAAAGCATGTGTTTTTTATTCTGGCTTATTCAAATAATGCTGATAGGACAATTCCCATCAGCTCTCTAGGTGTGACCAACAACCCTCCTCTGATTGGTTGATTTCCTATGTGTCCTGCAGTGGGAAAAGGAGGATCATGGTCCAGGGGTCCCATCTGGAGTTTGTGGAGGGGGTTGTTCATGACCACGCCCCTCAGACCATCCGAACCAACTATAGCTCAGGGGTAGGCATCTTAACACACTGATTTAATTGATTTCTTGACTAAGCATCATGTCTTCACCCACTCTCACTTAACCAGTCAGTAACCTAATATGAACATGCACACTGCCACACCTCACCAAACTTTCACACAACACAGAAATCAGTCATGGTGGCCTCAATATCTAAGGTATTCTAATTCATGTTGGTGTTTTTAGTCTCTGTGGTACCACACACCTCCTTTTGAACACATTCACCAGCCAGTCACCTCCACTGTGTCTCTGAGAGTGGCCAATCAGACACTGGCCTGCTCATCACAGCTCACCTACCATCCCGACCCAGAATTCACCAACTACACTGCAATCAAGACAGGAAAAGACCTGCGTGTCACCATTGAGGTATACACACATACACATGCATGGAGGCACGGATAAACCACCATATGTACTTAGTACACTCACTCACTCACTCTCTCACTCACTCACTCACTCACTCACTCATAAAGAGGCAATTCTTAGAAAAGTATTCTGTTTCATCAGTTCTTTTTTCTCCACAGCTCCTTATTTGGTTACAATCTCTCTCTCTCTCTCTCTCTCTCTCTCTCACACTCACACTCACACTCACACTCACACTCACACACACAAAACACTATATATATTTTATTTATTTCAGAAAAAGGCTGACAAGTTGGACATCACCACAGCAGAGATCTCAGTGTTGGGTGTTCAGGAGGAGAACCAGTATGTAGAGTGTGTCATGGACCCCAAAGAGACGAGCAACAGGACTGACTCTGTCATCTGTGAGATAAAGAACACTCCCAGCGCTAACATCAAGTCACTGAGGGTAAAAAATATTATTCAGATAAATCAAAAAATGTTGTTAGTTGCTCTTGGAAACTCAAAATCAGAACTGTCCTTGGAAATAGTATTTTACAGTTAACATGCATTATGATGTTTGTTTTTCAGATAACAGTTGGAAATGTCACGATAAACCTTTTAAAACAAGTTGAGCCTTCAATGCTAATCATCCTTGTGCTTATACCCATTATCATTGTGGTCATTGTGGGTCAGTATTCAACTTCATCAACTTTGTTTTGACTTAGTGTCTCATGACAGACTGTACATGTCCAATCAAGTAGCTGGCACACAAGATTTGGTTCTGGGTTCTGAAATGAGTTCTGACCTGGTTTGGTTGAACAGGGCCCATAGGTTTAGGTATGGTGGTGGTGTGTGTGAATAAAGCTCTTGTCCTGTCCTGACCAGGTGCGGTGTGGTATTCCTACAGTAAACAGAGGAAAATGGCGGCACAAATGAACAAGCAGCTGGAACTGCTGGAGTGTGACATCAGAAATGACATCCGACAAGGTCAGTCGTCGTGGACACACCGACCTTGATTTATATTCTTCAATCGCACACAGACAGTCACACACACGCACACATACTCACTGATGCACCAAATTGGCATGATGAAATGGATTTAACAAAGTAAAGGCCCATGACTTCCACCCACATGCAACACACACATACAGTGCATACGGTACAGTTACACCAAAAACAAACACCCTTACTTAACCTTCTGTTCTCTAGGATTTGTGGATATGCAGACAGAAAAGTGTGATTTAATTGAGAATGATGGAGTCATCCCTTTCTTGGACTACAAGCTCTTTGCTTCCAGGATCTTCTTCCCTGACGTACGTAGGAGCTGAACACAGAACAGAGTCAATACAGCATACCTAGTACAGTCTGCTTTAAAATAAGAAATGTTGTGTTAAATGGACCGATAGGTTGTGTTATGTTCGTACTTTGTCCTATTGTTTCTGTTAGGGTGGACCTGTAATGACCTCCTGTATCAAAGACATTGGCCAGGTGAGATTTGATTTGAACTGAAATCTGCTCGTCTGATTGCCATAACATTACTTTATCAATGACTGAAAGGGAAACGGAGGATGTAAGCGATTTCCATAAGTAGCTAACATCTGTCCTGTGGTCAGGACGTGGTGAAGGTGCAGCCAGACGAGAGCTCCCAGGCCCTGTCCAGACTGATCCGGGATCAGGTGTTCCTCACCTCCTTCGTCCACGCTCTGGAGGAGCAGAAGAACTTCAACGTCAAGGAGAAGTGAGTCAGTGAGGACAGGACAGGACACAATTTAGGCCAAGTGTGACTTAGTTGGTTGGAGTATAGGATATACGACAGGTAAGGTTAAGGCATATAGTACAGTAGAAATGGTTTAGGTGTCGTTTAAGTCATTATGGATGAGCAGGTATGGTGTGTATAGCAGGTAATAGAGATGTCATAAGTCTGATGTATGTTGTGTCCTACAAGGTGTGCGGTGGCCTCACTGCTGACCGTGTCCCTCCACGGTGACCTGCCCTACCTGACCCAGGTGATGGAGGAACTACTCAGGGCTCTGATGGAGCAGCCCAGTAACTCCCAGCCCAAACTCATGCTGCGACGCACTGAGTCCATCGTGGAGAAGCTGCTCACCAACTGGATGTCCATCTGTCTCTACGGCTTCCTCAGGGTCTGTCTGTCTGTCTCTACGGCTTCCTCGGGGTCTGTCTGTCTGTCTCTACGGCTTCCTCGGGGTCTGTCTGTCTGTCTCTACGGCTTCCTCGGGGTCTGTCTGTCTGTCTCTACGGCTTCCTCGGGGTCTGTCTGTCTGTCTCTACGGCTTCCTCAGGGTCTGTCCGTCTGTCTCTACGGCTTCCTCAGCGTCAGTCCGTCTGTCTCTATGGCTTCCTCAAGGGTCAGTCTGTCTGTCTCTACAGCTTCCTCAAGGGTCAGTCTGTCTCTACGGCTTCCTCTAGGGTCAGTCTGTCTGTCTCTACGGCTTCCTCAGGGTCAGTCCGTCTGTCTGTCTGTCTATATCAGTTATTTTCTTGCTTCTAGCAAAGCCTTATTAGTTCACACTGTATGTATTTATTAGCCTCCATGTCATTATGGTCAGGTTACAGTAAAAACAAAATGATCTAATAAATGTCCACGTGTTTGAGTGTCTATGTGAATGAGTGTCTGTTTTTGTAACTTTTCATATTAGTGCATGTTAATGAGTTATACCTAATTGTACATGTGAATACCGGTTTGTGTGTGTTTAACTGAGCTGTGTGTGTGTGTTGTGTCCCAACAGGAGAGCGTGGGCCAGCCCCTTTTCCTGCTGGTGTGTGCTCTGACCCAGCAGATGTCTAAAGGCCCAGTGGACTCAGTCACAGAAAAGGCTCTCTACACACTCAACGAAGACTGGTTACTGTGGCAGGCTCAGGACTTCACCACAATGGTACCCCCCACCACACACACACACACACACACACACACACACACACACACACACACACACACACACACACACACACACACACACACACACACACACACACACATCATCAGCACAAGCACACACCAAATGTTCACCTTCACATACACACACCCTTCCTGGATCTAGTGCATGGCAACAGGGGTAGTTGGCAGAAAAAGGAGGAACTGAAGTGGTTGTTTTGTTTGTTACCAGAAAAAGTTGTGGTTTGAGGAGCTCGTCTGTCAAAGAACATCTCTCAATATGCTGGGGCAAAAATGAAAGTGATGTTACCTCATAAAGATCCTCAACAAAAACAGGTCTTCTTAGTTATCTGTTGGTTGTATTCAGCCTAACCTCGAGGCGCATGTGTGTAAATGTATCTAATTAGTATTTTTGTGCTGTGGTTTGTAGATTGGGACAGTTGCACACGCAATGTTGACAGGAAAAGCTATAGCTTTTTTTAGGAAGCTATTAGTAGATATGGCCTCAGTCTCTCTGAAGCAAAATATACAGTTGCTCAGTGGTTTCTTATAACAGAGAAATTAGACCGAGGTATTTATCACAAGAGACGACACCACACAAGATATCCTCCATCTATTCTATCGCTGTAGTGTATAGGTTGAATTGAATGAAGTCCATCAAGTGATATACACAGACATGTGGTTTTATAAAGCTTTAGCTAACTGTGTGGTTTCCCTGACCCAAATAGAAAGACAGTTGGTATGAAGGTTAGCTTCAGTTGTTCGCCATACTGATGAATAGAGCTAATTTCACATGTAATTTTCTAAATAGCCTACATCATGATGTATGTGTGTCTGTTGATTCCAACCCCCCCCCCAGAGGCTACAGGTGCTGTTTGCTGTGGGAACAGACGGAGAGGTCAGTGAGCCCCTGGAGGTCAGTGCTCTGGACTGTGACACAGTGGAGCAGGTCAAGGAGAAGATCCTCCTGGCCTTCAAGACCAAGTTTGGCTTCCCCTACAACACCCCTATCAGACAGATACACATCGGTCAGTTGTAGTACCTCATGTGTCCAAGACATTAGGAGAGAATGCAAGAGTGATGAGTGCTAACGAGAATTATGACTCTAAAATCATGCATACCTCAAATGAAAAATATTGATCGATCATACATTCTTTCAAAGGAATGGCTTTCAAATGTTCATTATAATGACTTCTCTCTCTCTCTTTCTTTAACTCTGCAGAGTATGAGAAGGATGGAAGGTTTGTCCCACTAAAGGAGGTGGATGCCAGCTCAGAGGTTCTAGGAGAAGTGACCATGCTCAACACACTCAAGCACTACAAGGTTAGAGAACACTACCAAGCTTCCTGATGCAGGAAATAAGCCTAATCTCACGTTCAATATCTCTCTCTTTATCTCCTATCACCATATTGGACAGAGGGTAAAAAAAAAAAAAGAAATTGACATGTAGTTGAAGGCCTATACTGCAAAAATGCAGATTAAAGGTCCAATCACTTGCAGCTGTAGTATTACTCAATGTGGCTCAACCGCAGAAGATCTGCGCTATAGCGAGATTTACATTTAAAGGCAACATTCCTGTGTTTGTGGAGACTGCATTCACGGTAAACCCTGCATATGTCGGCTCAATCGGGAAATACCTTTACATTTCAATCGCGCTATTAACGCTGAAGATACGCAGATCTTCAGCGGTACGGATTGAATCTAGTCCTAGGTAGTTGTAATAACTAGACAGATTAGGTTATCAAATTGTTGCTTAATGTCACCAAACCACATGCACAAATTCGTCAGGTATCTTATAAGCACATTATAAGTAGAGGGTCTCGCTAGAACATCCTTGAAATTGAATCAGAGTACTGAGTACAGTGTACTGCTCTCATTCTGCAGCCTGGTTTTCAAGGCTACTAACAGGCAGTATTAGCTCCATTCAAGGCAGCCTGGCTGGTTGGACTGAGCTGCCCGTGTCACAAGGTCAAACCAGACCACAATTAGATTAGAACTCCTGTACTCGTTATTAGTCTCACTGTAGAACATCACTGTATTTTAGGTCTACCAGCTGGTTGAGAAGCTGGTAACTCAGCATTTATCGACCTTCTAACTCAGTGTGTTTCTACAGGTAACGGATGGAGCGTCCATCAAAGTGCTCTCTAAGACTCATGGCCCTCTGAGTCCTCAGAGCAGCCTGAAAGGTAAGGGTGTCAACAGAGATTGCCATTCTACAGTGCACCATGCCTCGATAGCTCCTGGAGTTGTGGACCTTGTACACGTCACCTCACACTGTATTAAACAGGGAATGAATGGTGTGGGGGGGGGGGGGGGTGTGTGGGGGGGGCATTTTGTGAATGCCTACACTACACACAGAGTACACACCAACAGTATTCACACACACAAGCGCATGCTCATAGTTAATGCTCATCACACTATTGTGAATGCCTACACTACACACAGAGTACACACCAACAGTATTCACACACACAAGCGCATGCTCATAGTTAATGCTCATCACACTACCACACGTGTGCACAGAGTTTGTCAAAGTTTTATTGTATTTATTTATTTTGGCATGGTGGAGTCCCATTGAGACCAAGGTCTATTTTACAAGGGAGCCCTGCGTGACAAACAATTACTCAATCAAGGCAGCATGGGTGTATAAGAAATGCACAAACTAAAAATACAAATCATAAAAAACGACATTCAACAAAACAAACATCCCTCAGTAAAGTTGCGTTTAAAGTAGACATGTTTTGGTCCACATTTACCCTCCCCCTCTTTCTAAAATTGTTATATGGCAGATGTGAAACACAAGTGAGATGCAAAACCACATAACTGTGTCTGCTTATATAAAAAAAAACTAACAGAAACCAGGAAGCTATTTAGTACAATTGTCGTTGTTGTGTATTTTTCACAGACGATCAGAACTACTCCACAAAGTACTTCCATCTGGTAAGTGGCAACATGACCTCTGAATTAGTTGTCCCTGATGTGCGTTTGATCTGATTGATTAATAGTGCTCTTTGACCCCAGATTGACCCTGACATTGATCAGGACCAAAAGAACCCGGAGAGGAAGAAGCTGAAACTGAAGGAAGTGTACCTCACCAAGCTGCTCTCCACCAAGGCAAGAGGAACTCACTGTTAACTTACATCCTGACCTGTCAAACCAACCCCTTTCAACCTGCCACTGTCCTCTGATAAATGGTTAACTGAAAGATGGAAATGTCTAGACTTTGCAGTTATGTGAGATCCAGCATACAGTGACTGTGTAACAGTTCCCTTCCCTTCTCATTTCCCTTATGAACATTGCTTTCAAAAAAAAGTGGATAGGTACTAAAGTGGCTTGCTTGGAGCGGTCAGTGCGGTTTCAGTGTAAGGGACATTATATATGGCCATAAACCATCCACTTCCTCCTCTCTCAGGTGGCTGTGCATTCGTTTGTGGAAAAACTGTTCAGAACCATCTGGGGAACCCCTAACCTCAATGCCCCGCCTGCCATCAAGTACTTCTTTGACTTCCTGGACGCCCAGGGAGAGAACAAGAGGATCAGTGACCCGGATGTACTACACATCTGGAAAACCAACAGGTATGTGTTCATCTGGGTAATATTCATTAGGTCACACCGTAGCAAAACATTTTGCAATGGAAAACGAATGAGCGTTTTATTGGACAAGTTCAAGTAGTCCCTCTATTTTTCAGTGTTTTCTTCCATTTGATGCCTAAAGAATATGACCCTGATAGTACACCTGTTTGAGTATGTTTATAGTAGAATCCATCTTTCTTAATGTCTTTCCTCATGTCCAATCAATGTGTTGTATCTACTAATTCAATACTCAAGCCACTAATCACTGTATTGGGATAGTGATAGAATGTTTGACTGGTCCTCTGTCCTGCTCCTTCCCAGCCTGCCCCTGCGGTTCTGGGTGAACATCCTGAAGAACCCCCAGTTTGTATTCGACATGGAGAAGACCCCGCCCCTGGACGGCTGTCTGTCCGTCATTGCCCAGGCCTTCATGGACTCCTTCTCCCTGGCTGAGAAACAGTTGGGCAAGGTGGGGCCAGGACAGAGACATCACAGAATATAATGACTAACACACCTCATATCTTGTGCTTTTGTGTACATTTCTGCAAATCTCAATGTCAAATATGCAAAAAGAGTTTGTGGTTCAACTGTTAAAACGCTGCCCTCAAACTTAGTAGAGTGCATATGTCATCAAGAACTGTCATGCTAATCTACGGGTTCAAACATTTTTTGCACAACTTTCAATGTAAAATATACTAGGAGCCATGTAACAGACAGAGGTTGGTGGTTCAAACCTCATCTCTTGCGCAAACCTCAACGTCAAATATACGAAGAGTAGAAAATGTGAAGGAGTCGGTGGTTCAATTCCTGCCTTGCACCCGAGATGTAGGTTCAAAGTTAATTTCTTGTGCTGTTGTGTACGTTTCCACAATTGTCTATGTCAAATATACAAAGAGCCGGGTAAAGAATGTGAAGGAGACAGTGGTCCAATCGTTAAATCCCTGTCTAGCGGCCAAGTGTTTGTAGGTTCAAACCTAATTTCTTGTACGTTTCTGCAACTGTCAATGTCAAATAGACAAAAATAGTTTGTGGCTCTGGTGCAAGAATCTCACCCCGATAAGCACAGGGTTGTAGGTTTGAACCCAGGTGCCAGCTTTCGATTTCATATATTTTTTTTGTATACATTAAATGCGCTATGCATTATGTGGGTTGAATGCTGTAACACAGAATAAAACAATTCATAAAAGTTCCATGATGGCAGTGACCACCCATTACTGCTTATCACTTATTAACCATAATTTATTCACATTACTTTAAACATATACAGTGGGGGAAAAAAGTATTTAGTCAGCCACCAATTGTGCAAGTTCTCCCACTTAAAAAGATGAGAGAGGCCTGTAATTTTCATCATAGGTACACGTCAACTATGACAGACAAAATGAGAAAATAAAATCCAGAAAATCACATTGTTGGATTTTTAATGAATTTATTTGCAAATTATGGTGGAAAATAAGTATTTGGTCAATAACAAAAGTTTCTCAATACTTTGTTATATACCCTTTGTTGGCAATGACACAGGTCAAACGTTTTCTGTAAGTCTTCACAAGGTTTTCACACACTGTTGCTGGTATTTTGGCCCATTCCTCCATGCAGATCTCCTCTAGAGCAGTGATGTTTTGGGGCTGTCGCTGGGCAACACGGACTTTCAACTCCCTCCAAAGATTTTCTATGGGGTTGAGATCTGGAGACTGGCTAGGCCACTCCAGGACCTTGAAATGCTTCTTACGAAGCCACTCCTTCGTTGCCCGGGCGGTGTGTTTGGGATCATTGTCATGCTGAAAGACCCAGCCACGTTTCATCTTCAATGCCCTTGCTGATGGAAGGAGGTTTTCACTCAAAATCTCACGATACATGGCCCCATTCATTCTTTCCTTTACACGGATCAGTCGTCCTGGTCCCTTTGCAGAAAAACAGCCCCAAAGCATGATGTTTCCACCCCCATGCTTCACAGTAGGTATGGTGTTCTTTGGATGCAACTCAGCATTCTTTGTCCTCCAAACACAACGAGTTGAGTTTTTACCAAAAAGTTATATTTTAGTTTCATCTGACATTCTCCCAATCCTCTTCTGGATCATCCAAATGCACTCTAGCAAACTTCAGACGGGCCTGGACATGTACTGGCTTAAGCAGGGGGACACGTCTGGCACTGCAGGATTTGAGTCCCTGGCGGCGTAGTGTGTTACTGATGGTAGGCTTTGTTACTTTGGTCCCAGCTCTCTGCAGGTCATTCACTAGGTCCCCCCGTGTGGTTCTGGGATTTTTGCTCACCGTTCTTGTGATCATTTTGACCCCACGGGGTGAGATCTTGCGTGGAGCCCCAGATCGAGGGAGATTATCAGTGGTCTTGTATGTCTTCCATTTCCTAATAATTGCTCCCACAGTTGATTTCTTCAAACCAAGCTGCTTACCTATTGCAGATTCAGTCTTCCCAGCCTGGTGCAGGTCTACAATTTTGTTTCTGGTGTCCTTTGACAGCTCTTTGGTCTTGGCCATAGTGGAGTTTGGAGTGTGACTGTTTGAGGTTGTGGACAGGTGTCTTTTATACTAATAACAAGTTCAAACAGGTGCCATTAATACAGGTAATGAGTGGAGGACAGAGGAGCCTCTTAAAGAAGAAGTTACAGGTCTGTGAGAGCCAGAAATCTTGCTTGTTTGTAGGTGACCAAATACTTATTTTCCACCATAATTTGCAAATAAATTCATTAAAAATCCTACAATGTGATTTTCAGGAGAAAAAAAAATTCAATTTGTCTGTCATAGTTGACGTGTACCTATGATGAAAATTACAGGCCTCTCTCATCTTTTTAAGTGGGAGAACTTGCACAATTGGTGGCTGACTAAATACTTTTTTTCCCCACTGTATTTCAGTTGTTTAATACATCTGTTTTATTTGATGACTTTAGGATTTCATTCCCAGTCATCATCTTGTCTCTATGGGCGGCAGGTAGCTTAGTGGTTAAGAGCGTTCGGCCAGTAACCGAAAGGTAGCTGGTTCTAATCCCCGAGCCGACTAGGTGAAAAATCTGTCAATGTGCTCTTGAGCAAGGCACTTAACCCTAATTGCTCCTGTAAATCGCTCTGGATAAGAGCGTCTGCTAAATGACTAAAATGTATAGAGCTGCGGTCTGACAAAATCACTATGTTAGTAGTTCTTCAAAGTAAATAAGGCATACTTTTATGACTGCTGAATACCAACTATCAATCACTTAGATCAGGTATTTTCAGGTAGAGATACCTCAATCGTCTTGTCTCCAATGTTCCCTCTAAACTGCACACGCTAGGCCCGCACCTCCTCCAGGACTGCTGCGCAGAAGAAATGCCAGGCCGCAGAGACGCAAGAGATAGAACTTCATTGAGTTCACCTCATTAGTTTGCACTATATAGATCAATGTTTTTTCTGTGATCGATTCAACATTATATCAGCCCCTTTTCAATGCAACAAACAAATCTAACTTTGTAAGATTGAGGCTGTGATTTTGTTGTAGGCAGAGCCCCATGGAGTAGAATTATATTGGTGGGTAGCCCACTAGGGGTCTTTCAATCACCCGCTAGTGAATGAATGCGTTTTTAAGGTCAGTTCAGAGCTGCTCATGTGAACATTTGTTCATATTCTTTGCCAGTTAGCGTAGTTATAGATAAGTATAGGTCAGCAATGGGGAGTACTGCTTCCTACAAGAGCACAAAACATGTGGGCTACATTTCAAGCGGTCTTTGAAAAGCTTTCACGTTTCCACTCACAATACCACAAATTTGCTCAGTGCCGCAAAAAATTAGCGCCAACATTGCTTGTCTCTCTTATCTCCCTTTTTGTGTCTGCCTCCCAAATACAGGACAAGTATGATCACAATGGATTGTCATTGTAGTTAATTACGTTTTTTGCAGTAAACTATGTAGAATATTGGCCTGTTGGAAACTACAACTCCCTACTACATCGCACAGATCAGGCTTGATCTGATTTATCGCTAGAGAAACTACGCATTGAGCTCACAGAAAAAAACGAACGAAATGGAATTCAAATAATTGAACCGACGTCGATCAATTTAGTTATTTAAAAACGAAAAATGTCAGTTAAACGCTCAGCACTAGCAGCCAATGGAAATGTCTGCGATAGGTATAATGCCGGTCTCATAACTTGCAGGCCTCTTAGTATACCTGGCATTGACAATGCTAGAAGCTCAAAAGGTAAGGACACCTATCACCTAGATTTGACATGACTCTTCTACCCTCTCTCTGTTCCAGCATGACCCAACCAATAAACTGCTCTATGCCAAAGATATCGCTCAGTACAAGCAGGAAGTGAGGGCCTACTACAAGCAGGTCAGGGACCAGCCACCAATCAGCAGCGCTGAGTTCAAGGAGTTCCTGCACAAGGAGTCAAAGGTACTGCCCCTCTAGTGGTTCAGCTTTCTAATAAATAATTATTTTGATATTGTGCTTTAAGGACATTACATTTATATTTTTGTTTCATTAGAAACATGAAAACGAATTCAATGAATCAGCTGCCCTCCGTGAACTCTACAAATACATGCAGCGGTACTTTGATGAGGTAAACCGTCTGTCCATCTGTCTAGCTCTCCCCTTAATTGGCATTCATGATTTTTCCCATAAACTTCACACTTCCCCTGCACTGTCTAATCACTTCAACCAGGACTAAAAATCTTGAAAAAGCTGTTGTTCAGGCCAACATCACATGATCACTGTGTAACTGTAAAGCTGCCTGGCACAAAGCCTAGTTTGTGGGAAATGAGAACTGCAGTGGCAGAGCATAGCGTAGCGTAGCATGAAACACAGCCTATGCCACTTCTATGTGGGGTGGTGATTAGGCTGGTTTTCAGTTCTTCATTTTGTAGTGATCTACTGTTTTGAGCTCCACAATAGCAGCTGACCATACCTATGCCACATAGAGTTTAAACATATGCCTAGACCTAGTGTGGATTGATAATCCCCCATTGTGGCATATTGCTACTGGCTGATGTCTTAAATTTATGGACACAAGCTGGCCTTTTTTTGTTTGCCCACATGTAAACAAAACAATTGAATGTGTGGTGTCTCCCTGGCAGATTAAACTGAAGTTGGATGAGAATGGCGCCCCCGTGGAGTTGAAGGAGCAACTGCAGCACGTGAAGAGCCTGTTTGACAGCCTCAAGAGCTGTTCCTGGAACTGAGCTCACTCCCTCCCCTTCGACATGCTGAAGGCCAGAAAGCTGTTCTAAGGACCGATGTCCACCCCGCTTTGCTATTCAAAGACTAATATGTCAGGAGACTACATAGAGATTTACAATTTTATAAAAAAACGAGAGAGGCTTTTCAGATTACTGGGATGAACCAAATGATGGCAGAAATTAGCTGGTCAAATTCCAGCCAGACATTTATCCAGAAGCAGGGAATATACTCTTATTCTGAAGCTGGGACTTTTGTTTCCTCAACTGAAGCTGAAAGACTAAAGAAGACTTCAGCGGTTCTAGTGCTAATGGTTCACACAAAAAAGTCATAAAAATGTATTTGTATGAATTGCAAATACAAAAACACATACATCTTGAAATAACATTACAAAAAAGTTGTATAAATGTTGTGCAAGTCACAGCTCTTTAGAGCCATTAACCCAACCTTTTTTAACACATAAAACCATTTCTTGTTCAGCCAGAATGCCTTTGGGACTCACGCTTTTAAAGTTTCAGAGTGATGGCCTTAGTGTAAACATTTGATACAAATCTCACAACAGTCAATTAAAACTCTGAGGAAGTCACTTGTTAGCCATTGAAATCATTCTTTACATAGGCATCAACAGTCAAGGCATGGAAGGACTCCAGTACCGTTACTCACCAAGGAATGTAAACATTGAATGCATGTAGTTCTTTCTCTTTACATTTGATACGTTTTGTGCCAATAAAATCTAAATGTTTTTAATATAATATTTGAGATCTCACTGATTCAATTAGAATAGGATCATACATCACCAAACATCACACTTTTAGGGAGTAATAAATCCTATATCTCATAGTTTATGGTGAAGGTCAAGCTCACTCTCTGGGGGTCCGAGTGGGGAGGTCAGAGATCAGGGCAAGAGTCGTGCAGGCCAGAGCCCCTGCTCCTGTCCATGGGAGGCCCCAGTTCCTCCATCTGCTGCTGCTGAGTACAGGCTAACTGCTCCAGCCTCCGACGCAGCAGTGATAACTCTCTCTGGTGCTGCTCCTCCTGAGCGAGAGAGAGGAGGGACAGAAAAGTACACAGATTTGCAGGTGCAGTGAAATGGACACATAATCCAGAAAAATTGAAAAATTATATAGGATGAGCCATGACTAGAAGTATAAACAAAGTGAGTAAAACAGCATGTAAACATTATTAAAGTGACCAGTGTTAAATGATGATGGACATAGGGCAGCAGTCTCTAAGAGCCAATTTATGCTTGATCCGAAAATGTGGTCAGAGGCACCATATGGATGGTATGACGCAATTGCGGAGCCTCGGGAGGCACGCAGAGGCCAACTTGAGCTCCGTACCATATCGCCGTGCGCCTCTCAAATTTTGTAACAATGCGGAGGGCTCCGTATAGCTCTGCAGTGACATGATTGGTTGACGGTAGGTGAGGGCAGGAGGTCCTTTATAAACACAAACTCACTTCCTTGACAACTTCCTTCACAACAGCTCTGCGCTGCTTGGTGAAGCACAAGAAGTATGAATGCCCTGACTTCTACAGAGGCCATTTCACCGTAAATGCTGCATGGCCAATGCAGACGTCGGAATGACCATGCAGCGCCTTTAAGGTTCAGGGCAGGGTACTGGCCGCAGGCCGGCTAGTGATTGCTATTTAACAGTCTGATGGCCTAGCAGTTTCTCAGTCTCTCTGTCCCAGCTTTGATGCACCTGTACCATCTCTATGTTATCCGGGTGAACAGGCCATGGCTCGGGTGGCTGAGGTCCTTGATGATCTTCTTGGCCTTCCTGTGACACCGGGTGCTGTAGATGTCCTGGAGGGCAGGCAGTGTGCCCCCCGGTGATGCGTTGGGCTGTCCGCACCACCCTCTGGAGAGCCCTGCGGTTGCGGACGGTGCAATTGCCGTACCAGGCGGTGATACAGCCTGACAGGATGCTCTCACCTAGCTATTCCTTTCAGGACCAGACCCCCCCCTGTCCACATAATGTTATTCATCATGATCTAAAAGTAAAACTGATCCTATATCAGCACTCCTACTCTGAGACTGGCCCTGATCTGTGATCACCAAGGTGATGAGGTATATGAGAATGTACCCGGCTTCAGTGTACTCACGTGAAGGCTAGGCCCCTCAGACCCGGGTACGAGGATGGAGATAGGGCCGAGGCCGGGGGTGGAGGTCATGAGGGCGGGGCCTGTGGCAGAGGTCACCTGGTTGCCCAATAGGAGGCGTCGGAACTCGCTGTGTCGGCGCTGCAGCTCCTTCAGTCGTCTGTTGAGGTGGGCATGCTCCTCTGTGTAGGAGGGACGCCTGGGGAGGAACACACATATTGGTGTTAAAACACACACACAGTCATTAACAGACACAGAAAGAATATATACATACTTATTGGCTGAGCTGGTCTGTAGCTCCAGCTCTGCCATCTTAGCCTCCAGTAGTTGGATCTTATCCTGGTATCTCTTCTCCTTGTTCTCGGTCATGTTTTTCCTCTAGAAAAAGACACAGAGAGAGATTTAGAGGTCAGAGAGACATCAGAAAAGGGAGGAAGAGGAGCAAAGGACGAAGGGAAGAAAAGTGAAGATGGAGGTGAAAGGAGGATGGGGAAAAGGATGGGAAAAAGGAGGAGGTAGCGAAAAGAGGACAGGTACCTTTTTCTGTGCCAGCGCGGCCCTTTGTAGTTTCTCCTTAGCCTGGCCGTACTTCTCCTGCAGCTCTGCATCCATCTCCTGCAGTTTGTGTTTCTCCTCTAACCACTCCACACGACGCTCCTCCACCAATCTGCAGAGAGAGCGAGAGAAAGAGGATGGTTAGAATAGAAACCACTTGATGGTTCCAACAGTATCATTTCTAACTGTTCTATTCCTCCTACTCTTGACATAGACAGCATATCCATACTGTATACAGACCACAGTATAAAGGTGATGTGTTGTACCTCTCGGCTTCGTGTTGGGTCCTCTCAGCTTGTGAGCGGGCGCTCCTCAGGTCCTCCCGGGCCCTCTCCAGGGTGTCCCTCAGACGCTGGTTGGCCTCCAGAAGCTCAGCCTCGGAGTGGGACAACGTCCCCAGCTGCACCCCCAGCTCGTGGTTCTGCTGTGAGAGGGAGGGACAGGTACGTGGTCAACTCAATGTTGTTTGGACATTAACATCAGCCAATCAATGTTGAAAGGGCAATAAAAATGGAATGTCAGTCAGGCGCTGAGCCTCAGGCAGTTTAGTACCTGTCTCAGGTCAGCATTCTCTGTCTTCTGTCTCTCCAGTTCCTCCAGCTGAGAGCCCTGCTGCTGCAGTTTAGTCCTGACACATGCAAAACACAAAGGCTCATTAACACACAAAGGGTCATGCATACTGTATATTAGTAATGCATACTATACACAGGTACAGTAACACACCTCTTACTAACCTGAGGTTCTGCAATTCCTTACGGGCAGACTCCTCCCCCAGCTGGGCGCCACGGAGACGCTCCTCCCACTCCTCTTTCTGGGCGTTGGCAGCAGCATCCTGCAGCGCCCTCTGCTGCTCCAGCTCAGCCAGACGATCCTCCAGCACCAACCTGAGGACACACACACACACATATTATATAGACACACACCAGTGGACTGCTGAGGGGAGGACGGCTCATAGAAATGTCTGGAACGTCACAATTGGAATGGCATCAAACATGGAAACCATGTGTCTTATACCATTCCACTCCAGCCATTACCACGAGCCCGCCCTCCCCAATTAAGGTGCCACCAACCTCCTGTGGACACACACACGATCGATGTACACAACTTCAACAAAGTAGTCTGAGACAGTGTGTATGTCGAGAGAGAGAGATCCTCACTTCTCCTCATGCACGGTAGCGGTTTTGTGGAACTCCTCCTCGCGAGCGGCCTGCACCCTCCGGACGAGATCCCTCTCCCTCTCAGCCAGCACCTCCTTCTGTCTCTCCACCGTCCCCTTCAACACCTCCACATCAGACTGCATACCTGACAGAGAGAGAGAGAAGAAAGGAAGGGGGAGAGAGAGAAAGTTGAAGGAGATGAAGGAAGAAAGCGAGGGAGGGAGAAAGGAAGGAAAGAGTTAAGTTTGCAGACTAAAATGAGTGTGATGTACAGTACATGTATACTCAAAACACACGAGGAGCTTTTTTGCAGAGTTACCTTCCATTTGTCCCTGTAGTGTGTCTCTCTCCCTCTCCACCTCCCCTCTAGACCTGGCACACTCCAGCTTCACATTGGCCACCTCCAGCTTGTGGGAGTGCCTCATGCCCTCCATCTGAGAGAAACAGATGAGAGACTAGAATGAGCACACAGCAACCTAATGATGTAAGGGGTTATGGTGTGGACTGTAAGTTGCTCTGGTTAAGAGCATCTACTAAATGACCAACAACAAAAAGAAGACCAAAAATATCTATTTTTACGAGAGGCAAGGCATGAGTAACACAGCTGATGACCTCTGTGGTTAGAGGTTAAGTATTAGGGGTCAGAGGTCATATGGGTACTGACCTGGCTGGTGAGAGTGTTGACCTCTCTCTCAGCCTTGTGCAGTCTGCCGGTCAGCTGGGTGTTCTGTTCATGACTCAGCTGCAACTCACTCCCCAGACGCTCCAACTGCAGGCGCAGTGACTGCCTCTCTGCCTGAAACACAATCAATGTATTAATTATTCCACAAATCAATCAAGCACACACAGTAAAGACATTCTACCTAAGTTAGGACTTACTCCATCAACAGATTTATTTCATCATGAAGCTTAAGTTTCAAAGTGACAGTAACAGTTAAAGATTGACTGACATACCGAGACCACAAGTTTCTTACCTCCAGAGACTTGGCTGCAGCCTGGGATTCTGCGAACTGGCGGACCTGGATGCGCTGCACGTTCTCAGCTTGCTGGCCAGAGTTGTCCCTCTGTGCCCGAAGCTCAGCCACCTCAGCCTCCAGGCCCTTCAGACGCAGGTGGAGCTGGGCCTTCTCTCTCAGCAGAGACTCCACGCGTTTACCATCTCTAGACGGGTCTGTGCCCTGATACTGGGCCATCAGCTCCTCTCTGTCCCTTTCCAGCCGTGATACCTGAACACACAACATATCAGAAGAGCAACGTCTGGGCCTCCAGAGTGGCGCAGCGGTCTAAGGCACTGCTTTGCAGTGCTGAGGCGTCACTACAGCCTGGGGTTCGATAGGGCGGTGCACAATTGGCCCAGCGTCATCCGGGTTAGGGGAGGGTTTGGCCCGGGGGCTTTCCTTGAATGCATAGTGCCAACTGTAAAGTTTGGTGGAGGAGGAATAATGGTCTGGGGCTGTTTTTCATGGTTCGGGCTAAGCCCTTTAGTTCCAGTGAAGGGAAATCTTAGCTCTTCAGCGTACAATGACATTCTAGACCAGGGGTGTCAAACTCATTTTAGCTCAGGGGCCACATGGAGGAAAATCTATTCCCAAGTGGGCCGGACCGGAAAAATCATGGTATATATAACTTAAAAACAACAACTTCAGATTGTTTTCTTTGTTTTAATACGATCAACATACAACATAAAGCTGGAGCCTGAGGACAGTGTGTCCAAATAGTACAAGCACAACATCACTATTAATCATAAAACACCTCAAGTTATTTGAAAGTTCTGAGGACAAAGAACACACAAACACACAATGCCTCAGTGATTAACAGAACTGTTTCACAGATCACAGAACTATATCAGGGTGTCATTTCTCAGGCAGAAATGTAGATAAAAATAATGAAATCCTGTTCCCCAAACAAGTGCAAGAACCACAGAGTCAAGAATAGGTTAAATATACAAATAAAATCAATTAAAAACAATAGCACATCAACATAAAAACATATAAACATAAATCTGAAAGCGTTGCTCAAACTCCCGTAACAGTCCCGTTATTTTATCTTTGAACCGCTTCATGTCTGCCACATGTTGGGTCGCGCACACATTTTTCAGACAGGGGAAGTGAGCTGCATCACCACCGGCAAGTTGCGTCTCCCACAATGACAGCTTCAACTTGAAAGAACGTATGCTGTCATAATACTGCGTGACAACTTTGTTGCGCCCTTGCAGCTGTTTGTTCAAGTTATTCAGGTGCTCTGTAACATCCACCATAAATGCAAGGTCCTGCATCCATTCTGCGGAATGAAATTCTAACACTGGTTTGCCCTTTTCTTCCATGAACTGTTCAATTTCTTCTCGTAAATCAAAGAAACGCCTCAGCACAGCACCTCGGCGTAACCATCTTACCTCAGTGTGGTATGGCAGGCCATAGATGTGGTCTTTCTCTCTGAGAAGGCTGTCAAACTGACGGTGATTCAGGCTTCTGGATCGGATGAAATTAACAGTTTGAATGACCACCTTCATGACGTTATCCATCTTTAATGACTTGCAACACAAAGCCTCCTGGTGCAAAATACAGTGAAAAGTCAAAAGATCACGTCCTCCATTTGCAGATTGCACTTTCTCTCTGAACTTTGTCACAACGCCTGCTTTTTTCCCGATCATTGAGGGCGCACCATCTGTAGCCAGGCTGACAGCGCGGGACCAGTCCACTCCGACCCTGTCCAGCGCGCCGACGAGTGCGGTAAAAATATCAGCTGCTGTCGTTGTATCTGTCATCGGCACCAACTCCACGAACTCCTCGGTGACGGTCAATGTGTCATCAACTCCGGGGATGAAAATGGCCAGTTGTGCAACATCTGTAATGTCCGTGCTTTCATCAATTGCAACCGAAAACGCAATAAATGACTTTACTTTTTGCTTCAACTGGCTGTCCAAATCCAGTGAAAGATCGGAAATCCTGTCTGCAACTGTGTTTCTTGTCAGGCTGATATTTGCAAAAGCCTGCCGCTTTTCAGGGGACACAATCTCCGCTGCCTTCATCATGCATGTTTTTACAAATTCACCCTCACTAAATGGTTTTGAAGCCACTGCGATTTCATTAGCAATGAGGTAGCTAGCTTTCACTGCAGCGTCACTGATGTCTCGGCTGTGAGTAAACACAGACTGCTGTTTCTTCAGACCCGCCAACAGTTCATTCACCTTCTCTCATCTCCGCTGTCCTTGAAAGTTGTCATATTTGTCGGCATGAAGACTCACATAGTGGCGACGAAGGTTATATTCTTTCAGCACTGTAACATGCTCTGAACACACCAAACATACAGCTTTCCCATTCAATTCCGTGAATAAATAGGATGACAATTTTTCTTGGAACACTCTGCACTCTGCGTCCACTTTTCTCTTTTTTGACAGAGACATATTGGGGCAATGAGGGTGCCAAAGCACATAATGTTAAAAGTAGAAGCCGTAATAAATATTGCGGGCAAAACAAAGTAGCTCATTGGCTGCACGTGCTTGACCTACTTGCTCTGCCCCGGTATAAACAGTTTGCTTGCTTAACACAATTGCGCCATCCAGTGGACGCAATTGGAACAGCAGTTTATTTTATTGAAAAATTGCAGCGCATTTTTTCCGCGGGCCGGACGTTTGACACCCCTGTTCTAGACGATTCTGTGCTTCCAACTTTGTGGCATTAGTTTGGGGAAGGCGCTTTCCTGTTTCAGCATGACAATGCCCCCGTGCACAAAGTGAGGGCCATACAGAAATGATTTGTCGAGATCGGTGGGGAAAAACTTGACTGGCCTGCACAGAGCCCTGACCTCAACCCCATCGAACATCTTTGGGATTAATTGGAACGCAGACTGCGAGCCAGGCCTTATCGCCGCAACATCAGTGCCCGACCTCACTAATGCTCGTGGCTGAATCGAAGCAAGTCCCCGCAGCAATGTTCCAGCATTTAGTGGTAAGCCTTCCCAGAAGAGTGGAGGCTGTTATAGCAGCAAAGGGGGGACCAACTCCATATTAATGCCCATGATTTTGGAATGAGATGTTCGATGAGCAGGTGTCCACATACTTTTGGTAATGTAGTGTATATCGAAAGACAAACATATCAGATCTCACTTTTTTTTTTTTTTTTTACATTCTCTCTCACACGCACGGACACACACCTCAGCATCAAAGCGGATCTTCTTCTCCTCCAGTATGCGAGCGCTCTCCTCTCTCTGGTGGTCAAACTCAGACTTCAGGAAGGTGTAGTCGTACCGCAGCTTGTTATACTCAGACCTGTACTTCTCAGTCTCCTGCAGGGAACACAGAGAGAAGAGGGCTGGTTATAATCAAGGAGGAGAAACAGAGAAAGTTTAATTTGATGTACTGTTTTTTCATTGTCAATAATCTGACAGTGTTAAGTGTGATGGCCCACTCTTCTCTGCCCTCAAAAACATTCAACGCTTAGTTCTCAGTTGCTATGGAGATGGCACTTACAGCTGTGACAGTTCGAGAGCACGGTGGAGCTAAAGTGTCAGAAACAGTAAAAAGCTATCAATAGCAGCTGAAGCTGGATAAAAGCAGTACAAAGTATAAAAAAACAGAAGCAGAGGCAGTCAAAGGTGGTTAAAAGCAGCCAGGAGCAGTAGAGAACAGTAAATAGCATTAGAGAACAGACAGAAGCGTTCTGGGGGGCGAGGCTCACCTCCTCTAGTTTGTTGAAGCGCTCTCTGACAGGCCCCTCCAGCTCCTGCTGCACCTGGGCCCTCAACAGCTCCAACCGCTGGGGGGTCAGCACCTTACAAAACAAACCGACTGCTGTAAACACTGCCATACACAAAGGGACACTAGCGTAGTCATAGGTCAGTAGGTGTGTTTTCTATGGACTAGCTCCAGTACCTGTAGTCGTAGCTCCTCCAGCTCCCTGGTCTTGTCCAGCATCTCTCCTCTGAGTTCAGCCAGCAGCAGCTGCAGTTTCTCCTGGACAGTCTGCTTGTCACTGAGGAGACGCTTCAGGTCCACCTGCCCCCGGGTAAACTCATCCTGCAGCCTGGGACAGACAACATAGTGGAGGAGAGGTATACAAATGTGCACACATCACACACACACACATACTTCTCCCGGGCTGTTACCTGGTATGTTCAGCCTTGAGTGTCTGGTAGTTAGTCTTATGGTTCTCACATCTCATCCGCTCGTCGATCAGCATCTTCTGCAGCTCCATGTCGGACCCCCCCAGCTTCACCGTCCCCCCGGGGTCCAGGCTTGGGAGCAGGGGGGCAGACTGGGCTAGGGCAGAGGGATTCATCTCACCCCTAGTGGATAGATAGATAGATGAGGTTAGGGAAAGTTAGAGAGCTGCAGGTTGTTCCACTCCATCTATGTCTAAATAAATCATCCCATTAGTATGAAAGATTGACATCATAGCACGATCCACTTCCTCATCTACACAAGCTTTGGCTCAAAAAAATAAATCATAAAACAGAACCAACTTCATTAGGGAAGAGACTGTCAGTGCTCTCCTCTGCTTGCAGGTCAGACATATGTTGTAAGGATGGTGTGGTGGGTGGCTTGGGACAAATTGCAGTTGTTACCATGGTAACCCTAAATTCCCCTGGTCTTTGTGCAAATGACAACCTCTTAGGTAACTAGACTGCCTCGGTCTCAAGTGATTTCTCCACCTTTTGTTGTGGATACGCGGGGCCAAGGCCAGAGAGGGATGATTATGCTTGATTGCAAACACTGCCCTCGACATCTTGGCCTCATCATCTCAAGCACCCCACCCACCCTGGAAATGTAGCTAATCAAAGAACAAAGACAGAATGTCAGACTCAGAATACAGGCTAGGCAATCCAGCAAAGTAAAAAAAACTGTCCCAACATTGTACCCTAAACAAACAGTTCCGCTGACTGTCTTACATTTACATTTACATTTTAGTCATTTAGCAGACGCTCTTATCCAGAGCGACTTACAGTTAGTGAACACATATATATATATATATTTTTTATACTGGCCCCCCGTGGGAATCGAACCCACAACCCTGGCGTTGCAAACGCCATGCTCTATCAACTGAGCTACATCCCTGCCGGCCATTCCCTCCCCTACCCTGGACGACGCTGGGCCAATTGTGCGCCACCCATGAGTCTCCCGGTCGCGGCCGGCTGCGACAGAGCCTGGATTCGAACCAGGATCTCTAGTGGCACAGTTAGCACTGCGATGCAGTGCCTTAGACCACTGCGCCACTCAGGAGTGTCTTGCCGGGACCATTCTTGCAATGACAGTGGTGAGTAACTTTAGCTAACTAGTTGATAGCATAACAACTGTTTGGCTGATTACTGTCGCACAAAAACAAAACGCAAGGACACAGATCGCCAAGCTGTCATCATTAGCTAGCCAGTCATCTAGATAAATAGCTATTGCCACTCTTTTCGAAAGTGGCGCTTTAACTCCCGCGGTTCTAGCCAACTAGAAACGAGTTAACGTTACGTACGCTAGCGTGCTAGCAACTGGTCACTGAACAATGTCAAATCAGTTATCAAGCTAACTTAAAAGTAACTGGCTAGCTCTTGGGCACAATTTTGTGTTTCTTCCTTGAAGCTACCACTGTAGCGAAAATGAAAAATAATATGCATTGTTTTGATCGTTGCTTACCTCTTGTCTTGAACTAGACTCCTTGACAAATCTAGCTTTCTTATACTGCAGAGAACTACAGATTCGCATGGGATCATGGGAGATTTATCTTAACTCGGCTTACATTTTTGCCCCCATGTGGTTAAATGGCCACATTACATAGGCTCTTGGAAAAGGCCTAGTGAGTCCTGAACTCTTGCCACAATTAATTTGTTATTCAGTTTGATAAATTTTCACAAATTGAATGAAAGAGGTTCTGCAGTGTGTATTGTGTAATTGACCAGTTGTTGATGTTAAATGACTGATGCCACAGATGACCTGATTTCAGACAAGAATCACACATACACTAATATTCAATGCTCATGAGCAGATTGTCTTGACCAGTTTTATTTCTTCTTGTTTTTAACCACATTTGGACTGTTAACAGAAGTCCACACTGTTCTCAGTTCTCATTTGACACACTGTACAACATACACCTACCAAGAGTACAGGGATAACAGTTAGTCATGCTGCCGGAATTATTTCTAAATAAACCCCTGTAACAAAACAGGAACGTTAAAACAATTCTCTCCTGCACTGAGCTCATATTAACAAAAATGAGATCTACGCTACATACTCACTGAGTAACATATGATAAAAAATGTTAACGATTCAACAAGAAAAAATATTTGAATCATATGTATCTTGCTTTCGCCATACTAAGTAGCTTTGGAATCAGATTGAATTCATGTCTGGATCAAAACTACTATTCAATTCGTAAACATGAGTGGCCCAAAGAAATCTAGTGATTTCCACATTGCATAGTGAGCTACAGTGCTATAAGAGAGGAAAGGTAGTGTCAACCACTATTTATGTAGTAATGGAAGTATGGATAGCTTAAGATACACATGGCTTACTTCCTATGGCTACAAAATAGAAATAAAGACAATTGAATAAAGGATAATAACAGTATCCATAAAATGAACAACATAAATTGATGAACTCAAACACTCACATTCCATACCCACAAGGCATGTAAGAAGTGCTGTGCTGGAATCATGTTATAATTACAAAAATAACACTTCTTCAGCATGTTGAGGCTGAAATACAACCATTGACTTGGCCCAAATGATAAATACACAAAACATCCCACTACTATTCAATTCAAGTTTGCTATACAGTGGGGAGAACAAGTATTTGATACACTGCTGATTTTGCAGGTTTCCCTACTTACAAAGCATGTAGAGGTCTGTCATTTTTATCATAGGTACACTTCAACTGTGAGAGACGGAATCTAAAACAAAAATCCAGAAAATCACATTGTATGATTTTTAAGTAATTAATTTGCATTTTATTGCATGACATAAGTATTTGATCACCTACCAACCATTAAGAATTCCGTCTCTCACAGACCTGTTAGTTTTTCTTTAAGGAGCCCTCCTGTTCTCCACTCATTACCTGTATTAACTGCACCTGTTTGAACTCATTACCTGTATAAAAGACACCTGTCCACACACTCAATCAAATAGACTCCAACCTCTCCACAATGGCCAAGACCAGAGAGCTGTGTAAGGACATCAGGGATAAAATTGTAGACTGGGATGGGCTACAGGACAATAGGCAAGCAGCTTGGTGAGAAGGCAACAACTGTTGGCACAATTATTAGAAAATGGAAGAAGTTCAAGATGACGGTCAATCACCCTCGGCCTGGGGCTCCATGCAAGATCTCACCTCGTGGGGCATCAATGATCATGAGGAAGGTGAGGGATCAGCCCAGAACTACACGGCAGGACCTGGTCAATGACCTGAAGAGAGCTGGGACCAGTCTCAAAGAAAACCATTAGTAACACACTACGCCGTCATGGATTAAAATCCTGCAGCGCACCCAAGGTCCCCCTGCTCAAGGCCCGTCTGAAGTTTGCCAATGACCATCTGGATGATCCAGAGGAGGAATGGGAGAAGGTCATGTGGTCTGATGAGACAAAAAATAGCTTTTTGGTCTAAACTCCACTCGTCATGTTTGGAGGAAGAAGAAGGACGAGTACAACCCCAAGAACACCATCCCAACCGTGAAGCATGGAGGTAGAAACATCATTCTTTGGGGATGCTTTTCTGCAAAGGGGACAGGACGACTGCACCGTATTGAGGGGAGGATGGATGGGGCCATGTATCCTGAGATCTTGGCCAACAACCTCCTTCCCTCAGTAAGAGCATTGAAGATGGGTCGTGGCTGGGTCTTCCAGCATGACAACGACCCGAAACACACAGCAAGGGCAACTAAGGAGTGGCTCCGTAAGAAGCATCTCAAGGTCCTGGAGTGGCCTAGCCAGTCTCCAGACCTGAACCCAATAGAAAATCTTTGGAGGGAGCTGAAAGTCCGTATTGCCCAGCGACAGCCCCGAAACCTGAAGGATCTGGAGAAGTTCTGTATGGAGGAGTGGGCCAAAATCCCTGCTGCAGTGTGTGCAAACCTGGCCAAGACCTACAGGAAACGTATGATCTCTGTAATTGCAAACAAAGGTTTCTGTACCAAATATAAAAAGTTCTGCTTTTCTGATGTATCATTATTGGCAAGCAGTCACTGGCCGGTCAATCATCATCCCCATTCAAAACCCCTTCATACACTAAGGCACATTCATTCCTTGGGGAAATTCGCTGGTCTTAACATCAGTTATTATCTATTTAACTTTTAAAAATAATAATGGAAGTACATTAAAAAAACAATTTTTTTTACACTATAATGTAATACAGTGTGGTCAAAGGACAGGTGGAAATTAACACACACAACAGTTATGTACAACAATGACAAAAAAACATATAAAAAATAACTTACAAATCTATAAGTTCTGTACAGCATTTTTGTGAGGGACATGGCTGGGTTGGAAAGTAGTCATGCCCTCTGACTTGTTACATCATTTTTCCTGGGTATCGGTTAGCGTCTGGCAGTCGATCTTCAACTTGAGCTGCAAGACACGAGGAGGAAAACCGACAATAAGTCCTCTAACATCAAACTCCAAAAAGAGCAAGCCTGACAATGGCAAGGGACAACTCATCTCATATAAACCTTTTCCTAAGGTTTAGTCAGTGAGAGCAGAGCTTGTTCACCTGTCTGCTGCCTCCTGTTCTGCCTCTGTGGGGCTGCCATCTGGTTGTGATGACGAGGCTTTGAGTTTACTGGCATCTGAAAGGAGACAGAGCCCATGGTTAGAGACCACTCAGTGGTGACAGTCAGTATGCCACTAGAGTACTGATTCAGGGTCAGGATAAACACACCCCCACCCGTCTCGCCGCGTACCCTGTAGCCAGCGGATCTGCGTGGCGGGCCCGTAGCCCTGTTCGTTCTTTGCGGCGATGCGGAAGACGACAGCTGGCCGGTTGGGGGCGGAGCTGTCGATGTAGGCGTTGGCCAGGTGGGCGGGGCTGACGGTGCAAGAGGTCTTGGTGCCGCGGTAGATCCTGATGAAGGCCAGCTGGCCAGGACGCTCAGAGCTGCTGCTGCTGGACCGGCTCTTCCTCACCGCCAGGTACATGGAGTACTCCAGGATCTTACCTGACGGAGAGGTGGGGGAGTCCCACGTGATGTGGACCGAGTCATTAGCCTGGGGGGAGGAGAGGAGTTGATGTATAAAGGATGGAGAGGAAAAGCAGGTTATTTAGGTGAAACTGATTCACATATATATGATCAAACGAGATATCAAAGATATTGTGAAACTAGAAAACTAGTGAAATTGGACAGGCAGCAAAAAAAAATCACAACAATCTCCCACATGAGCTCTCTAAAGCCTCTGTCTGTTAATGTGCTTGGCCTCATTTACACCCCTCAACAGTAACCTTCTCTCTGTGTAAAGTAGGCTGTAGGAGTGTACTGTACCTTGGTGATCTTGACAGCAGAGGGCGCTCCGGGGAAGCCGGGCTGGCAGGTTTTGAACTCGCTGGCAGGGCTGAAGTCTCCCTGACCACAGCTGTTGATGCCTGCTACTCTGAACCTGTAGGCTACACCTGGACACAACTCCTGCTTCTCCCTCCACTCATAGTCCTGAGGCCCCTGCAACTTCATCTGTGGGAGTGGTGTGTGTGTGTCAAATCAGGAAATCAATAAACAGAGATTAGAGACAAATTTACAAAAATGAGTGCTAGCTGAAGATGGTTTCTACATGTTATCTGCACACATTCTGGGCATGTTTTTTCATTATATACTGTCATTTAAGATTCAAACCAAGATGTGGTTTACCTCTTTAGTATTAGTGGGTCTGCTGTAGATGGTGGGATTAAAGACATTCTCAGGTGGCAGGTAGTAGTGGGTAACCTCAGAGAACAGGGTTTTGAACACTCCAGCATCAAACCACTCAGACTCATCTGATTTCTCACCAGATACCTACCGGGCACAGACAGGGGTTACTTCCATCAGTCTCTATGGTAGGAAAATGAATAACTTCTTTACTATTCTTATTCTACCTTGCACGTGACAGTGTTGGGATCTGAGGAAGTGGTGTCAGGTTCTTGTCCTGTGAATGAGTAAGGACTGTCATTGGTTTATACCGATGAGATTCAAACCACACTCATTATCAGTGCCCCATACTGATAGAGTAAAAAGCTAGCTTGGGGTCCATGCTGTTACCTGGCTGGTGTTCACTGCTCGCCACTGTGTCCGAGGGCTGGGAGGTTTTTGTGGGGTCACCCTCCTGTCCCAAGGGCTCAGAGTGTGTTTCTCTACTAGCATCACTCTCCCCCTCTGGATGGGGGCCCCTAACAGCCTCTGACACTTCCATGGGAGTCTCCGCCTGCCCTGCCGCCACCTCCTGGCGTGGGGGGGGGGAGACAGCAGTATCCGGTGTCAGTCAACGTAGCATTAACAATCAGGATGTAAGATTTAGCTTAGCTGTTACGGTCTCAATGGCAGTACTAACACCATCTGAATATAGCACTTTCCCAGCACTGTAGCTAAGACAACTGGATATGGATATAAGGGTCACCATCTGACCTGTTGGGACGTCTTCTGGGCTTCCTGTGAGGTGGGGTCATCTGGGACCTGAGCTGACTGGACATCTGGAGGACAAAGAGCACATCAAGCATAGCTTTACATATATACCCTTCTTAGATCATAGATCTCATAGCCTGCGTCAACCTTCAACCCCGGCCCCAGTACAGACGTCAACATGGCCTTGAGTGGACCAGATGGCCCGGGACAAAGGCTTCTGCTTCTAAACCACTTTCAAAGCCAATAGCTTGGTATCAGACAGAACACCTCTCAAGGCCATGTGAAATTCACTGGCTGTGGTCATTTCTATTCAAATGAGTGGTTTCTGATTGGTTGTGCGTGAGCAGCAGGTAGACTTCTCCTCTCACCTGATTGTTCCTGGGGGTTCCTCTCCTGGGCACCTGTGCTGGGTGGGGCTGTGGGGTTGTCTAGGGTGTTAGAGGGAGAGACGGGCTGCAGCTGGAGGAGGTAGCACTCTGCTGCCGGTAGGGGGCGCCAGGCCACATGGAGCATGTTGACAGTGGACTTGACCAGTAGAACTGCTGCTGGGGTGGAGGGCCGCTCTGAAAACCACACAAGTCACAGTTAGGTTGTAGCAGCAAAATGGCCTAGCAGGTAGCAATATCCATTTAACTTCAGGGTTGCTATTGTGAAAAAATGAGAAATACACTCTCTCCATATTAAAATATGCTTTGAAGATGGTATGACTCTGCAGCACATATTGAGCTACAGTAATAAGACATATGCTGATATTAATAGTATCCTTGTCTCTCTTCTCACCTGTCTCCAGGTACCACAGGTCCTTGCAGCACACTTGGTAGTTCCAGCTCTTCCGGTAGCCGTCACGGCCGCTCCAGATGTAGAGGCGGGAGCCGATGGAGGCAGCACAGTGGCCTGCCCTGGCTCTGGGGCCCCCGCTGCTGGGCTGAGGCTCTTCCTGGTCCCCCTGGCCCTGCTGGTCCTCCTGGCTCACTGTCTGCCCCTGTTGCTGATCTGGGCCTAGGCTCTGCCACGTCATGGTGTCTGATATCAACAGGAAAAGGGTTCAACTGTTTAAGCACTTTGTGACATCTGCTGATGTAAAAAGGGCTTTATAAATTAATTTGATTGATTTAACCTTACTGGGTTCAATTCAATATGATGAACCTCATAATATGAATTGAATTAAATTATGTGACCAGTCAGATACCCTAAGTGATAAGCTTGTAATAATGAGTATGATACTGACCTAAGTTGAGCACGGATAAGGAGTTGGTACAGATCCATTCAGCTCCCAGGGCATTAGGTTTGTCTGTCTCTGGAACGGGGACCCATCCCCCGAAAACATACATCCTTCCCACACAGGGGCAAAGCAAAAAAACGAACCCATATTAGGCAAACATCCATGATACCACACAAACATATACAGTACACACAAAATAAGTATTTCCATTACTTGTTTCCTATAACGTTGGCAGAGTGAAGGCTTCTGGGTAGAGGAGGGGGTCCTTTAGTGTCAGGAGTAGACCATGTCATAGATTCTAAAAGGCAGACAGAAGAGAGTGGATTCAGACAGCCAGTTAGATTACCTCACTTCAATCAGTTCATCGCCACAACCACGAATGCAAGGTTGCGGTTTATGGAAACTGAAGGTTGGTTACAGCAACCTGAATTCACACCAAGGAGGTTAGTTAATTCAAAGAAGCATGGTTGTAGACTGAGGTGAGGTTACCGAGGTCAAGCTGCCAGAGGTCGTCAAGGCGACTGCCTCTCATCCCTCCGAAGATGTAGAGTTTGGGGGAGCCTGTCCCAGTGTATGCCACCGAGGTGTGGGACTCTCGAGCCCACGGACCCACACCCTTAGTATCCGGAATGTTCCAACCCTTCACCCCTGACACTGACTGCAGCTCCAGCTCATAAAAGTCATCCAGGTACCTGCAGAGGTGAAACAGAGACAGCCAGTGGGATGAGAACTAGCCTGGTCCAAGAACTGTTTATGCTGTCTTGCCAACTCCTATGGTCATTGGTGACCAAACAGATCTGGGTCCAGGCTAGATGAGAACAACATTAGTGACAGAGCAAGCATTAAGGTTTCTTATGATTATCACAACCCTCAATACCCTGATTAGAGAAGCGGCGTTGGAGACTGGAGCTAGGTACATAGCTCCATACCTTGGGACATTGCCATTGGGGTCCTCACTGTCATTGGCCAGCCCCCCGAACAGGTAGCACTTGTTCCCAATGAGGGTGAAACTGTGTCCGAGGCGGGGACAGGGGGGCGGCATGCCGTTCTTGGGCGGCCTGGGTTTCAGCTTCTTCCACAGCCAGCGGCTCGCCTGATAGACAAGGGGTCAGAGGTCAAATATAGCATCTTATCCATCAGAGTGACTAAATACAAGCTACTGTACAAACTAAGGGGGAAAGACGCTGTACTTGTGAAGACCTTTCATCAGAGCTACAGGTCTGTGATTGACGATGCTGCTGCACACTTCACCTTATGCATGACAGGAGGATCCCGATTACTGAAGACACTAGTGAGTGTGAGAGCCTCACCTGTAGCTCGTACAGGCTGTTGTTGTATTTGCCAAACTCCACCATGCCTCCAAAGACCAGGATGCGGGTTCCCTCACAGGCAAAACCATGGGCAGCACAGCCTGGAGGGATGTCTCCTCTCACCGCTGGGAGAAACCACTGCTTAGAGACTAGACAAAGGGCCAGAGATCTGATCACCTGAGAAGAACTCATGTTTACTCAATCATAACGCACTGTGTGACTGTAATTATGCAATATCATTTATAAAAGCTAAGTCTTGACACAAAAAAAGTTAGATAGCTAGCTACATGGCCTCCAGATTCTCAAGTGATCATCTGTTCCACACCACATCAATTGTATGCTAGCTAACTATTCTACACAGAAACAGTACACCTGAAAACAACCATAGTAGATAGAAAGTTGGTTAGCTTAGCTAGCTAACGTTAGCCAAGTAAGCAAGCTGCCTGCTGAGCTTCAGGGAATGTTTGTGAAACTTTCAAGGCATTAAAATATAAGTCGCACCAGATGGCTAGGCAAACCAAATAGCTAGCTAGCTCACTGCTCAAACGCGAAATGTGTAGCATCCATTAGCTAGCCAAACTAGCTAACTAACGTTAGCCTACCGGTGTTGTAAACATGGAGCTCCTCCGCTATCCCCTCGTTTCCACCTCCAAACACGATAATAAGTTCCCGAATAGCCGCTGCTCGGTGTCCGTGCCTTGACCGGGGAATAGGTCCAGTGAATGAATTGACTTTTTTCCATAACGGGTCCATTGTTCCGTTAGGAACGCTACACACCGGGGTTCGGTCCATGAACGGTGACAGCAGTTTGGCGCTGTTTGTTGTTTACCAGAGGGAAATAGGCGGAGCGAGGTGACAAACTCTCGCGTTGTTCCCTTCACCAGAAGTACAATACTAGACAGAGGAAGTTGCTAGTTTTTTGTTTGGAAATTAATGGAAAAGTGTCAAATTTGGACTTCAGAAACAATATTTCCAATAATAGGTGTTGATCCAATTTATGGATTTGGATTGCCGAAGTGATTTCTAAGATACTGGTATAAAAATTCAGTTTGGACATCCTACCAGTTTTTGTGTAGGCTTGCCTATATGCCAGAGAGAGCCAGTCAAGAAACTGAGTTGAGCCAGAGATTAACGTTGGATTTTTAATCCTTGTCCTCTATTTATATCCTTTACCTGCATTATTTACTGGTAATACAACATTCAACAAATATCCCGAAACACTCTTTCTCCAGCCTCACATGGTGCAAGTGGAGAAGATCCACAGCTCTTGAGTTTCAAGTTTGGGGAAGTTTAGGGTAATTATTTTCCCAACACTTTCCCTGGCTGCCACTGCTCTTGCTCAACAAAAAATATCCTCTGTGTCATCACAACTTTTGGAGATATTTCAACAAAACAATTTTGTGGTAAATTGATCTAATTTTTTGACATTTTGAAAAAGTTATATATATATATATATTAATATACAAGTAGGAAAGCGTTAAAATAAATAATCCAGTTGTTTATGGATGAGTGTGTTGGGGGTAATTCAAGCGAACCATTGTCAACAGGAGGCATTTATGTAGTCCATGTATCTGACGCTGTCTGGACAGAAATAATGACATGTCATTAAAAAAATAATCCAAACAGCATCAGAGGGGCGCTGTTTCACATGCTCGGATGCTTTATCTGAGATTGATGCATCTTTCTGTCGGGGCACGTCTCAGTCAAATAAATGATTAATATTTCAATATTTTATTTGGACAAGGTAAGCTACTGACCTATGTGACTGCAGATGTTTTGTGAGCCACAGTTTCCTGTCAGTAAGAGGAAACACCATGCAGGAAACTGGAAAGATGGATCCACTCCCCAACACACGCACACAAGCATACTCCTTGCACATTCTCATTGATACACAACAACACTTATGCACACAAACATAATCACATCACTTTATTCCACTAAAGCCAGGATTCAATCCGATCCGTGTAAGATCCACGTTATAGTGCGCTTGACGTTTAATGGTAATTTCCGATTGAGCCGACATCAGCAGCGTTTACCATGAATTTATGGGAAAATGCCTTTAAAACCGATGTGAATGGAATCTTGGACTAAAACATGTTGAAGGATTAAAGAGCCCCTCTACTCCCGTTTTGACCTCAAGTGAAACCTGTGAGAATGAAAGTGTGGGCACGCGTGTGTCTGTGTGTAGTGCGGCTGATGGAGAATTTTAAGAATAGCCTACGTTTTTAAATTGCATGCAACAACTAGCCCAATGCCCTTCCATTATTTGATGTCAAGGAGATGTCACACCCCCACCCCACCCAGAGAGAGAGAGAAAGAAGTCAGTGTGTGTGTGGAGGAAGGAACACGAACGCCGCCAGGTGTGTGTGTGGAGTCAGTGTGTGTGTGTGGAGAAAGGAACACGAACGCCTCCAGGTGTGTGTGTGGAGGAAGGAACACGAACGCCTCCAGGTGCTGGCCAAGAAGAAGTTGACATCAGTTGGGCCCGCAAGTAGTCAGAATTACAATATTACTGTGCGTGCGCAGAGAGGAGGAAAAGCGTGTTTACACAGACGGCCGAGAGCCTGGGGAATAATGCGCGAGAGGAAGTGAGCCGGCTCTCTGTCTGCGCGCTCGGACTTCCTGCTCTGAAGAAGGAGAAAAAAAACTCCGGATCCCCTTACAGTCTCGAGCCCCGCAGCCCAGACTGCATCAGCATGGAAAACCAGCGCATTATACGGAATTCTCTTTAAAAACATATACGGAAGGAAAGCAGACGTCTAACACCAGGGTATGTGGAGGAATGCTTCTCTATGATATTCCTATTCACTTTATTAACACAGGATATTCACTGAGTTTGAGTGATGGTGGCTTAGAAGTAAACTGTACCAGAAAATATAGTTTGGAAATATGATATAACTCCGGTCATCACAATGAACTTGAAATTTAGGGGACGACAGTCGACAGATGCTGGTAGTATATCCCCGATTTGTTATGCTATCTTGGCACACATGTATACATTTGAGTAAAAGGTATGTGTTTCACTATAAAAAAAACGTTACATTTATTTTCGTTTTGATGTTTGCTAACATTTGGCTACTCTGTTATTCACACATTGGAACTCAAATCGCTCCGGTTTGTCACGGTTCTCTAGTATGCTTTTCACGCGCAATTTCTTGTTGGTTGTGATGCATTTTGCAACTCAAAGTAGCGATTGGTGTGAAAATGCGCTCATGGCCCTTTAAAAACTCTAGTAGACTTTCTGGTTTGTCTGGACTCTGCAGACTAATTGCCGTGCGCTTCCGGATTGAAACTGGCAGCATACAACATCTTGAAAATGAGTCATGGGGCAAACAAAGAGCCGTTTGAGTGTTCCAGGCTCTCCAACACGGATGGCTCTGCCCAGACCCGAGTCCGGCGGTCCACCAGTGATAACCCATACTTTTTTAGACTTTAGCGCGTCTATATACGACGTTTGGTACAATACAGACACAGAGGCATTATATAGCCTATGACGTCTCATGACATCCCTGTTGGTAGCGCAGTGGCTAGTTGATTTTTCCATTGGCAGTGCGCAGGAAGAGTGCGCATTTAGTCATGCGCCCCCCCACCCCCACCCCCCCACAGAGAGAGAGAGAGAGCTCATAACGGGTACACTGTATAATTTATGGCTCTGTGTCATAACACTGTTATAAGATACTAGAAACTCCCCATCAACAAAATAAATTATCCCTACCAGAAGCTAAATGTAGTGTGTGTGTGTACCTGTCCAGGTGGAGAGACGCTGTGGCCTATCATCCCATACAGTACAAATAAATAACATGGGGACATATCCAATGCTGCAATAAAACAGATGTAAATCTATGGTAACAGTATTTTCAGTTGCACCAATCCAGTGTTTATCAGGCAATGCGGAGTTGCAGGTTTCCCTACTATTCCTAAGGATATCCCAAAATAAACAGATCCTGCTGCTTTGTCTCTGAGCTCGGCTAGTTACCCCTTGTCACTATGGAATATCAAAGACTAAATCCATCATACATCATGCCAGAGGATGTCCTGGGGGAGACCCAGAGTACATGTATGCAATGCATTCTCCATATGTTGTTGTGGAATAGGAAATGGGTGGTGTGTGTGTGTTGCCGTACCAGAGCGAGGCGAGGAGGAAACCCGTCCATTTGTCCCATCTGTGAGGTCCCTGTGTTTCCGATGGTTCCCGGTGACAGGAATTCCTACCTTTGAGTTGGGACTGGCCTTTCCCTGGGAAGACGCCCTGTAGCAGAATGAGAGGAAGTCCTCATTTAAACAGCTTTATGGTCTCCCATCACACACACACACACACACACACACACACACACACACACACACCATACACAAAAACATGCATACACACAGGAGACCTCCTCAGGAAACAGAGACAGAGGGGGTATTCACCTTTTTCCTCTCCTGGATGGTCTCTCTTCACTGAGAGGAATGGAGGTGAAGAGGGGTATGGAGGAGGAGGAAAAGCAGGATTCTGTGTTCGGTATTTTCAAACAGACCAGCTTGTGGCTGGAGAAAATGTGTGTATGGGTGTGAGAGAGAGTTAGAGGGAGGTAGAGACAGAGAGCGAGAGAGAGAGGTGCACAGAAGGTTGTGTGTGTGGAGTGTGAGACAGACAGACAGACAGTGAAGTCAAGGTAAATAGTGTCGTTGGGGTGTGGCCTGTCTTTGGCAGAGGGGCACTGACCACATCCTCTTTTATCACCACAGAAACATCCGTAGCTCCACCCCTGTCTGGCCATAGTTGGCAGCACCAAGTCCCTGAACTCTGACACAAGCACACACTTGAATTCTTTTTTTTGACCTATAATGAAACATAATTACTACTAAGAAGCACACAGTCACAAAGCACAGCGAATGAGTGAGAGAGTGCAAGTGACTGAGTGTGCATGCGTGTTAGTGGAGTGGCATAGAGCCCAGAGAGGACAAGCTTCTCTGACTTGTCTGATGTAGTAAAGCTGCCAGGCAGCGCTCATTCACAAAGAGCTGCTGTGTTGACCCGTGTTCTTATCATTTTGGCAGCCAGCCAAGCTCTCCAGTAAGTAGAAGTTTTACATAGCCACTGGTGTGTCTCGTTACATATGCAGTAATGGGCTTTATTCCCCACTTCAACATATTGTAATATGAGATGTATGATGTCGCTGGTTGGCACTTGGCCCCATAGACATACATACAGTATGTTTATATACAGTGGGGAGAACAAGTATTTGATACACTGCTGATTTTGCAGGTTTTCCTACTTACAAAGCATGTAGGGGTCTGTAATTTTTATCATATGTACACTTCAACTGTGAGAGACGTAATCTAAAACAAAAATCCAGAAAATCACATTGTATGATTTTTAAGTAATTAATTTGCATTTTATTGCATGACATAAGTATTTGATCACCTACCAACCAGTAAGAATTCCTGTTCGAATTCCTCTTCGAATTCCTGTTCGTTTTTCTTTAAGAAGCCCTCCTGTTCTCCACTCATTACCTGTATTAACTGCACCTGTTTGAACTCATTACCTGTATAAAAGACACCTGTCCACACACTCAATCAAACAGACTCCAACCTCTTCACAATGGCCAAGACCAGAGAGCTGTGTATGGACATCAGGGATAAAATTGTAGACCTGCACAAGGCTGGGATGGGCTACAGGACAATAGGCAAGCAGCTTGGTGAGAAGGCAACAACTGTTGGCGCAATTATTAGAAAATGGAAGAAGTTCAAGATGACGGTCAATCACCCTCGGTCTGGGGCTCCATGCAAGATCTCACCTCGTGGGGCATCAATGATCATGAGGAAGGTGAGGGATCAGCCCAGAACTACACGGCAGGACCTGGTCAATGACCTGAAGAGAGCTGGGACCACAGTCTCAAAGAAAACCATTAGTAACACACTCCGCCGTCATGGATAAAAATCCTGCAGCGCACGCAAGGTCCCCCTGCTCAAGCCAGCGCATGTCCAGGCCGGTCTGAAGTTTGCCAATGACCATCTGGATGATCCAGAGGAGGAATGGGAGATGGTCATGTGGTCTGATGAGACGAAAATAGAGCTTTCTGGTCTAAACTCCACTCGCCGTGTTTGGAGGAAGAAGAAGGATGAGTACAACCCCAAGAACACCATCCCAACCGTGAAGCATGGAGGTGGAAACATCATTCTTTGGGGATGCTTTTCTGCAAAGGGGACAGGACGACTGCACCGTATTGAGGGGAGGATGGATAGGGCCATGTATCGCAAGATCTTGGCCAACAACCTCCTTCCCTCAGTAAGAGCATTGAAGATGGGTCGTGGCTGGGTCTTCCAGCATGACAACGACCCGAAACACACAGCCAGGGCAACTAAGGAGTGGCTCCATAAGAAGCATCTCAAGGTCCTGGAGTGGCCTAGCCAGTCTCCAGACCTGAACCCAATAGCAAATCTTTGGAGGGAGCTGAAAGTCCGTATTGCCCAGCGACAGCCCCAAAACCTGAAGGATCTGGAGAAGGTCTGTATGGAGGAGTGGGCCAAAATCCCTGCTGCAGTGTGTGCAAACCTGGTCAAGACCTACAGGAAACGTATGATCTCTGTAATTGCAAACAAAGGTTTCTGTACCAAATATTAAGTTCTGCTTTTCTGATGTATCAAATACTTATGTCATGCAATAAAATGCAAATTAATTACTTAAAAATCATACAATGTGATTTTCTGGATTTTTGTTTGAGATTCCGTCTCTCACAGTTGAAGTGTACTTATGATAAAAATTACAGACCTCTACATGCTTTGTAAGTAGGAAAACCAGCAATATCGGCAGTGTATCAAATACTTGTTCTCCCCACTGTAGATTGGTTGGCACAGGTGCTGGCACATGATGCCAGGAGGAGCATAATACTATGACTCCAGTGTCTGGGGTAGTGATGATCTAAATGTGTTGTTGGTGTGTTTTCTGTCTTTATGGGTCGGCTTTTATGGTGCAGGAAATGCCTTCTTGGTTGGGGGCGGGACATGGGGGAGGCTTTTGTACTTGTTGTACTTGAGGGTTAGAATGTGTGTGTTTTTAGTTACATGCAGTGCAAGTGTAACTGACCATGATGACCCCTCTCTCTTTCTCCCTCTCTCCCCCCTCTCCAGTCATGGAGAGTGCCATCACGTTGTGGCAGTTCCTGCTGCAGCTGTTATTGGACCAGAGTCACAAGCACCTGATCTGCTGGACATCCAATGATGGGGAGTTTAAACTGCTCAAGTCAGAAGAGGTGGCCAAGCTGTGGGGCCTGAGGAAGAACAAGACCAACATGAACTATGACAAGCTGAGCCGAGCCCTGCGCTACTACTATGACAAGGTACATCTCACATAGTTGACATTGGCACTACACTAACACCAAACACAAACACACACCTACTGGAATGGATGACAAGGTACACCAACATTGCATAAACCCTTCACAAACATACAGGAAATTGAGAAATCATGTAACTAAACTAAACAAAATGAAGAAGAAACTATACTATGGAACAAAGATAAATGATATAAAGAATGATAGTAAAAAGCTCTGGAGTACTTTAAATGAAATGTTATCCTTCATTAAGGCAGATGGCTTGTTCATAACAAAACCCTTTGATATTGCCAACCACTTTAATATTTTTTGTTTGTTGACAAGATTAGCAAACTTAGGTATGACATGCAAACAACAAATGCTGAGTCTTCATATTCATGCATAATGGACCAAATAATGAAAAGACAAGCACTGTAGTTTTGAGTTCCACAATGTCGTTATGGAAGAGGTGAAAAAAGGTTGCTATCTATAAATAAGGACAAACCACCTGGTACCGACAACCTGGATGGTAAATTGCTGAGGTTGGTAGCGGAATACATTGTGACTCCTATTTGCCACATCTTCAATTTAAGCCTAGAAGACGGTGTGTGTCCTCAGACATGGAGGGAGGCAAAGGTCATTCCGCTACCCAAGAATAGCAGAGCACCCTTTAAATGGTTCAAACAGCTGACCAAGTGCTTAGCAAACTTTTTGAAAGGTATTTTACAGAAAACAAACTAACGACAGACTTTTAGCATGCTTATAGTGATGGGCACTCAACATGCTCGGCACTGACACAAATGACTGATGGTTGGCTGAAAGTAATTGATAGTAAGAAGATTGTGGGAGCTGTTTTGTTAGACTTCAGTGCAGCTTTTAATGTCATAGATCATAACCAATTCCTGAAAAAAACATAGGTGTTATGGATTTGCATCCTCTGCCTTATTATGGATTGAGAGTTACCTATCTAATAGAACACAGAGGGTTTTCATTAATGGAAGCCTCTCTCATGCAAATTCAGTGGAGTGTGGTGTACCGCAGGGCAGCCGGCTAGGGCCGTTATTGTTTTCTATTTTTACAAATGACCTTCCACTGACCTTGACTAAAGCCTGTGTGTCTATGTACGCTGACGACTCAACAGTATACATGTTGGCTACAACAGTAAAATAAATAACTGACACTTAACATAGAGCTCCAGTCCATTTTAGAAAGGGTAACTAGGAATAGGCTGGTGCTAAATATCTCAAAAACAAAAAGCATAATATTTGGGACAAATCACTCGCTCAATGCTAAACCTAATTTAGATCTATTATTGAATAATGTGGCTATTGAGCAAGTTGAAGAGACTAAATTGCTGGGTGTAACCCTAGATAGCAAGCTGTCATGGTCAAAACATATAGACTCAATGGTTGCTAAAATGGGAAGAGGTCTGTCCATGATAGGTCGTTGCTCTGCCTTCTCAGTCGACCAGACAGATCCTACAGGCCATAGTTTTGTCACACCTGGACTACTGCCCAGCTGTGTGGTCATGTGCGGCAAAGAAGGACATAGGTCAATTTCAGTTGGTCCAGAACAAAGCAGCATGTATCACACTTAGATGTACACGGATGGAAAGTTGAGCAGAGATTGACTGCATCACTATTGGTCTTTGTGCAAGGTATTGATATGTTGAAGGTACCGAACGGTCTGTTCAAGCAGTTGGCACACAGTTCGGACACTCATCAGTACAACACAAGACAGGCAACCAGAGGTCTCTTCACAGCCCCCAAGTCCAGAACAGATGCTGGGAAACACACAGTATTAAATAGGGCCATGACTAGATGGAACTCTGCCACCACATGTAACTCAAACTAGAAATAAACCCAGTTAAAAAACACACATAAATAACACCTTACTGCACAAAGGGGACTGTGACGAGACAGCCATTTTATATATATTTTATTGTAATTTGCACTGTATTATGTGTTAGACCTAGATATTGTGTGTATGTATTGATATGTAGGGTATGTATGACATTTTAAATGTATTGTATTTCAGTCCTTGACTAATAATGTTCTGTACTATGTAATGTTTCATGTGGACCCCAGGAAGAGTAGCTGATGCTTTTGCAGTGGCTAATGGGGATCCTAATAAATACCTCTACACAGCATGAACATGTCTGTAACCAATTCTACAGGTCAAACCACCATATAACATCATGGCATGCATGTTAACAGTAACACACTGTTATTACTGTATAACATAACAAATTATGCTTAAACTCCTCCTTCCCTCTTCCTCCTCCAGAACATCATCAAGAAGGTGATTGGCCAGAAGTTTGTGTACAAATTTGTGTCCTTCCCGGAGATCTTGAAGATGGACCCCGCGGCGGTGGAGATGGGGGTGCGGGGGAGTGATGAGGCTGGTGGGGCCCTGTCAGAGGGGGAGGGGGATGAGGAGGGGGTGAGGGGCGGCCCCCCAGGGAGGAACGAGTACCTCCACTCAGGCCTCTACTCCTCCTTTACCGTCAGCTCCCTCCAGCATCCACAGGACCTCCTCCGCCCCCCTGATCTGCTCCGGCCAGTCAAGGTGGAGCCTCGACATGATCACCACGACGACAGTGGCACAGTGATTCGCTTTGTTCAGAACCGCAGCCATAAGGGCGGGGCACTGCCGGTGGTGTCTCTGCCTTCATCCCCGCCCCCTTCCTCCAACGAGGGCTACTATTCATCCAAACCTTCCCCAAGGCTAGCCCACTCCTCGTCCTGCTCCTCCTCCCCATCACACAGCCCCACCCACGCACTCTGGAGGGCACGGAGCCCCGCCCCTGAGACTGACGAATCAGAGCAGAGCGCTCAGCCCCTTAACCTATCGTCTGGTCACAGAGACCGTGGCCAGGCCACACCCACGCCAGAGAAGAGGGGCTTAGCCAATAGCGTCCCACCAAAAACCAGGAAGCCTAAAGGCCTGGAGATATCCGCACCCTCCCTGCTCCTGACAGCCAATGACATCGGCTCTATCGCCCTCAACAGTCCTGCGCTGCCCTCAGGGTCCCTAACACCAGCCTTCTTCACTGCACAGGTCAGCACCACCCACACAAACGCATACACTCGCTCCACCCTTGCCCTCTGTATGTACGTGCTGATTTGTGTGTGTAATGACATTGGGGGAAAAGACATGACTTATCCCCGAGTCTCTCTGGAACTGTCTGTCCTTACCATAAAACAGGCAGGGTAGGGAGAGGAGAGGGAGAGAGGGAGGGAGGGAGAGAGAGAGTTATTGAGGAGAGACGGAGAGAGGAAATTAGGGAACGAGTGAAAGAGGTAAGCGGAAAAGAGTGAGAGGGTGGGGATCGAGACTAGTAAGGAAGAGGGAGGAAGAGAGGTAAGCTGAAGAGAGAGTGAAAAGAAGGGAGGGGAGAGAGAGAGAAGGGAGGGTGGGGAGGTCTGTAAGTGAAGCCATATGTTCCTAAAGCTCTTGAATCGCCGGCGTGAGGTAAGGGCTGTCGTAATACCACGGAGAGAGAGAGAGGGAATCTAGAACTCCTCTTTATTGGGCCACTACAAAACAACTCATTAAAATAGCATACATCATTCCTTACCCACATAAACACAACCCCCCCCATATAAACAGATACATTAAGTCAGGGAGAGAGAGCGATAGGGAGGCAAGATGGAGATAAATTGATTTCATATGTAGCTTCTCAGCTGGAACCTAGTGTTCCAAGTTCTGTGACCTCAAGAGTTCCCCAAGTCAGCCTTGAATTCACTCCCCCCCCGTCTCCCACTCTGTCCCCCCAAAGCAGGGTATGAAGCCCTCTCTCCCCTCCTAGTTCCAGTGTTTTACTAAAACAAACAGAGCCAGTGCAGCAGGACTGAATAACCACAGGGAGAAATGAAACCTTTGTGCTGTGTGTGTTCATACTCGGCTAGATCATTTTACAGATCACCAACAAAAACACCAACAGAACATAGAAAAATGTACATCTCTCACTCTCCATAAAGTCTTTCTTCTCTCCCTCTAGACTCCCTCAGGTCTCATCCTCACCCCCAGTCCCCTGCTGTCCAGTATCCATTTCTGGAGCAGCCTGAGTCCCGTAGGACCCCTGAGCCCCGCTCGCCTGCAGGGCCATGGACCCCTGTTCCAGGTAAGACACACACACACTCTGAAAGAGAATAGAGAGAGAGGAGAAAGGAAAGTAAGCGTGAGGGAGCCGGACACCACCTGGAGTGAAGACTGATGGAAGGGAGTTAAGGAGGAGAGAGGGAGGGACAGAGGGGAAAGTTGTGGGATGGTGACAGAAAGGGTTAGGGGGAGGACAGTTGAGTATTTATGCTTGTTCGTACTGAGCCGAGAGGGAAAGGGCTCCACTCTAACTGGTAAACAAAGGAGGGATAGTTAGAAGTTTGAGCTACGACTAGGGTTGAAATCCTGATTGGAGGATCCCGGAACCAGGGGGGAATAAGTAGGAAATCTGTAATCCTCTGTCCAGGACTTCTGTAAAACCAGAAAATGTATTGAAAGTTCCCAGAATTTTGCAACTCTAGCTAAGACAGAAGATTCCCCCAAACAGCCTCATTTTCTCAACAACAACCGAGTCACATGACACCGCCGCTATTTAGTTCTGTGTGTGTGTGAGCGGTTCACTGTGATTGTACGTAAGTGTGTATATGTGTGTGATTCACGGTGTGCATGGGTTTCAAAATAAGCTACAGATGTTTCCTTTCTGGTGTGGACGAGGGGGGGCAGCTTCCTGCTCAGGGGGGGGGGGGATTCAGGAGCCCCACCCACTCCCATCAGCCCTCTCACAACAGGAAGTGCCTCTCCTCCCATCGTCAGGAGGGATGGGTGTTAAAATACCTCGGCCACCATTTTAGGGAATTCTTAAACCCAGTCATCAGCTTCTCCAGAGTTTGGGCTAGAGTTCTTTATAAAGAAAGTTCTCATCATTAGTAGTACGCATGTATAACACTAGACTAGGGATAGAGATGAATGCACTTTACCTCAGTATAATATGGGGGGCATTATTATTATAATTGTGTGGTATTTCCTAATCTGACAGTGGATCTCACCTGTCTTCTCCTCTGTCCATCTGTCTGTAGTTCCCCACCCTGCTGAATGGGCCCATCCCAGTCCCCCTGTCCAGCCTGGACACCTCCTCCCCGCTGCTGCTCTCCCACAGCCCACACAAGTCCTGATCCTCCTGGAAGACAGTACCATACCCTACTGGATTCTACCACCAACTGGACCAAAACAGGCTTAAGCAGGCCCGACCAGACCAAATAGGCCCAGTCCACGCGAGTTCAAATCCTGGACCCCGACATAGCAGGACTCGAGGCAAAATCAGGATAAAATCAGGACACTGCTGCAAACCGACTGGATCAGCCTTCAACTGTGTCAATATCATTATCATCATTGACTTGAAGATGCATTTTCTTTAGCTTAGTTGAAACAGATTTATTTTGGACTTGTTTAGTTTGTATCTCATCTCATCCAGCTTGAAGTTGTCCCACATTTATCCACTTCAGAATGCTGTTCCATGCATTGTACCTTGTCAGCCCTTTATCAATAGACTGGCGTATGGTTATAACGCTTTATAAATGTTTGTATCATTGTATAGTGGTTTTGATATGTTCATTTGAGGCTGTGAACCTGGTTGTATTGTTCTGGCTGAATGTTTTTCTATGGTTTTGTATTGTATTACACTTTATGCATTATTACCTTGTACCGGCTGTGCCTTCTCAAATGTAAGAGTTATGTAAATGTTTTTTTGTTTTTTTTATAGACGAAATTCCAGTTCAATATTGAACAAAAGCTTATGTGTAACAGCTTTTGGTTCTTTTTCATAAAGGAATTGATACAAATGTATTCTCATAATGATTTGCTATTTTCTTTATGTCCGAGAGTCAAGTAAAAATGTCTTAAACAAGGTTTTAAATAAACATGAAGCATTGAATGCTATACAACTGATTTTATGTCTGGTGTGAGTGTCACCATCTACTTCCATTTCACCCAGAAAACAACAATAAAGACAAGTGTATTTATCAAACAGACTCATTTTACTGTGATGGTTATGAGAAATAAATAGTTCCAGTAAAAGGAGTTACAGGGCCACCAACTGTCAGTGTTCCAGAGATTGAGTTTACACCACAGCAGGCGTTCCATATGTCAGGCACACACACACACACACACAGGCACACACACACACCCCCTCAGGTAAGCTCAGGTCATTCTTAAACTTGAAAAAGTACAGTATTACAATATTAATATACATCACTGCCAGTTGAAAACAACACACACAGCGGCTTGTTAAGTCTATTTAAAATTTCAATTTGAAATGTGTACAAACGCTGGAAAAAAAGAGACTAGTGGTCCAATGCAGACTGTGAAACAAATATTTTTTTCTCCTTTGAGAGGCGAAGCTGCTGCCCCTTGACATGCCACACTGACACTGTATTCACAAGGAGAGGTCAAAGACCAAAGGTCAAAAGGTCAAACATAGAAAACAAAATCTCTTAATACTGTCAAATCAAGTCAGCCATTTTAAAACACCCGTCATCCTAGTAGTGCCCTGAAATCATGGTATACCCCACTCCCATGGCCAGCTACAGAGTAGAGAGCCATTCAAAAAACTAGAAACTGCTTACAGTTATTGATGATGCAGAAAAACAACCGGTATTGCAGACCTCCAAAAGGCAAGAGGAACTTGCATACAAGAACATCCTGGGGGGGGGGAGAAGAAAGAGAAGAGAGGGAGAGAGAGGGATAGACCGATGGGTTCCTGTGGGAGGTCACATTACTTCCTGCGGCGCTCCGGTGTTTCTCTCTTCCCTAATCCTCGCTTTCCTGTTGCCATGACAACCGGAGAGGGGGACCGGAAATGTCATGGGGAGTCAAATTCCTCCAAAATGCAAACTCCACCTTCTGCTGTGGTCCCATTAGTTGGTTAAGAGGCTGTGAGGGTCGTTGTGCTCTCCCAATGACTGGACTCTGTGGTTAATGACCCTCGCGACCCCATCTCAACCCCATTTTGACCCCTTCCTAACCCCAGTCTGGCCCCTGAAATGTTCTGGAATGTTCTAGGTCAAGGAGGATGAGAGGGAGGCCGGGAATTGCTTCAGTTCAGAGGAAGATTTCCAGTTGAAGACCAGACACTCCTAGTCCCTCTCTCCCAGTACCTCTCTCCCAGTCTGGACTGGTCTGGTCTCACTTCAGTCAAACACCGCCATCAGAGGAAGCTTAAGAAAGTACTTGGGAAAAAACGCTAAAAAAGGCATTCAGTCTCTGAACACAACGACAAGCACAACAGCAAAGGTAACAGCTATGATAAACAACATCGAGATCATCAGTGGAATCATAATAACCATAATTCATATTTCATAACAATAACAATAGTAACCTTCGCGACTGGTCGGCTGTGCATGGTGTCTGAGTTCACATCATCATATACACAAACTGCGTGTTAAATACAGACAGTAGTAGTTTAGCAGCAAAATATACCCCCCTAACCCCCTTCCATATCTTCAAATAAATAAACGTAGTTCATCTCTCCCTCCCCAATCAACTCCAGACTCACTCGCTCTCTAGGGGGTGAGGGGGGAGGTCTGTCCAGGGGTGAGGGGCTCATGCGAGAAGGGGGAGGGGGCTCTGTCCCGTTCAGTCTCATCTCAAGCGAGAGCCAGTTACTATAGCAACAGGAACGAGCTCCACCCTGGAGGTCCCAGGAGCAGAGAGTCTAGAAGAGCATGCTCTGTCTTCTGTTCTTGCTGTTGCCTGGAAAGATGGAGTGAATAAAAGAGAGAAGGAGGGAGGGGGAGAGAGAGAGAGAGAGAGGGTTCTATGTATGTCATAACAGTTATGAAGCTCCAGGTAAGAAGAGGAGCGTGTGTGTGTGTTCGTGTTTTACACACCTGACTCTAGGTGTGAGGAGTTCCGATAGCCAGGGTCTCTCTGCAGTTGGATATCCTTCAGAGTGAATATTGATATACCTGAGCGAGAGCGAGAGAGAGGATTGTAATTATGTGTGAGTGTATCTCCTGGCCATTCAGAGGACTAGACCAGTACTGATCATCCCCAGGTTTAGAGACTCACTCTCATGCAGTGTGTGGACCTGTGTCCCCAGGCTCTTGAAGTAGGCCTGCTTCATAGCTTCATCTGCTGAGATCCTCTTCTTGGACTCATACTGGAGAGGAGGGAGACCAACAGTTAACACACTGACAGTACAGCAACAACGAAACAGAATCAGTAAGGCAGAAGTGACTACTGTGCCCCCTGTTGTTCATTATAAGTACTGCATGCCAGTGTTAAAAATGTAGACAGAGAAACTCACTTTCAGAAATGATAACAGCAGTTCAATGCCTTCTGTGTCCAACCTGAAAAGGAGAGAGATAGAGAGAGAGGGGGGAGAGAGTTAGAGTTAGAGAGAGCTCAGGAATCACAGGGTTTACTATCAGTTGGTGGTGACTGATGGGAACTTGGTGGGTCAGAGGAAGGAAGGAGAGTTGCTTCACTAAAGTTCCACAGGATTTCCTGCCTCCTGCACTGACTAAACACACTCACGGATACGCATTCACACACCCACACAGAAACGTGCACACTCACACACACACACACACACTCATTGACGCGCGCGCGCACTAACACACGGTACCTGGGTACGTGGTTGATGAAGGGCTGAGGTTTGTATTTGGGGAAGTTGTAGGATTTGAACTCGTCGACGCCAGAGATCCCTGGCCAGTTGTCCTCTGATGGCGTGCCTGAAGAAATAAGAGAGAGAGGGGCCAGTCTTTAGATAACACTCTATCAACGTTTAGTTAACGCTCAAGTAATGTCCCCATCATCATCACCATGTCTGAGGAATTTCCTGCTTATTTAGAGAGTTCTGTGGTTGTGTTAGTGTGTGTTTGTCCCTGTAGCAGACACTAGGTGGCGCTAGGTCAGTGGGTTAGTTAGGCTGTAAAATCCAATCAGGGTGTACTCTGTACTCACCCAGCAGTCTGAATATGAGGTGGAGCTCGTCCTCTACGGTGGAGCCAGGAAACAGGGGCCGACCTGCAGCCATCTCATAAAATATACACCCCACACCCCTACACACACGCAGAGAGAGAGAAAGAGAGAGAGAGCATTACACACATGCACACAGCTTGTTCACAGATACGCATACACACACACACACACACACACACGAGAATATATCCTAGGAAATAGGATGAAGGGTTTATGATGTATAGCTCTTACTAAAAGTTTATGTGTAAAATACACTGAATGAAGTGGTTGTAGTTCCTAGGGTGTAAGGGTGTAGGGCCCTCAAATCTGGACCTCGAAGCCAGTTCCACTGCAGTTTTTAATCAGGGACTGTTTTAGACCTGGGACACCAGGTGGGTGCAATGAATTATCAGGTTGAACAGAAAACCAGCAGTACTCCGGACCTCCAGTGTAGGATTTGAATCCCCTTGGTGTAGCTTGTTAGGATGTAGTGTTCTTACCACATGTCAATCTGTGTGGAGTACTCGGAGGAGCCTAGCAGGACGTCAGGTGGCCGGTACCACAGAGTCACCACCTCGTTGGAGTACGTCTTAGTGGGGACAGACTTAGCCCGCGCCAGACCAAAGTCGGCCAGTTTGAGTTCCCCTCTCTCGTTGATGAGCAGGTTCTGGGGCTTTAAGTCTCTGTGGAGAACCTTCCGCTTGTGGCAGTACGCCAGCCCCCGCAAGATCTGGAACAAGAAGATCTAGAACCGTACAAACAACACATGCAATGTTAACCACTATTATGCAGGGTTTTTTATCTAAAGTGACTTACAGTACAGTGAGTGCTAGGCCATTAGTCTTGGTCATACTCACCTTGACGTTGTGCATGCTCATGATGTTCCCACAGTCGTCCATGTACTGCTTCAGGTCCTTATCCTACACAGGAAGTGAGGTCAACAGTCAGTCAGACAGGAAGTACATGTACAACAGCCTACTTAGGACAACAAACACCTCCGATAATTGGGGCAGATATTTGACTACAAAGACCAGCATGCAGTGTGAGCAGAGTGAGGAAGTAAGTGATTCTCACCAGGTACTCGAAGACCAGCGTCAGGCTCTTGTCTGTGTGGACGATGTCGTGTAAGGTCACGATGTTGGCATGTTTCAGGTCCTTCAGTAATGACACTGGAGAGAGAGAAGGAAAGGGGTAATATATTGACAAAGAGGAGGAACAATAGTGAATGAGAAAGAGAGTGAAGAGTGAGAAAAAATTGAAGTTAGCATTGAAATCAGTAATGGGGAGAGGAAGATGAAGTGATAGAGGAGGAAAGGTAGTGAGGTATAGATTCACCTTCTCTGATGGCGGTGCAGGGTGCTCCCTCCTCGTGCTCCAGCCTGATCTCCTTTAGCGCCACCAGGTTGTCAGTCAGCTTACTGCGCCCCTTAAACACTGTAGCATAGGTCCCCTATAGAAAGACTAACTGGTTATGACCGGAGTCAAAACGAAATAACGTTTGGGAACCTCTTGTGAAAAACATGTTGTTTTCTGAGTTTATAGGAGTATGTTTGTGTGTGTTCTCTGACCTCTCCCAGTTTGTCCAGTTTGATGTAGGTCTCCAGCTTCCCAAAACCAATCTCCGACTGAAAAACAGAATAAAGACAGAGAGATCATCTTTCGTGTTGTTTACGTCTTTTTCTCTGTGTTGAATGAAGTCTGTACAGGATACCTTCATTCACTACACAAGATTACATACAGACAGTCCAATTCAACCTCATGCCTGTTGCCATGGAGACAACCAGACACGAGGGCGGTACCTGAACACTTTAGGGCAACTCTCACTCTCTCTCTCTCTCTCTCACACACACACACACACACACACACACACACACACACACACACACACACACACACACACACACACACACACACACACACACACACACACACACACACACACACACACACACACACACACACACACACACACGTACCAGTGAGGCCCTGCGGGAGAGTCGGCTCAGGGGCTGGTCGAAGGTAGGGCTGCTCAGCTGCAGCTTCTCCAGGTAACCGTCAGGGATACGGATGTCAGCAGGCAGAGACAGACGCTTGTTCAGGTCCTACACACACACATACACCAAATTGAGTTAGAGATGCAACATACACATATATCATGAGTCCTATCGAATACTGCGTCTGTCTGTGTGTGTGTGTGTGTGAGAGACATGTAGACAGCAGAAAGCTCCATGACTACACCCACACACTTTGTCCTAGAAATGACTCTCTCCTCTCCTCCCACTCCTCCTCACACAGTCAAGAGAGACAGAAGAATAGAGGTGCTTATACAAAAATAATCCAGACATGAAAACAATCGTTATTGAAGAAGAGAAAACATGGCATCACAGATGCACATCAAATACATGCCTACACACACTCAACACAAAACGGACAAAAACAGACAAACACAACATAGGTAAGCAAACAAGCATCTTCACACACTATTGACACAAAAACACACCCACCATAGATATCATGTAACACACGTGTATACCGCCTGCGATCTCTCCCCCCATAGAAACAGATCAAAAGAGATGTTCTCTCTATAGATAGTGATATGAATCAGTGTATTGTTACAGCCTACTAACCCCAAACACTTGGCTTCAAAGGGAACAAATGGGCAGAATGACATGTACCCACATGAGTGTGTGTGTGTGAATCTGGTTAGATGTAGTAACTGAGATGACGTGTGTGTGTGTGTGATTATTCAGATATGTCTGATGATTACCATCTAAAGCTCAAGCACCTCTTGTGCCTCTGCTTAGACTGCTAAAATAAACACTTGGCATCGAGGAGAAAAAGGTCAATCCGTGTGTGTGTAATACCATAATACTGATATACAGGTAGTCAAGTACTGCTTACACTTCTCCAGACTGACCACCAGGTGGCAGAGTGTCACCAGGCTGAGGAAACAGCATTCCTACCAGTGATTCTAGAGGAACTCAGTCAACAGAACCAGTGAGACTAGCATTAACCTGCACTAAATATATTATCCATAGTATAAATTCGAATAGTCCATGGGACACCAGGAACTAAAGTCAAACTTCACAGCATTCACACACATAGAAAAAAGCAAAAACGAGTCACACAGAGAGGAAAGGAAAAACATCCCCAGTCTTAAAGAGCGACTGAGAACACGCCGATTGGCACTTGTGTTTTTCTGTCGCTCATTAGAAAAACAAGAGATCAGTATTGGAGATGTTTGTCCCCCATGAGACACTGTAGACGAGGAAGCCTATTTCACTTCCTCAAAATCTCCAGAATGAATCTAAGATAACTCAAGAAATCTGTAATTAAAGTTGCTGCGGAGGATGTTTTAATTGTGCAATTTTACATCTAACCAATGTGTGGAGCTGCTGGGCAGGTCTGTCTCACTGTCTGTGGTATTGGATAGAGAGCAATCACCGCAGCTGTTCACCCCATGTTAGTGGTCAAATGCTCATCTTCAAATTAAAACTCAACCTCCATTTACCCGTTGTGACGCACAGATGTTCCAAACTCCGTTTTGGACGAGACTGACTTTATGACCAGAATGATCCTTTTTACACTTTGTAGTAAATTTTGACACTAGAATAACTGTTTCTGACTCATACTGATGCCACATCAGTACGTTTTCAAAGGGATTCCTTACTTTTTAAAGGCAGTCCCTCTTTAAATCCCAGGTTCTTGCTGAGCTAAGTGGAGCAGTCTCTCTCCCTGTCTCCATCCCACTCCCTGTCCGAGGTTCCTCTCAGGATTGTTGACCAGCTATGTGGCGGGGGATCGTCTGGAATCTCAACAGTCAGAGGCCAAGCGTGTCACAGATTACTGTCGCATGACAACATTCCATTAGTCAGTCAGCCAGTCTGTTTAACTGTTAGTGGCCTGAACCAGCTCATACTTTCCACCCTGCCTGCCATCAACCCTCCTCTTCCTCCATCCCTCTTTCTTCCTTTATCTATCCCACTACCTCCATAACTCCCTTTCCCTCCACATCTCTCCCCCGCTCTTTCCCTCCATCTCTCTACCCTCCTCCTCTCTCTGGTCCTTGGGCAACAGGATTCATATCAGTATTCAGAGTCAGACAGTGAAAGCCTCGTAGAGAAAGAGAAGAGGACAGAGATGGGGAGCAGGGAGAGGTGTAGTTCCTTTATCGAGAGACAGGGATTGGTGGTGGGGGTTGGGGAGTACTCCGTCATAGAGTGAAGAGTGTGTGTTTGTGTACCTCCATGGAGATGCGTCGTTGCACTCTATTCCTCAGACACACCCCGCTGGGCGACTGCACCTCGTCTGACGACGTCCCAGACGCCTGGTCACTCTCCCCGTCTGAGCCCATCTTCAGGTTCTCATGGACGATGTCTTGGGAGGAAGAGTGGAAGAGGAGAAAGAGGGAGGAAGAGTTAGAGTTTAGAAGCTGAACATGCTCAATTTCAACATTTTGTCTGGCAAATGACACTCATGATCTTCTATGAGATAAACATGGCAAGGAATTGCTATAGCTTGTGTCAAATTGAGTCACTAGTCTGCTGTTTTTAGTAAGAATGGGAGAGAATTAGTTAGAGACAGAAGGAGTGCTCTCTCTCATTCTGTCAACAGTTACAGTTTATGGCCTGGTCCCGACCCTACAACCTCTCTCAAGTTCCCTTCTTTAATCATCCTGCAGTCTCTCTCTCCCTCTCCCCTTCTCTCACCCCTTCCCCCTCTCACCCCACAGGCCAAAGATTAAACAATTTAACCAACTGCTTCCTCCAGAGTCATAAAACTAAAACTACAGCCTCTGGTCTAGATCACGGTGCGTAGTGGGGGGGGTGAACTAACGAACACACACAAAGTTAAAGCAGTTCTGCATGGAAGAGTGGGCCAAAATTCCTCCACAGCGACGTGAGAGACTGATCAACAACTACAGGAAGCATTTGGTTGGAGTCATTGCAGCTTAAGGTGGCACAACCAGTTATTGAGTGTAAGGGGGCAATTTCTTTTTCACACAGGGGAATTGGGTTTTGCATAACATTGTTTATTAAATAAATATGTAATTGTTGTGTTATTTGTTCACTTATGTTCCCTTTATCTAATATTAGGTTTTGGTTGAAGATCTGATAACATTCAGTATCACAAATATGAAAAAGTAGAGAAAATTAGAAAGGGGGCAAATACTTTTTCATAGCACTGTACATGCATTCACACAAACACACAGTGTTAATGAGTAGCTGTATCTGAGTGTGCTGGCACATATTCTCTCTGTCATCATTGTGTCAACACCTCCAACCCTGCAGCCTGTCATCATATCATCCAGCACACTGTACTACTGTCATCTTCACCTCCCTCTCCCTCCTTTCTGCTTCTCTCTCTATCCGTCTATCTTATTCTCTGTCTACCAAATACCCCTCTGTTCTTTCCAACTCTACTCTCTTCCCTCTCTTTGGCCCTATTTCTTCTCTCCCACTCTGTTCTTTGAGCTAAACAGGCATATAACATAGTGTGACAGTGTGTTCTAATCTAGTTCCATCTTGTCCCAGATAGACTTGCCTGGTTGTCTGTTCCCCCCAATATCCCCAAACCAAATGTAACTCTAACTGGGACAGAGTTCAGTCTGAGGAGAAGCGCTTAATCAAAACTTATCGACAAGACCGCAGACCATAATAGTTGGCTCACCCTGGAGACCAGAGAACAGCAAGGAACAGCTATCGTCATGGTGATGGCTCAGAGAACATGCAGGGGAGACGTTTGTCCTCAGATACACACAAATGTATGAATCACATACGCACACAAACATCTAACTTTTAGAAGCAAATATAAACCTGCACAAACACACAGTGTAGAATGAGAAAGGTTGACTCATACAACAATACTTTTATTGAGAGGAAGGTTAGAGATAAAGATGGAGAGACAGACGAGTCTGGTGTTGTGTGGGATGAAATGTCACACCATGACCGTGTCAGGACGGAACACTCAGGGTCTATGACACACTTCCTGTTTGTCCCCTGTCGCCATCTGCTCTTTCTCAGTCACTTCCTGGTGCGAGAATGCCTGTCTCCACGGCAACTCACCCTGGCAGCTGGGTGGCGACCGGGTGGCATGGCCATGAACGAGAACAGGCTGCTTATAGTGGTGCTGCTAGTGGGTGTGTCATTAGTGAAAATGCCTGCATCTTTGAATGAGTGTGTGTGCGTGCATACAGTGGGGGAAAAAAGTATTTAGTCAGCCACCAATTGTGCAAGTTCTCCCACTTAAAAAGATGAGAGAGACCTGTAATTTTCATCATAGGTACACGTCAACTATGACAGACAAATTGAGAAAAACAAAATCACAAAAATCACATTGTAGGATTTTTAATGACTTTATTTGCAAATGATGGTGGAAAATAAGTATTTGGTCACCTACAAACAAGCAAGATTTCTGGCTCTCACAGACCTGTAACTTCTTCTTTAAGAGGCTCCTCTGTCCTCCACTCGTTACCTGTATTAATGGCACCTGTTTGAACTTGTTATCAGTATAAAAGACACCTGTCCACAACCTCAAACAGTCACACTCCAAACTCCACTATGGCCAAGACCAAAGAGCTGTCAAAGGACACCAGAAACAAAATTGTAGACCTGCACCAGGCTGGGAAGACTGAATCTGCAATAGGTAAGCAGCTTGGTTTGAAGAAATCAACTGTGGGAGCAATTATTAGGAAATGGAAGACATACAAGACCACTGATAATCTCCCTCGATCTGGGACTCCACGCAAGATCTCACCCCGTGGGGTCAAAATGATCACAAAATCCCAGAACCACACGGGGGGACCTAGTGAATGACCTGCAGAGAGCTGGGACCAAAGTAACAAAGCCTACCATCAGTAACACACTACGCCGCCAGGGACTCAAATCCTGCAGTGCCAGACGTGTCCCCCTGCTTAAGCCAGTACATGTTCAGGCCCGTCTGAAGTTTGCTAGAGTGCATTTGGATGATCCAGAAGAGGATTGGGAGAATGTAATATGGTCAGATGAAACCAAAATAGAACTTTTTGGTAAAAACTCAACTCGTCGTGTTTGGAGGACAAAGAATGCTGAGTTGCATCCAAAGAACACCATATCTACTGTGAAGCATGGGGGTGGAAACATCATGCTTTGGGGCTGTTTTTCTGCAAAGGGACCAGGACGACTCATCCGTGTAAAGGAAAGAATGAATGGGGCCATGTATCGTGAGATTTTGAGTGAAAACCTCTTTCCATCAGCAAGGGCATTGAAGATGAAACGTGGTTGGGTCTTTCAGCATGACAATGATCCCAAACACACCGCCCGGGCAACTAAGGAGTGGCTTCGTAAGAAGCATTTCAAGGTCCTGGAGTGGCCTAGCCAGTCTCCAGATCTCAACCCCATAGAAAATCTTTGGAGGGAGTTGAAAGTCCGTGTTGCCCAGCGACAGCCCCAAAACATCAGTGCTCTAGAGGAGATCTGCATGGAGGAATGGGCCAAAATACCAGCAACAGTGTGTGAAAACCTTGTGAAGACTTACAGAAAATGTTTGACCTGTGTAATTGCCAACAAAGGGTATATAACAAAGAATTGAGAAACTTTTGTTATTGACCAAATACTTATTTTCCACCATAATTTGCAAATAAATTCATAAAAAATCCTACAATGTGATTTTCTGGATTTTCTTTTCTCATTTTGTCTGTCATAGTTGACGTGTACCTATGATGAAAATTACAGGCCTCTCTCATCTTTTTAAGTGGGAGAACTTGCACAATTGGTGGCTGACTAAATACTTTTTCCCCACTGTATGAGTGTGTGTGTGCAAGCATGTGTGCCGTTAGTGTATACATGCATCTCTGAGTCTGTGTGTGTTTGTTTCTCTCTCTGTGTAACTCACCGAGGCGGCTGCCATTGCTGGGGAAGGTCATGAAGGATCCCAGGCTTCCTCCGATGACACTGTGTGGCCTGCGGAGGGGGGGCTTCTTGAAGGAGCCAGTGTACTGGTGCAGGAACGAGTGCATGCTGTGGGAGGAGGGTGGTCGCCCATTACGCACGATCGGCTCTGCAAGGAGAAACAATATGTCAATCAATTAGCCAATATGTCAATCAATTAGCCCATCTATCGATCCATCTATCCGATTCATCACGCAATCTACCAATCAATCAATCAGTCATTTGTACAAGTAGTTCATATACGGTTCTGTCTTCTGTTGAGCAGAATTCAGTAAACAGAGTGCTTCCTTGTTTCGTTATGTTTTATATAAAAAGGGTAGAAAAGAACACTTATGCAACCTAAAGTAGGTCAGAGGATTTTAGCTTCATACTTCAATAGCTAAAAACGTCTGTTTATGTGTGAGTGTTTTCCTTCTCTGTGTGATGTCTTTTCCACAAACATTGTGGCAGCATCACCTGCCGTCTCCCTGCGTTGTGTGTGTGTGCCCCAGTAGGTGTTTCATCCCACCAGGCTGCTTCTGTTGTTACATAAGGACATAGAGCTCCTCTCTAGGACACGATCATTCACACTGCTGCTCTCTCTCGCTTTCACTGTGTGTCAATTTCCCTCTCTTTCTTCCTCTATGTGTCTCTCACCCGTTCTCTCGGTCTCCCTCAGGCCATTGGCACACCAAACTCTCATTAGCCATCATATTAAAATCACTTCAGAAGGCAAGAAAGGATACTGTTGGCTGCCAGCTACATCAAACATTTCAACTGTATCCTCGGGGCGACCAAAGGGCCCTAATGTGTGTCCACTGGCTGGCTGTATCCTTCTCTACTGGCATTCAGTCAAGACTCACTTCAAAATAGTAACATTATCAGTCTCTAATCACTGGGACTGGCACAGAGCTCTGGAGTGTGTGTGCGCTCTGTTTGTTTACTAATACAATCTATAATACTCACTCACACACACACACACCTACTGACCGTTGTCCTTGTTGCCGCCGTCCTCGATGGTCATCTGTTCGGCCAGTTCAGACAGAGACTCGTCTATGGTGTGGCTGGAGCGCAGAGTCAGGGACAGACGCCGCTTAAACCTCTTCATCTTCTCCATCACACACTCCTCAGGGTTGGCTGGGCTGGGCTGGCAGGGCCTGTAGAGCACAGAGGGCAAAGGTCAGCACTGGACCTACACACACACTCAATTATCTTTAACATTTTAGTCATTTAGCAGACGCTCTTATCCAGAACGACTTACAGTAATGAGTGCATACATTTTCATATTTGTTTGTACTGGTCCCCCGTGGGAATCAAACCCACAATCCTGGCGTTGCAAGTGCCATGTTCCACCAACTGAGCCAGACACACACACACACACACACACACACACACACACTTTAGGTGGCCAGGCATAAACAAATAACTTGTAATTGTCTCGCTAGTCACTTCTAGTCCAATGTTGCTCACATAGCGACATGCTAGCTTCCTTATCTTGAGATTGGTACAGTTGGGTTGGAGTAAGTACGTTGTGTTGTTGTGATGTTATTATTCCAGTATTGTACCAACACATGAACACACCTACACATTGACAGTGAGAAGCCCAATCCTTAAGCTGCAAGAGTATGCATGAGAACGTAAGTGTGTGTGCTAAAATAGCACCCTTCATAAATAAACTACGCCTCCTTTTAATCTAATATTTATGAGGAGTAGAGGAATACTGCAGTCACTGCACCTCTCCTTAGCACTCAGCACTAAGCTAGTGCCTTAATAAAGCATGAATTAAACATGAATTTAACAGCCAAACATGAATACTGCTTTCCTTAATTTCAAGCAAAATACATCAACACACACACATATCCACACAGATGCAGAAGCAGACACACACACAAACACACCGCGCGCAGAAGCTCATCCATAATTTATCAAAGCCATCTCTCCTGTGGCTAAAATGACATAATGAGAGGTGCAATACAGAGGTCAAATTTAAATCCACAGTACCAGCTAAATATAGGAATAGCAGTCACAGTCACAGTCACACACACACACACACACACACACACCTCCCCATCAGTGTCCTCAGACTATCTACACCCTAATTAACAGCAGTGTTCGTCATGTGGTTGTGTCCTGTGGTGTGATTGGTGGGCTGCAGTGACAGATCTGGGCCAGCGGCTGTAATGATTGGCCAAGGCAGACTGGCTGGCTGAGTGTGATGGGAGGTGAAAAGGCCAGCAGACTGGGAGAACTGGCCACATTCCATAGCAACACAAATACCTGCCTGGTCCGATGGTATGGCTGTGTTTTGTGTGCATCCATCCGTGTAGGACCTACTGTATGTGTGTGAATGTATCAATGAATTATGTGTTGTGTGGATATGTTAGTGTTTGATTTATGTGTGTATGGTAAATATGCATAAATGTATGTAGAATACAGTATGTGTGTGTGTGTGTATCTATCTGTGTATGGTTTGTGTGTGTGTGTGTGTGTGTGTGTGTGTGTGTGTGTGTGTGTGTGTGTGTGTGTGTGTGTGTGTGTGCATCTATCTGTGTATGGTTTGTGTGTGTGTGTGTGTGTGTGTGTTCATGCGCATGTGTGTATGCATGGTGTGTGTATCAGTGTATGGTTTGGGTATCAGTGTGTGTGTTTATGTGTATCAGTACGTGCGTGTCTGTGCATGCTGACACAGCAGTAAGCCAGGTCACAGGAAACACCTTGCTCTCTCTGCCTCAGGCCAGTTTCCCTGCCCATTGTGTTGCCGCGGTGACGCCCTCGGGCGAGCGGGACCCCCCCTTCTAACCCCTCCCCCACACCATCCCGTACTGGACACGGCGATAACACACTGCCAGCCAGCAGTGGGATACAGTAAGCCACTACATCATGAAAACATCCCAACACAGCACTAACCTCACAACATCAGACAGAGACACAAGATTATCTAACTATCCATCTCTCCATCCATCGACACTGTATATGCAAAAGTATGTAGACACCCCTTCAAATGAGTGGATTCGGCTATTTCAGCTATACCCGTTGCGGACAGGTGTATAAAATCAAGCACACAGGCACCGCCATAGGATTCCACCTTTCCAACAAGTCAGTTAGTCAAATTTCTGCCCTGCTAGTGCTGTTATTGTGAAGTGGAAACGTCTAGGAGCAACAACGGCTCAGCCGTGAAGTGGTAGGCCACACAAGCTCACAGAACGGTGCCGCTGAGTGCTGAAGCGCATAAAGATCGCCTGTCCTCGGTTGCAAACTGCCTCTGGAAGCAACGTCAGCACAAGAACTGTTCATCGGGAGCTTCATGAAATGGGTTTCCATGGCCGAGCAGCCGCACACAAGCCTAAGATCACCATGCGCAATGCCAAGCGTTGGCTGGAGAGGTGTAAAGCTCGCCACCGTTGGACTCTGGAGCAGTGGAAATGCGTTCTCTGGAGTGATGAATCACGCTTCACCATCTGGCAGTCCGACGGACGAATCTGGGTTTGGCGGATGCGAGCAGAACGCTACCTGCCCGAATGCATAGTGCCAACCGTAAAGTTTGGTGGAGGAGGAATAATGGTCTGGGGCTGTTTTCCTTGGTCTGGGCTAGGCCCCTTAGATCCAGTGAAGGGAAATCTTAATGCTACAGCATACAATGACATTCTAGACGATTCTGTGCTTCCAACTTTGTAGCAACAGTTTAGGGAAGGCCATTTCCTGTTCCAGCATGACAATGCCCCCGTGCACAAAGCAAGGTCCATACAGAAATGGTTTGTCAAGATCGGTGTGGAAGAACTTGACTGGCCTGCACAGAGCCCTGGCCTCAACCCCATCGAACATCTTTGGGATGAATTGGAACACCCTGACTGCTAGCCAGGCCTAGTCGCCCAACATGAGTGCCTGACCTCACTAATGCTCGTGGCTGAATGGAAGCAAGTCCCCGCAGCAATGTTCCAACATCTAGTGGAAAGCCTTCCCAGAAGAGTGGAGGCTGTTATAGCAGCAAAGGGGGGACCAACTCCATATTAATTCCCATGATTTTGGAATGAGATGTTCGACGAGCAGGTGTCCACATACTTTTGGTCATGTAGTGTACCTTTCTCCTTCACTCCCTCTGAGATCATTAGCTCAACTGTATACACTTGAGACACCATCTGTCTGTCTAGACACACGCACACACATCTCTGTCATCCTTAAAATTCCTCTGTCATTCCTGATGGCATGTGTGTGCATTGCAGGAATCTCTGAAATCATTAAATCAATGACCGTCTGGATCTGTGGCTGCAGTTTACCATACCCCCACCCTGATACACCCTCACCCTGACACACCCCAACCCTGACATACCCTAACCCTGACACACCCTCACCCTGACACACCCACCATTGCACACACACTCATATGTCCAGCCTAAGCCTATATGCTCAAATTACCTCCAGGCTTGGAGGCAACGGTCAGTAGGGCACAACGTCAAAGAACGATCAGATAGAAATATATAGTGTAGAACAAACATGCCTCACTGTCATGAAGAGTGAGTAATCACATTAGTTCTATACATGACATTTCTATCTGTGCCCTCAAATATGCCCCAGGCCAACGCATATAAAACGCATCTAGCAGCACATCCACCCTCACCAGTCAACCACTAATCTACCAATGAAAATCTATAACACCGTGTGTGTGTTAGGGGATAAAAGATTAGTCTCCCCCACCCTTCGCCCCACATGCCCTAACACCCACCATGTACCAGGCAGGGTGAAGGCAGGGACTCTTTGATGTCAGTTTTAAGCGTGTGTGTGTGTGTGTGTGTTGCACAGGTATGACCTGGTTCTCATCTCATCTCGGCTGGAGTCGATCTCATTAAAACAAACATAGTTAATGAAGGAGAGGAGTGTGTGTGTGAGCATGTGTGTGTGTACTGTGTGTGTGGTGAAATGTTGCCGTTCCCCATATGGAATTTTTTTATTTTAGGCTTAGGGGTTAGGTTTAGGGTTACAATTAGTGTTAGGGATTAGGTTTAGAGTTAAGGTTAGGGAAAATAGGATTTTGAATGGGAATCAATTGTTTGGTCTCCACAAGGATAGTAAAACAAACGTGTGTGTGTACGTACATGCGTATGTATGCGTCTGTGGGTGTCTCCATTTGTTTAATCACAACAAACCTGCTGGAAAGAGGAGATGAGATGAGAGAGATAAGGGATTCCCAAACCTTCCATAACAAAGCCATCACCTACAGAGAGAAGAACCTGGAGAAGAGTCACCTAAGCAAGCTGGTCCTGGGGCTCTGTTCACGAACACAAACAGACCCCACAGAGCCCCAGGACAACAACAACAACAACACAATTAGACCCAACCAAATCATGAGAAAACAAAAAAGAGAATTACTTGACACATTGGAAAGAACAAACAAAAAAACTGAGCAAACTAGAATGCTATTTGGCCCTAAACAGAGAGTACACAGTGGCAGAATACCTGACCACTGTGACTGACCCAAACTTAAGGAAAGCTTTGACTATGTACAGACTCAGTGAGCATAGCCTTGCTATTGAGAAAGGCCGCCGTAGGCAGACCTGGCTCTCAAGAGAAGACAGGCTATGTGCACACTGCCCACACATGAGGTGGAAACTGAGCTGCACTTCCTAACCTCCTGCCAAATGTATGACCATATTAGAGACACATATTTCCCTCAGATTACAGCGATCCACAAAGAATTAGAAAACAAACCGAGTTTTGATAAACTCCCTTATCTACTGGGTGAAAAACCCCAGTGTGCCATCACAGCTGCAAGATTTGTGACCTGTTGCCACAAGAAAAGGGCAACCAGTGAAGAACAAACACCATTGTAAATACAACCCATATTTATGTTTATTTATTTTCCCATTTGTACTTTAACTATTTGCACATTGTTACAACACTGTATATATACATACATATGACATTTGAAATGTCTTTATTCTTTTGAACCTTCTGAGTGTAATGTTTACTGTTAATATTTATTGTTTTATCTACTTCACTTGCTTTGGCAATGTTAACATACGTTTCCCATGCCAATAAAGCCCTTAAATTGAATTGAAATTGAATTGATAAGGAAAGGAAAAGAGGAGAGAAGAGAGAGAGGTAAAAACAGAGAGCAGGAGA